TTTACTTGTTAATATCATTACTGTGATTTTCGTTAAAACTTAATGCCTGCGAGTACAACCCAATAACTTGACTCATTTATCATTTTAAATGATTGTCACTGTTAATGACAGGAGATCAAGGGGCCGTGCAAAGATGCAAGCCTCTGTCGTGAAATTTTGTTTACCTGAACCACAGAGTTCTTGTGCACAAATAAAATAAAAAAACACAGTGCAACTTGTGAATTTAGCAGTCCAACTTACCGGTGTTCTGGTCGATTTTTGCTGCTTTGTTGAATCTCTAGAAGAATAATTTCTGAGGAACAGATACCAGAGTTGGTAAGGAAGGTCATGGAAACTATTTTTAAGAAGCTGGAGACCCAGTCGTCCGTGTCATTAACAACAGATCTCTGGTCAGATTGCAGGCTTCGCTCTTTTCTTGGAGTGACTGCCCATGTGTGTTCTGAATCAAAGGATTTCTATGCAATTGAATCTTACCTGCTGAACTGTAGGCGTTTTACCGGTAGACATGGAATTCAGTAGAACGAATTGCTTCTGCCTTTGAGGAAATAACAGAGGAATATGCTCGCCGCCAGAAGATAAGCTATATCATCACAGACAATGCTGCCAATATGAAATGCGCTTTCAAAGTTCACATGCCACAACACCAGTCTGATGAGTGTGAGAGTGAAGACGATAATATCGATGAGGGGCACGAGGGGAAGGACAGGGATACAGAAGGAAGCGTGGAGTGTAGTGAAGGAAGCGTGAGGCGTAGTGAAGGAAGTGTGGAGCGTAGTGAAGGAAGCGTGGAGTGTAGTGAAGGAAGCGTGAGGCGTAGTGAAGGAAGCGTGAGGCGTAGTGAAGAACGGTTTTCGGGGTTTTCAGCTCCATCTTTTGTTCTTTCAGTCCCTGCTGGACCCAAAACCCCTCCCAGAGTGCTGGCCCCCAGATGGCTTGATGCCTGGTGAGTGATTTCCTCTGGATTAAGAGGCTTGCGAAATGCTGGATCCTACATTTCCCATGATGCAACTTGTGCACACGCATGTCACTAACATCCTAATGTGTCTGCCCTTAGAGAGCAGCTACTGGCAGCTCTGCCCTCCCTCCAAGTCCGGCCTGCAGGGGGGGTTGCTGAGCTCTAGTTTCCCCCCCGGTCCTGTGCCCCTGGTGCCCCCAGATGCTCACCTGCAGGAGGGGGGTGACCCCCTGGACACGCCCCCATCTCATCCCCCACTGCAGCAGCACCGGCCACTGGCGCCGAGCTCCTCAGCGTCCGAGCTTTCCCTCCCTGGAGCACCGGCGGTGCCCCCCGGTGGCCCCGGACTCCCCCCTCCACCTCCTCCGCCCCCCAAGCGGCACTGCCGTTCGCTGTCGGTGCCCGAGGACCTGTCACGCTGCCGCTACACCTGGCGGCCCAGCGCCTCGCGGGTCTGGACCCCCGTCAGTCGGCAGCAGTGCCACGGAGCGGTGGGGGGAGGGGTCACGGGGGCAGGCGGGGTGGGGGTTGTGGGGGGAGGAGCCTGTCCTCTCCGCGCCCCCAGCTCCTCCCTGAACTCGTCGCTGCACTCCTCGTCCAGCCCCACCTTCTTCAGCCCTGGCGCTGTCTCCGGACTCGCCGCTACCCTGGAGCTTCCCCTGGGACCCCAGCGAGGCGGCGGCGGCGGGAGGAGGAGCCTGCTGCTGCTTCTTCCCCTCCCCCTCCTCCTGCTCGTCCTCCCCCTCCCCCCTGCACCCGCCTCCCCCTCCTCAGAGGCGTTTCTCCCTCTCCCCCGTGCTTATCAGAGACTCTGCGGCCTCCACCTTCTTGCCGCCGCCGCCAGCGGCCCCGAGCCAGACGCGGCCGCGCCCACCGAGCTGCTCGGCCACGGCGGCAGGCGTCCTGGTTCCCGTCTCGCCGTCCTCGGCCTGCAGCACGCCGTCGTCTCTGAGGCGCTGTCTGCCGCCGCAGCTGCCTCGCTGCCACTCGCAGCCCTGCGACCTGCTGCTCCTCAAACCGGGTCTGAAGAGGAGGCGGGACCCCGACAGGCCGTGTGCCCGCCCCGTCCTGGACTTCACCAAGATGACCCAGGTACCGGCTAGCACCAATATTTATTTCTAAGATGAATGAGCAGCAGGACACATTTCCTGTTGGAACGTTGGGTTTATCGCCCTCTTTGATTTGTGTTTTGCTCTGTAGACCCGCAGCATGGACCCCCAGGCCCTGGAGCGTGGGGGCCGGCCCCCCTGTGGAGGAGACGTGCTCATGGACTCCTTCATGGGTGACTTCCGGAGCTCGTGCTCTCCGGCCGAGTGTCTCGGGCGGACAAGCATCGGGCCGCTGAGCGAGAGCGACGAGGAATGCCGCGAGGACGAGGAGGACGGCGAGGAGGAGGACGGCGAGGAGGCCGAGGCGCCCGAGCGCGAGGCAGCGCAACAGGCAGTGTTTGAGAGGGACTGTACAGAACTGGACTTGAACTTGATAGAGGAGAACTGAGGTCGTTCTCCGTTGTTTCATTCGGTTTTTGGATTGATCTGAAGCCCCGCCCCTCCGCCTCCTTGCCACCAATCAGCACGGCTCTCAGGAACAACACCTCCTCTCAGCTGCTGAGTCGCGCTGACGACCGCGATGATGCGACTGCCGACGGTGAAGACCGGACGTGACGTCATCGTCGCCGAGCTAGCTCCAGGCTAACGCACCAGGTAGCTGAGGGTCGGCCGTGACGTTCTGACCAGGCCGCCGCGTCGCCAACCTGACACGCCGTCGCCACAGCAACCACAGATCCATAAGTACAGATACAGACTCTTTGATGTTTGATAACCGGGTCGACAAGGATCCACAATATATTATAATAATCATTAAAACTGCTCTGAACTCAGTAAAACATCAAAAATAATGAACGTTACACTTTTCAAAAGTTGTTTTAGGTTTTTTTATTGATGAATAAGTCTTTTTTTATATTTAATGCTGTATAACGTTCGTTAGGAAGTGAAACAGATCACAATTCATCTCTAAAATCTATTTCATATTTACAATAATCCGTTTGGATCAATATCGCTATTAATAATTCAGCATCTCAGGTGTGTTTCATCGTCCAGGATAATCGGCCCTTTAACAACAGGAAGTAGAACCAATAATTCACTTCCTTACACATCGATAAACAGTGACGTCGGCGATGCGTTCAGGTTGGCTGCGTCGTCCTGTCAGACTGAACTGAGGGCAGGAAGCGTGGGTGCGAACTCCTGGTGGTCATGTGACTCCAGATTGAATCAAGAATGTTTATTTATTTATTTATTTAGTCACAAAACATCCCCAAGTGTGAACAGAAGAAGAGGAAGAGATGGGGAGGCTTTTCGTCACACCTCACAGGAAACCTTTTAAAAAGCTTTTATTTTGAAATGGCAGAAGGAAATGCCCCTGTGATGAAGTCCAGGTGAATTTGGTGTAAACATCGATCAGCTGATCAGTGTCACACATTGACTGCGTTTATTCTTCTTCTATGGATTTACTCTGGACGCTGAAGCTCCACACGACCGCCAGGTGAGAATTAGACGTCCAATGACAAATGTTTAAATGTTATTTTATGTGATTTCTATTTATTTATAAAAAACCCATTTTGGCTGCTTTAAAGTCACTGAAAGAAGTTCCAATCTTCAGAGGTGAATGTTTGGTGATGCGTTCAGGGACACTTTGACACGTGAGAGTTTCAGCTGCCGATAAAACATTGCGTTAGCGACAAACCCGAGGGACAATCAACAATCAACAACACCCTTAATAACAAGAAACCTTCAGAGCTCTGACGTCCAAATGTCCATGAACGCATCAAAGGTTACTTCTGACTCATTGAAATCCGCCTCGAAGCCTAATGGTGCGTTCACACCAAAAGAGAGGGAAACTATTTGCGCGAGTAGATTCCATGTAAAGTCAACGCATGAGGCGAAAGACGCCCGACGCTGTCTATCGACAGCCAATCAGCGTTGAGATGCTCCGCTCGTCATCACCGACGTGCTGCCACCGCGTGAATACACGTTATTACACGGCCGCTCACCGGAGACTCACACACACACACACACACACACACACACACACACACAGCTGAGACTGAACGCCTGTACGATCCGACACAACAGGTCATCAGACCGGCTGCTGGTCCGCCTGAAGCAGCCTGGAAGCCGCAGTCATCCAGACGCGCTTCCTGGAGGAGTCGGTGACATTCCAGCTGTGAGACATCGGAAACGATAACTGTCTCTACGGAGACACGTGACGGAGATAAGTCACGCGTGTGGTGTGAACGGACCATAGCTTTGATGACATCCTCCCTCTTAAAGGAACAGTGCAGTGTTTTAGAAAAGCAGAGAGGCGTTCAGGTGCACCCCGCTCATGTGTGGAGGCTGGAGTCGTTGTTAGCCTAGCTTAGCATAAAGACTTCAGGACCTTTGGGTGTCGAGCTCTATTTTTGTTCATCCTAAATGGTGAACTGAGATAACAGCTAGCTACTTGTTAGCTTGCTAGCTTGACCTACAACAATAAAAGGGACAAAAACAATAACGTTTAATAAAGGAACTGGAAATGTCCCTGTAACGCACATGCACGCAGGCGCGCACACTCTCCCCCCCCGTGTGATTCTATTGATCTGTATCATAAAACATAAGTGGACATATTCCATATGAGTGCTAAAAGAGGAGGAGCTAGTAGCGTATCGGTTGACCTTTGACCTCTTAGCCCCTCTGCTTACTTTCTGATGTTCCTTCATATTTCTCATCTGGTTAAGAGGGCGTGTACAGAGACTCTGGTCTTTTAGAAATGTTTTTTATTGTATGTGATGAAAAAAAAAGAACTGACGACATGGCAATTTGAAAAATCAGTTTGTGAATAAATTAAGTTTATTGAGAAATATTTTACAAACAAAGAGGAGAACTGGTGTCCTGTGGTTATTGTCTGTGTATATCAATTTTATATTATATATATATATATATATATATATATATATATATATATCCACCCATCCATCCATCCATCTGCACACAGGGTCGCAGGGGGAGTCGCTGGAGTCCATCCAAGCCAACTTCGGGCGATAGACGGTACACCCTGGATTGGTCGCGGAGTCGATAATTATATATATAATCAAGACACTTAAAAAATTAGTTGAGAAAGTTGTTTCTCAGAAAAGAATAAAATACATTTTTTTTATTATATCATTTTACAAAAAAAGGTTTCCCTGAAAAGAAAATAATTAATCACTAGACCGATAAGACAACATATTGCAAGAACTAGAAATATGTTTTAAAAATGAAAGTTAAAAATAAAGTGCACCAGCCCAGTGGTCCCCGACCTTTCTTACCTCACGGACCGGTTTCATGTCAGACAATATTTCGCGGACCGGTCGATAAGGTCCGACGGGGGGGGAGTAGTAGTCGTTGCGGGCGGAACGGGGGGGTAGTAGTGCACGGTAAGAGGACAAGAAAAACGCGTGGTGACGCGGGGGAATATGTCAGAGGGACGAGCGCACATAATTAGGACAAAATCCGGTCAATTTTCAAGATAAAAGATTTGTCAGACAAAAAATATATATAAGCTTTCTGTGGTGCGGCCCGGTACCAAACGGCCCACGGACCGGTACCAGTCCGCGGCCCATTGGTTGGGGACCACTGCACCAGCGAACAAAAGGAGACAAGTGTATGTGCATGTGGAGTGTGAAGGGAGTGAAAAAATGTCAGTCGGTCAGTGGGGGAGCGGAGCTTTTGTCTGAAGAAATGCGTAAATATGAGCCAGACTTTAGAACCAGGAAGTGAAACCAGTAAAAAGGCAGACGCAGGAACATGGCCGGTCTTTACCTGCCATGATCATTCGAACGTGAGCTGTGACGCCTCACGTCACGCACGTATTTATCAGAAGGAAAACTGGAGGATGCGGGCATCGATCCCGCTACCTCTCGCATGCTAAGCGAGCGCTCTACCATCTGAGCTAATCCCCCGGTGAGGGGAGCAGGTGGGTTTGGCGCTATTAATGGTTGGTCTATCAAAGTTAGAATAAACAGAGAGAGGAGTTACGTACGTAAAGTAATATGAAATTTCACTTTCTTGTTTCTTGCTCTTCTTGTTTGTATCCGTATGGTTGAAATGCACTTATATTAAGTCGCTCTAAGTCGCTATGTGATTGAATGTAATGCTTACAGTCAATCTTGTTTTTCCTTTGGCTATTCTGTAGCTGAAAGTACTCGTGTACTTTTACTGTTTTAGATACCTGATGAGTCAGCTGTAGATGACCATACTCAATAGGAGTCTGCTATGGAGACCTCCCGGGACCTGAAGTTGGCCTCCAACACATCAGGAAGAAGGCCCAGCAGTGGTTGACCTTCCTCCCCTGGAGCTGCTGGTCCTGATCTACTCCACCATCACCCAGTTGGTTCTCTGCTGCTCCATCTCAGTGGTTTGGACCACTAAACAGGACTATGACTACAGCGGACCATCAGATCAGAAGCAGCAGAACCAGGACCAGCTTCTTCCCTCTGATGCCCTTAATCACCACGCGTTGAAAATTCAACCCACGTCCTGGTTGTAAACTCATGCGAGGCTGATAATACTTGTGTACTTTTCTCATTGAAAGCTTTATTAAATAACAGCGTACGTTTAGACTGTGGTGCTTTTCCGTTAGTACTTTTGTCCCACTGAACCAGGTACTAATAAAGTACTTGTACCTCCTCTCGCTCCCAGATCAGCAGTCCGACAGGAAAACACCCAAATAAGGCTCGAGGAAGTGATGACGCGTCAGAGCCTGATCCGAGCTGTGACGCGTCTCCGCGTTTCCGGCCACGGCGGCTCCCCGCTGCCCGTTTACCGGCTGCAGTCCGGCTGTGAGATGGTGACCGCCGATCGGGACCGGAATCTGGACTCTCCTGGGACCGTCCCGCTACAGGGGAATCAAAGAGAGTAGCGGGCTGCAGGCGTCTCCGCTCTGCCCAAATATGGGCTTTCCCCCGCCGCGTCAGGACGGCTACGTCACGCAGGAGTCTTTATAAAGGCGAATCCTCGCTGAGGAACGTGACACATTCAAGTTCAAGTTGTCAGGGAGCCACATCCGGGGTATCTCCACACGTCCACGCGGGACCCGGAGCCTTCGACCCTTCCAGCGTGGGCTTCCTATCAGGCATCCCCGACCCCCCCCCCCTCCGGCAGCAGCAGCGGCAGCCCGCACAGAGCGCCTCTCCGCCGGCTCAGGAGCGGGGATCCCCTCGGTTCTCCGGTGCTCCTCCACCACCTCCTCCACCAGACCGATGGCAGCGACCAGAACCGAGCTGCCGGTGTCCGCGCTGCAGCCCCTGGACCCCCTGCCCGGCTTCCCGCCGCCCCCCTCCCCTCTGGACGGCTACTGCTCCCAGCTGGAGGAGCTGCTCCTGCTGCTGCAGACCGCTGCGGGGGGGGGCTCTCCGCCGGCCGCGTCCGCAGCGCAGGGACCCGGGCTGCAGAACGCCGAGCAGGACGGAGGTGAGGAGGAGAAATCTCACTTTAACTCCTGATGTTCTCCTTCCATCCAGTTAGGTTCATTTAATGCAAAACAACAAACTGCCAGAACACATTACTTTGCAGTTACTTTGCAATATTTGATATGTATTCCAACATGGAAAAAAGCAGTAAATAACGCTGTGACAATCTTATTTTTTATTTAATACCAACGAGGCGCTCTATTTGCCTGCCCAGGGATTAATTTGATTCATTACTTTAATGATGTTTATGCAGCTGAGCAATGAATCATTATTTATGAGTCATTATTTAGTTATTTTTAAATGGTATGTCATTTTTATATATTATATATTAAATTACATTTTGGTGGCACGGTGGCGTGGTGGTTAGCACTGTCGCCTCACAGCAAGAAGGTCCTGGGTTCGATTCCGCCCAGTGGCCTTTCTGTGTGGAGTCTGCATGTTCTCCCCGTCTCTGCGTGGGTTCTCTCCGGGTTCTCCGGCTTCCTCCCACAGTCCAGAGACATGCTCTGGTGATCAGGTTAATTGGGGACTTTAAATTGCCCGTAGATGTGTGAGTGTGAATGGTTGTGTGTCTCTGTGTAGCCCTGCGATTGGCTGGCGACCAATCCAGGATGCACCCTGTCTATCGCCCGAAGTTGGCTGGGATGGACTCCAGCCCCCCCGCGACCCTGTGTGCAGGATAAGCGGTTTGACAATGGATGGATGGATGGAAATTACATTTTGTTTTAGTAGTATTATACATAGTATAGTATATGTAGTAATATATTAAATTATTTACAATCCTTTAAGTTATATTCCAACCCTCCATCCATTGTCAAACCGCTTATCCTGCCCAGGGGGGGGGGGGGGGGGGCTGGAGTCCCTCCCAGACAACTTTGGGCGTCTTAAGTTATATTATTCTAGTATATTTTTACACGATTTTTATGTTATGTATATTATATTAAATTGTATGGTCTATTTACGTATGTTATGTAATTGTATTTTATACATATTTTTCATTTTATTAACATTTTGTTATATATTATTATATTATATGAACTCTTACAATATTAAAAGAAGTTTTAATGTTAACCTAATCGTCTGCAGCCAATCAAAGCGCAGCAGACCAGCTGATCACTTCTTCTTCTGGGGGTCTTTCTCAGACTCTGTGTCGGACCTGGACCAGCACGGCTTCTCCCCTCTGGCCTACAGCGGTCGCTTCAGCTTCGAGCCCGCCTGCAGCGCCGGCCTGTGGGCGGAGCCTCTCCTCAGCCTCTTCGAGGGTTGGTCAGCGTCCCCCCCGCTGCGGGCTGCGCCGCCTCCCTCTCTTTGTTGTCATCGCCGGTGAGGTCATCACCGCCGATCTTTAGCTGCGGCTCATCTGACGTCACCTCCCTCTTCTCCGCCACGCCGATGTACACGTCGGCCGCCGGTTCCGACCTCTGCACCCCCCGCCGACTCCAGCAGCCCACCAGGCTTCCGCCTCAGGTCCCCTCCCCCGCCGCTACCCGGCTCTCAAGTGAGTGCAGATGCTTCCCGACTGCCAGCACAGCGAGCTTGTTCCCAACCCGCGCGCTCACGCACTCTCTGCATTCAAGCCTCTCTTGCAGAGTCAACCCAGAAGCCCCGCCCACCGAGCACACTAACAAATCGTGCCGAGCAAAAAAGTCCCCCACCGACGACCGTCCAGAATGCCGCCGCATGAGCGCCCTACGCGTGCCAGCCACGCTGCGAGCGCGCTCTCGCGCTCGACGAGCTGACGCGTCACGTGCGCGTGCACACGGGCCAGAGGCCGTTTCAGTGCCGCATCTGCATGCGCAGCTTCAGCCGCAGCGACCACCTGACCACGCACATCCGCACGCACACCGGGGAGAAGCCCTTCGCCTGCAGCGAGTGCTGCCGCAAGTTCGCCCGCAGTGACGAGCGCAAGCGGCACGCTAAGATCCACCAGAAGCAACGGGAGGGCCGGAGCTCCGCCCCCTCTGTCAGCGGGCCCCGCCCCTACTCCTCGCCCTGCTCCTCCTATTCCTCCCCCTCCCTCTCCTTCACCTCCTCCTGCTCCTCTCCAGTGGGGAGTCTTCAGTCCAACGTTCACCGTGACCTTTGACCTGGAACTGGAACTCTGCCCTTGTGTGAACAGACAAGGTCAAAGGTCAAACACATGAACGTAAAACACAGAGGAGAAGAGACTCTTACGAATGTGCAGAGTACTTTTATAAGTGTACATAATGTCTACATGTAGTATAAAGTACATGAACGTGTACCTACTGAGTAGGTTAGGGGATCTTTTTCATGTTTTTATACTCAATGTATTTTTACATCAACGAGTCATGAGAATAAAATGTCAACGCTGCTGGTGCTTTAATTTATTTTCTATGAGGCAGATGACAGTGGGATTGTGTTAATATTTACATTTTAATAATTAAATACACAAACACATGCATTTAGATATATTATTTATTCATCTATTATAGAATTTCATAAGTTATTTTTCTGGTAATTTTGTCCATTTGAAAGCTGTATCTGGAGGTGCACATGCACGCGGGGATCTATTGTGTGCAAGTGCGTGTTTCAGCCAACAGCTCTCAGCTGTAACAACAAAGCAAAAGCCCAAATATGGTATTTCCTGTCACTGCAGCGGACGTGACCATGTTAGGAGCCCTCCGCGTGCGTGTCGGAGTCGGCCAAGCTGTGACGTAAGCAGACAGACGGGAGCGCGTGCGTGTGTCAGTTATCTGACAGCTGTAGTAACTGTTGTACATGTACACACATGATGCAATACCGTACTAGTAAATGAAGTATGTTTATACATATAATGTATAATATAATAAATAATATAATAATAATGATATCTCTCGTATCACGTCGTAGTAGAGGCAGTTTCCGTAGTGTAGTGGTTATCACGTTCGCCTCACACGCGAAAGGTCCCCGGTTCGAAACCGGGCGGAAACAATCTTTATCGTTTTCAAAACATTTCGCATGAATTCATTCACAGCGCAACTTCAATGTGAACCAGGTTAAATCGCATTGAACGTGAAATAAATATAAAGGCTCAGCTGTATTTAAACATGTTGTCTTTTGTCACGTCCTCCGTTGCTTGGAGGATTACCCACAACCCTTTGCGCCCACGACTGGATGCAGGTACGGGTTTACAACAGCAGGCGGCGCAGATTCCCCATTGTGCGTTGAAATATCCAGTTGCAAGTGGATCAGACTTCCTGTCCGACAGGAAGCAGCGCGTGAAGCTGGGAAACCGTCTCAGCCTCTCGGACCATCAGCACCGGTTCCCCCCAAGGCTGCGTTCTCTCCCCTCTGCTCTTCCCCCTGAACACCAACAGCTCACCTGTCCGCCAGGCTCCTGACACCACCCTCATAGTACTGATCTCTGGTGGGGACGAGTCCGCCTACAGGTGGAGTCTGACCATCTGGTGTCGTGGTGCAGCCACAACAACCTGGAGCTGAACTTAGTTTGCTATAGATAAGTGGTGTATAAGTACAATGTAAGTGCCACATTTTGTTAGTGTTTTTAGTTGAGGTAAAGTCTGAAGAGGATTGTCTCTAGAATTGAATCTTCATTTTCTAAAAAAAAACTTCTCGATCTTCTCCAACCTCCTCCAACCCCCTAGTCCTCCTCCCCGTCCACCCGTCTTCCGGGTGACTTTGTCAACTACTTTACCAAGAAAATAGCTGACATACGCTCCTCTTTCTCAAACCCACTGGCTTCACCTCTATCGCCCTCACTTCCCTCCTTCACCCCCGTCTCCTAACCAGGTTCTTACCCTAGTAACCTCTGCTCTGTAATATTTACATATAAAGACCCCCGACGAGCAAGTAGGATAAATAACATGCAGCATCTTGACAGGATCAGATCTTCTGTTTTCATATTTTATGTAATTGTCCACTGGGACTCAATGAGGAACCGATGACCTCACACCTTAAAGTGTGATGTAACAAAACACACAGACTTAACATTTGTTCCCACATAATTTCACTCCGGATCAAATAATAAATCACATAAATCTGTAACACAATGTTAAAATCTGAACTATTCAACAACCAAGAAGGAAATCACATCTTTTCTGTTGCCGTAGTAACTGATTACATTTACTCATCTATTCTACTAACGTTCAAAGTACCTTCACTTAACTTGTGGGTATTTATTTAGGATATATTTCCATATTTCAGGTTTAATCAAAACTAAAGTAAAGTGATCACATATTATTATTATTATTATTGATTAAACTAAAAGCAATATTTGAAATCATTAATGATATTAATAAAGCTGGAGATCATTTTAACTACTTTATACACATAATATTTAGGCTGGGAACTTCCTAATACTACTTCATAGCTTATTGGTTGATTTAAGGAAGTTAAGTTTAATGGAAATACTTAAGTGAAGTACTACTCAAAAATTCTACCACTTCAAAGACATTTATTTTAACACTTACTATCAAATGTACACCATAAACAATATGCTTTAACTTTTACCTTTGGTACTTTGACGCTAGGAGTACTTTTACCTAATTTACCCAGTAACATGGGTGCATTGTTACTATTCTGTGGTGTCGGATGGGCGCGCTTGATTCGTTGAACCCAATGTGCTCTAGTCCAGGCTGTAGATGTTCTCCTGGACGGGCCTCCTCATCCGGATCTCATAGATGATGTGAGCAGGTTCTTCAGAGGACAAGCTGCAGCAGAAGGTCAAAGGTCAGCTATGGTCACTTCACATTTTCACCTCAAAATATGGAGAGTAGCTATTGATATTATCATTTTTAAAATACATGTTATTATTTGTAATATTAATACAATTCCTATTACCAAATATATATATATATATATATATTATATTATATTATATTACATTATATATATATTATATATATATAATATTATATATTATGCCAAATAATGATTTAAGTATATTGTTGTTAATATAAAATATTATTACACACATTACCATTATATCTGTCATTATTATTATTAATTATAAAGCGAAATCACATCAGGCCACCATACTGATGATCAACATCATTTCTACACAGTCGATTTGTTTCCTTCAGAACTAATCAGACGTGAATATAACGCTAACAGATAAGCTAGGCTAACGTCAGGGGTTAGCAGTTAGCGGTCGGTAGCCAATAAGAGGAGGAGTCCGATGCGGGTGCAGAGTGGTCGTTTCACTGCTCCAAAACGTACCCACAATGCAACTCTCGTCATAAGCTCGCCAACAACATAAGACTGGCGGTTTGACTCACCAGCTGTTTGTTACGGCTCGTCTGTAAACGCCACCTGCAGATTGAGACGAGACGTTAGAAATACTGAAACCAAATATTCTGTATCCTGCTTTCTATGGGAAGAACAAACATACGTTTGAAGGCCAGAAAGAGGAAACCGACGGCCAAGACGAACAGCAGAGAGACGGAGAGAGAGAGGACGGGAACGTTGATGTGGAGGGAGAGAGACGAGTCGTCCACCTCCCAGAAGACAGACAGAGGATTCACCGTTAGACTCCTTAAAATACACAAATCCAGAGACCAGAGGAGTCGCCCCCTGGTGGTCACTGCGGGGAATGACTCACTGTAACGGTGTCGGAGCGCAGCATCGTGGAGTTCCTCCCCAGGAGGTCCAGCTGAGACGACAACAGCGTCTTCCAGTTCACTGCCTCGAAATAGACACAAAGACGCTTAGAACCAACTGATGATTTGTTCTTTTCTTCTACTGCCGAGTGGATGGAAACTGTGATATTTAGATGTAAAGGCTACTCGCTCGATGCTAAAGACACATGAATTAGAAACAGAATACAACCGCTGGGAACAAAGTGAGCAAAGCCAATTAGCCAATTAGCTAGTTTGATTGACTTTGAGTGACAGGGTTGAACATGGGGTCAGTGTAGCGTTAAAGCAAGGTGGAGTTAGCCAGTCAAGCTACATTGGTGGCTCTCTGCTAGTTAGCTAGTTAACTCTGTCGCTACACCTGCCTCAGAAAACGAGTCTGGTGAAAGAAAACTAGGTTAAGACTTCAACAAACATTACCGCCCACGTGGCAACGTTCACCGAACAACGATCCGCTTGATTTAAATAGAAAACCTTTGTTGTATCTCTGTGGGCGATTGTCGAGTCTCTGGGACCAGCAGGTGGATCCATGGCTCACCTGTGGAAGCCGATGGCTGTGTGAGGTCACCGGTCGCCGTGGGCGACGTTGCTGGTGCTCGTGGAGGAGAACTGGCCACCGGAGCTGAGGAGCAGGAGAAGATCACTCTGATTGGATCATATTGACGTTCAGGGAGGACAGAGATCCACCTGAGGAGGACTCACCTTTGACCACCCTCAGGTTCATGATCACCTTCTTGTCGTTGAAGATCCCGTCCACGTCAACCCTGCAGCAGTACGGCCCGCTGTCTGTCCGCCTCACGCTAAGGATGTCCAGGTCCATCTGTCCGTCCAGGACGTCCCCTGCCAGCCGGTAACGGTCCGCTACCTGCAGCATCGGGGGTCAAGGATCCGATCCCCGCCATTTCGTTTTTTTATCAACCAGTGAATAGGAAGTGACCTTAGCTAGATTTAAGAGGATATGCTGTGTACGTCTCTGGTAAAGACCTGTCAATCAGCGTGTAGCCCCACCCTGAAGCTTTATGGTCTGTTTGACTCTAAATGAACCATAACTCACTAATGACGCGTTTCCACCGAGTGGTACGGGTCGGGTCGGGTCGGTACCCTTTTATTTGTGTCTCCACTGCCAAAAGTTGAGAATGGTACCAAAACCGTACCGTCCCACTCTTTGGGTTCCCTTCCGTTGGGGCACCTGGCACAGTTGTTTGGTACTAAAGGGCGGAGCTAGACTCACTGCAGAGCGTTGATTGGTTGAGAGTGTCGTTATTTGCGCGTGCCGCAAGGGGAAAGACAACACACGTAACACACCTGCAGCATGTAGCCTTTGCTCAAACAAAGAGTGTCGTCTCCTTGTGACAAACAGCCACATATGGAGAAGCAGGAACAGGATCGGCTGCACGTCCTCCATTGTTGTTTGCAGTTAGCTTTCAGTGTTCGCGCGATCGAATGACGTCAATCTACTTTCCGTCACACACCACGCCTATCAAGTGACGTTATCACTACTTTCTGGAATACACCACGCCTATCAAGTAAGGGTACTGTTGGCGGTGGAAACGCTCGCCAAATCATGGTTAACAGACCCGACCCGTACCGCACCCCTCGGTGGAAACGCGCCATAAATGAACATCATGTTGTATTGAAGAAGACTTGAAACTAGAGACTGAGACCATAAACCCCTGTTTACGTTTACTGAGGGAATAAATCAAGAGAGAAGTAGAGTCATTTCCTCATAGACGTCTATGGGAGCAAAGGAGTCGCCCCCTGCTGGTCACTACAGAGAAGTAGAGTCATTTCCTCATAGACGTCTATGGGAGCAAAGGAGTCGCCCCCTGCTGGTCACTACAGAGAAGTAGAGTCATTTCCTCATAGACGTCTATGGGAGCAGAGGAGTCGCCCCCTGCTGGTCACTACAGAGAAGTAGAGTCATTTCCTCATAGACATCTATGGGAGCAGAGGAGTCGCCCCCTGCTGGTCACTACAGAGAAGTAGAGTCATTTCCTCATAGACGTCTATGGGAGCAGAGGAGTCGCCCCCTGCTGGTCACTACGGAGAAGTAGAGTCATTTCCTCATAGACGTCTATGGGAGCAGAGGAGTCGCCCCCTGCTGGTCACTACGGAGAAGTAGAGTCATTTCCTCATAGACGTCTATGGGAGCAGAGGAGTCGCCCCCTGCTGGTCACTACAGAGAAGTAGAGTCATTTCCTCATAGACGTCTATGGGAGCAGAGGAGTCGCCCCCTGCTGGTCACTACAGAGAAGTAGAGTCATTTCCTCATAGACGTCTATGGGAGCAGAGGAGTCGCCCCCTGCTGGTCACTACAGAGAAGTAGAGTCGTGTTCTCATAGACGTCTATGGGAGCAGAGGAGTCGCCCCCTGCTGGTCACTACACAGAATGCAGGACTCTTCTGACCTTGGAGACGACGCCGTGCTCGTCCGTCTGCACCAGGATGTTGTTGCACCAGAACGTCCCGCAGCCACGACCCCAGCAGACCCGGCTCAGACCGAACCGCTTCACGGAGTACTGACAGGACAGAGAGGCCACGCCCCCTTCCGCCACTTTGAATCCACTAACGGCCACTGCAGAGAAGCATCAAGCACAAAAGAAATATTCATATACAAGCAGTAGAAATATAATAAGCAAAAATATATATTCAGTGCTTTAGTGGGGGCTCACTCCAAGATAAAAGACTACTTTTAGGGGATTATTACATGTCACTGGATTATAGATTGAAATATTTTATTACATTACAGGTCATTTAGCAGACACTTTTATCCAAAGCGACTCACATTACACTTTTTTTTTTTACATTTGGCCCGGGGAGCAATTAGGGGTTAGGTGTCTTGCTCAGGGACACTTCGACTTGAGACATGGGGCAGCCGGGACTCAAACCTCCAACCTTGCGCTTCCCAGCGCTTCCCAGCACTCCCGCTCTACCCCCTGCGCCACGACGCCCCCATTTTATGTATTCCTTAAATGTGTACTTAAGTGCAGTACTTGAGTTGTGGCGAATGGACAATGTCCCTGAACCCGAACGCACGACTCCCGAGACGGGGTTCAAAGTTTATTTACCAAAGGACACAGAGGAAAAACCAGTACTAGTTTCTTGCCGGTTAATTTTCAAAATAAAACTAAGGAAGGAAATCTCGACACAACCTGATCAGCGGCGCTTCCTGGACATGACACGAGGAAATGTAGGCTACTTCTTACCAGATAAAGAGTTACTGAGGTCATTTGCTGAACTACTTCCATACATAATATAATGTTCATATAGTGTAACCACAGTGCCTCTCATAAAAATACACACTTAAAGGCCTCATGATGTCACTTCCTGTCCAACAAATCCCACTACGACTGTAATGAAGACCAAAGCACAACGTCACTCAGCATCACTCTATGGTACTAATACTACAAATATTCTGTTACAGTAAAAGTACAAATGCTACAGAGTCATTGTATTCCAATTCTGTAAGACTATTAATACAACACATTATTAAAGTAATGCTACACAGAAAAGTACTGTTGGAGTAAAAGTAGTAATCTCACAGAGCGTAAATACCCACATACAGTAAAAATATTAATACCACAAGGTGGAAAATACTCTTATTACGGTAAAGGCACTAAGATCACAAAATAAGAATTATCTGTTATCTTTAATTATCTAGATCAAGTACTACAAAGTACAAACACTCGGTTGCATTAAACATTGATGACGTCTGGAAGAAGAATCCAGGAGAAAAGACTTAAGACTTCAAATCATAGATTATAATGCTGCTAATTTGTTTTAATTATTACCGTAGCTTCTGTATGTTCTACGATACGCGTGTAGTAGGACAACAACACCCCCTCTGACACGTAGCACGACACTCAAAGCAGAGCAACACACTGATGACATCACAACACCAGGTGGTGATGTCATCACATTGTCTCACCTGGCAGGACAAACAGCAGGAAGACGATGAAGGTTCGAAGCGTTCGCCGGCGGCGAGCCGAGACGGCCGCCATCCTGTGTGTGTGTGTGTGTGTGTGTGTGCGCCCATTGTCCAGTTAAACAACAACGTAGTGTGTCTCTGTGGGCCGGGGGACGGGCCTGAGACACACAGTGTGTCTCTGTGGGCCGGGGGACGCGCCTGAGACACACAGTGTGTCTCTGTGGGCCGGGGGACGCGCCTGAGACACACAGTGTGTCTCTGTGGGCCGGGGGACGCGCCTGAGACACACAGTGTGTCTCTGTGGGCCGGGGGACGGGCCAGAGACACACAGTGTGTCTCTGTGGGCCGGGGGACGCGCCTGAGACACACAGTGTGTCTCTGTGGGCCGGGGGACGCGCCTGAGACACACTGTGTGTCTCTGTGGGCCGGGGGACGCGCCTGAGACACACTGTGTGTCTCTGTGGGCCGGGGGACGCGCCTGAGACTGTGAGACTTTTAATTCTAATGATGTGTCTGAGAAGAGAAATGTTTTAGTTGAGGAGGAGAGATACTCAAAACCACACACCCGTCCCACACACACAGTCACACAGTCTCACACACACACACACACACACACACACACACACAGTCACAGTCACACACACACACAGTCACACACACACACACACACACACACACAGTCACACAGTCACACACACACAGTCACACACAGTCACACACACACACAGTCACACACACACAGTCTCACACACAGGCTTTGTGGGGACGTCACAGAGGACTCATTATTCACACACATCCTTCTGTTTTACCCCGAGAGGCTTTTAGTTTTTCTAACTGCAGAGTGATGTCACAGAGGAGGAAATGGGCGTGGCTTGCTGTCAGCTGTTTACCTGGACAGGTGTTGATGGAGACGCTCCTCTGAAAGTGGCTGAGCTGTGATTAGAGAGGCGAGTGCTAGAGGGGGTCTCCTGAAACACGAACCCGAGGTCGAGGGACCAGACGGCAGCGCTCTGTCCTCCTAGAGGAGACACGCAACGCTTCTCCATCCCCTCAACTCACCGAAGACACAGACGAGCTGGAAGCCTTCGTAGAGACCCGGCCTGTGGGGGACCAGGTACACACCGTCCCGTCCTTTTTGTAGTCTGTGTGCTTTGACAACTCGGTGCAGTTTCTTTTCTTCTTTTTCTGCTTTAGGTTCTGAAGTTTAATGAGAGAACGTCAAGTCTGCTGATGACGATGATTTGTGGAGTCCTCCACCTCTGGACAACCACGGAGACCCCGAGAGACACGTTCACTCGCCTCATAATTACTCCCATTCACAGACATTTAAAATGACTATGGGTCTGTTTAGTTTGAATAACTTTATTAGCACTTAGACCATACCTGGTTTCTAGAGGGATCATGTGTGTATATATATATATATAATCTGCAGCTGCCTCGGCATATTCCATTTAGTCAGCAGGAATCTTTTGGGCCTAAATATAGTACTTGTTAGTGTACTACATCTCAAAGCTACATTTATATTTATCATTTACATTTAGATGAAACATTTTTATTATTTACCAACTGTTACTGCCAAACATCCTTGGAAAAGTTATTGACTGAATTTACATGAATTTCTCTCTAAAAGTTTGAAAAAGTGACATATGAATATTGTCGTGCTTTCTTTTTATATAATAATGGTAAAACCTGCGCAGGGTTTTAGAACGTGCGACATTTTACAAACGGCGCCCACCGGCAGCGGACTGCTCGGACTCCTACAACAATGTCTGCGGTAAAACAACGGAGAGAGAGACTTTTATTCTGAAGGTCATCGGGGCCGGATGTTGGTAGCCGTGTTGTAGCTAACCCGATGCTGGCTGTTTTTTAGCAAATTCCGAAAGAGAATCGCCAGAAAATAGCAAAAACAAAATAAAGTTGGTCAGTGACATTAAATATACCGCACATGTATTTGTAAAAGTTGAATCTTTGGTTCTGACATTGTCAAATGTAAAGCCGAAAGAAGTTTTTAAGCTAACGTTAGCTCATTAGCTACCGAAGCTAACCGGATCCGCTTTTTGGGCTCCGCTTTACTCAAGCTAAAGGTGGACAAATGTGCGTGAAGCGGAGCACCTGTTCGCACGAGCCCGGGGAGCCGTAAAGGTAAGTGTTTGCTTTCCACGACGCGACACCTTGTGCTGCTGCTCCAAGCGAACGTCACGCTAACGTAACCTGACGTCATTTGCTACAGGACAGATAGGACCTTACGTTAATTAAGTATCTCCAGTTCCGCAGCCTAATACTGTACTTGTTATTGTACTAACGTTACATCTCGAAGGTACACATAGCACCTTTTACCGTACTGCGCCTCAGAGGTACAAGTAGTACCTGCAACTGTACTGTGTCCCAGAGGTACTCTGAGACTCGGAGGTCCTTGTGGTTCTGCAGGTCCAGGATGCTCTCGGGGCCGCATGGCGCTCTGGATAGGCCCCTCCTCCGGCTCCCCTTCACCAGCCTGGCGGTGCTGACGGTGCTGCTGCCTCTGACCGGCCTCCTCGCCTGCCTCTTCCTCTCCCTGGTGTACCACTACGAGGACGCCACCTACACGCACTGCCATGTGAGTCCTCGTCCCAACGATTGCCTCCCAGCGTCCTTTCCTATCCACTTCTCCTTGACCTCTGAGGAGAAGTCACAGGGACAAGGAAAGGTGGCAGGAGAGTTCCTGAGGGATTCGGACAAGACAAACGGGGCCGTTGGACCACCTTTGCTATGCTAAACCACCTGGGTTTTGTTCCCCCTCTCCTTTGTCTCTCAGGTGTCGAACTACCTCCCGTCCATCAGCGCCGCCATCAGCCGCGTGCCGGAGCGCTACGTGTGGCGCTGCTGCGTCGGCCTGCACTCGGCGCCGCGCTACCTGGTGTCCGCCGCCTACTTCGCTTTCTACCGCGCCCGCTTCTCCACGCGGCTCCCGGAGCTGCTGCTGAGCGCGCTGGCTCTCCTCTGCAGCCTCGCCGAGAACACGGGCCTGATGCTGCTCACCTACGTGGCGTCCACCGAGTCCTACGGTGAGTCCTACGGCGAGTCGTAGGGTGCGTCCTTCGCTGCGTGCACATCACACTAAACCCCCGCATTTGTCTCCACAGACGTTCATAAAAACGCCTTCATCGTGTTCATCGCCAGCTCGCTGCTGCACATGCTTGTCACCTGCAGACTGTGGCAGGTGATCAGGAGACACTACGTGAACCCGGAGGTGGGCACACACGAGAGGAACACAGTTGTGTAGATAGGAGGGGGGCTCCACAGATCCACAGATGGGATTCTAGGGGACCTAGAAGAGTGGTCATGGTTAGTGGTGCTTGTGAAATAGTGTCCTAACCCTTGTGCGCATAATGCGATTAATCGAGTTACATTTTTCATCTTTGCTCAGCACTATTCGAGCTGTCACAATATCAAATTTATGTTGCGCGATTATTGCACCAACATTTATTGCGATATTATTGCAATTTTCAGACCATTTTATGCCGCTGATAACACAATGACAATATAATAGAGTAATAAAACGGTTTATTTGTCAGAATAGTTAACAATTAAAATCGGAATGTGAAAAAAATATCCTAATTAAAACAAAAAATAAATAAGTGCAAGGGACACGGAGCGGGCGGAGCATCGGGCTCAGTGCGATGCGGTCAGGTTTCGAGAAAATGTGTCCAGCGCGCCGCAGCAGCTCGGGGACGGCGTTCCTCAAGAGGAGAAGGAGCGGCCCGGAGGAACCGACAGTAGTTCAGGTTGAAAGTAGGTTCTTGTTCCTCCGTCACATTTTACAACCCATTGTGGCCGCGAGTCACCTGTCCTAGGAGGGACATCTATAGGCCTGTCCTATAGGAGGGACATCTATAGGCCTGTCCTATAGGAGGGACATCTATAGGCCTGTCCTATAGGAGGGACATCTATAGGCCTGTCCTATAGGAGGGACATCTATAGGCCTGTCCTATAGGAGGGACATCTATAGGCCTGTCCTATAGGAGGGACATCTATAGGCCTGTCCTATAGGAGGGACATCTATAGGCCTGTCCTATAGGAGGGACATCTATAGGCCTGTCCAATAGGAGGGACATCTATAGGCCTGTCCTATAGGAGGGACATCTATAGGCCTGTCCTATAGGAGGGACTATAATGCATCTGTAGACACACCACAGGGTCCCTGGACCTGAGAAGGGAAGAAAATGAGTTTAATGTGGATATTAAATGGGACTAAAACTAAGAAGGATTAAAATGACTAAATGTGACTAACGCACACTGCAAGGAAACAAAGCTGCGTTCATATCATTTATTTATCTCGGCTGCAATAATCTCACATTAACGTGTTCATTTTGACAGCGTTAATATATATGTATATATTTAGCTGTGTGTGTATATTTTATATGTGTGTGTGTGTGTGTGTGTGTGTGTGTGTGTGTGTGTGTGTGTGTGTATGTATGTATGCACATGTTTCTCTTGGATGCTAAAGTTAGCTTAGCATCTAATTCTCTCTGTGTCCGGCTCAAGGAGATCACGTCGTTCCGCTGGAAGCTGCGTCTTTTCCTGTTTAACGTGAGCTGCTGTCTGATCGCCGGATACTTCTTCAGACGCCACAACCAGTACTGTGAGCGCGGAGGTGAGGGATCAGAAGCCCCGGGGCGAGGGGGGGTTCTCCTCCGACCGCTCACCCCCTGTCTCTCTGTGCTCTCCAGTCTACACCCTGTTCGCCTTCTTCGAGTACCTGGTGGTCTTCTCCAACATGGCCTTCCACATGACGGCCTTCTGGGACTTCGGCAGCGAAGAGGTGATCGTGGCCACGCCCCCCGACAAGCGATACTGAAGCAGCCGCCTCACAGGTGAAAGAAAGCACCGACCTTTCTGGAATATTTAAAGGCGTCGTGATGTCGGTGCTGCAGGAGACACCGGAGTTCCTGAAGCGCTGTGACGCCGCGGTAATAAGTTCTCCTTTATAAAAGGAGCGGACTGTTTTTATCAATCAACCAGTGAACAGGAAGTGACCTTGAGGAGGACGTACATGTCGCATGTAGAGACCTGTCAATCAGCGTGTAGCCCCGCCCTAAAGCGTCCCCTGCTTTATGGTCTGTTTGTCTCTTAATGGACCATCATTCACTAAATGAACATCATGCTGTGTTGAAGAAACTAGAGACTGAGACCATGAACTCATGTTTACAACGTTTACTGAGGGACTCGCATTCATTACTCAAGTAGAAATATAGATGCTCGAGTGTAAAAGGACTTCTGTAGAAGTTAAGTATCAACTCAAGCTTTTACTTACAGTATAAAAGTAATGTGAGAGCAAAACAAAAGTGCATTGAGGACAAACTGCTGACGTGTGACCTCGCTCACGGAACATGTCGGTCGTTACAACGTGATCGAAGGTGCCTTCAGATCACGTGACCTGCGTTCTGATGATGGAAACATGGCGACATTCAGAGAGACGCATCGACCCGCATGATACGACAAAGAGATCAGACCAGAAGCCATTTTGCAGTGATGCTAAATGACACGAGTGGGAGGACGGACACACGTTGTCCCACAGACTGCAGCGTCTCCCCAGCTTCACTACGTCATGGGGGACGAGGGGGACACGCCTGTTATGATGATGGAAACACTGAACTGGTAGCTGTCGGTTATCAAAACACCGGCCAAATAACCGGTTTCAGGCTTCACGAGCAAATACAGAATCCCTTTGTGTTCATTTCTTAAGACGCATTAAGACACACGTCACGTCATTGAAGTCGCTGCCATCTGATAGATTCTCAACAAAGTTACAAAAAACCATTCGGGACAAACGCACGGCCATGAGGACACTGGTTTAATCTGCATGCCGCTAAATACCAACTGAGATCAGCGGGTGTCGTTCTGATCCAACAGGAGTCTGAATGTTGGATGTTTCTACTTCTCATCCAACCACAATCTGATTCACGCCGTCCGGATGGCGCCGTTCATCTGCACAGCTTGTTTTTGTGTGCGTGTTTGAACGATGACAAGTAATGAGGTCATTTTTAAAATGTAAGTCAAAATAAATACTCAATACCCCAAATGTCCCCTTAAGTAAGGTAACCGAGTATTTGTACTAACTACGTTATGTTACTTGACACCTCTGGTGAGGAAATAAATCAAGAGTAATTTTCTTATAGACGTCTATGGGAGCAGAGGAGTCGCCCCCTGCTGGTCACTACACAGAATGCAGCTTTAACACACGTTAAAGAACTGGAGGTTCCAGTCGGCTGTCTGTCAGCTCGTTGCTCTTCTCACTTCATGTCATGACTCTGATTCATTGTCTGGTTAAAATAAAGAATCACAAACCACAGATCTACAGTGTGCATTGTATAAATCTGCCTTAAACTGGATGAACTCTATTAGTTTGCTTTTCTCAAAAGGTCAATAATCTCCTCCTCTGGTTTATATTCCAATAACACTAAAGTTTATTCTTTATTGTCGACATGCAAAGTGAAGTACAAACAAACTCTTTCCCTCCGGACTTTGGGTCCTGCTTCTCTTCATTAAATATCAAAAGATTCATCTGAAAGAAATCTACATTTTCCTCAAAGGCCTGAAGCTGAATCTGAATGATCAGTATTTGTCTGATCTATTAACTTACACTTCCTGCACGAGTTTCACAATAAAGGTTCTTTAACATTAAGGTCTTTTATTGTGAAATGCTGGTGAGGTTAGTGAATGTTTAACAATTTAAACCCCCATAACGGTTGTAAAGTGAACAACCAAGAACTACGTCTACTTCCTGTTTGTCTCCCTCTGCGAGGTATTAATACAACATGTACAAGCATGACCACGACAAGTACTGCCAGAAACAAGTATTTGTACGACCACAACAAGTAAAATGAATACCAAAATTGGTTTAAAAAAAAGTACCAACGCCACAAATATCAGCACTGCTACACGTTCAAGTACGACCTCATCAAGTAAAGTAGTTAAAAGTCCTTCATTGAGTTGTGTGTGTGTGGCGCCGGGAGCACAAACACACCTGGGCCCAGGTGTCATTATGGTACCTGAAGCTGAGGAGTCCTTTACACCCACTACCTCCTAAAGTACTACACGTGCCTCTCAGATGTAGTACTGTATAAAGTAGTACACGTACCTCTGATGTAGTACATGTACCTCTGATGTAGTACAGTATAAAGTAGTACATGTACCTCTAGTAAGTACTTTTAGTAGTAATTTTAGGATATTTGTTTACTTTACCAGAGGTAATAATTTGAATGCTTCTCTTTTCTAAGATTCTACATCGATAACAGTGTTTAACACTCAGTACGAGTAAATGAAACCGTTTATTCAACTTCCTCATTTCTATTTACGGATCATTTCACCACCGAGCTGCTTCCTGTATGAGACCGCTTCCCGTACAGGATCAGGACCACACGGAACTGGTTCCCGTACAGGATCAGGACCACACGGAACTGGTTCCCGTAGAGGATCAGGACCACACTGAACTGGTTCCCGTACAGGATCAGGACCACACGGAACTGGTTCCCGTACAGGATCAGGACCACACCGAACTGGTTCCCGTACAGGATCAGGACCACACCGAACTGGTTCCCGTACAGGATCAGGACCACACGGAACTGGTTCCCGTAGAGGATCAGGACCACACGGAACTGGTTCCCGTAGAGGATCAGGACCACACTGAACTGGTTCCCGTAGAGGACCAGGACCACACGGAACTGGTTCCCGTACAGGATCAGGACCACACGGAACTGGTTCCCGTACAGGATCAGGACTACACGGAACTGGTTCACGTAGAGGATCAGGACTACACGGAACTGGTTCACGTAGAGGATCAGGACTACACGGAACTGGTTCACGTAGAGGATCAGGACCACACTGAACTGGTTCCCGTAGAGGATCAGGACCACACTGAACTGGTTCACTTAGAGGATCAGGACCGCACGGAACTGGTTCCCGTAGAGGATCAGGACCGCACGGAACTGGTTCCCGTAGAGGATCAGGACCACACGGAACTGGTTCACGTAGAGGATCAGGATCAACATTTAAAACAATAGATTACGTTGGAGTTTCATCTTGATTTTAATCGTTTTTTTTACAGTTCATCACAAATGCTTTAAATTAACACTCGGCCCCCCAGGACCAGACCTGGCCCCGTGAGTCCCACATAGCCCAGAACCTTCCTACCCCCCCAAAGATAAACCTCTAACCACAGGGTCCTCCACACAGTGTCTGAGGGGGCGATGACCCAGCCGGTTCTGGGGCGGGCTTGGCCTCTGAAGCTCCGCCCCCTCACAGCAGGACACAGTGCTTCTTCTGGACGGCAGGCTGCGGGTCGAGGACGGCCCTCACAGCCTCGGCGAACACGTCTTTGATGCCGTCCTGGTTGAGGGCGGAGCACTCCAGGTAGCGTGCGGCGTGGATGTGGCGTGCGAGGGCGGCGCCCTGCTGGTGGCCCACGGGCGCCTGGTTCTGCTCCTTCAGCTTCCGCTGCGTCTCGCCGTCGCTCCGCAGGTCGCTCTTGGTGCCCACCAGAAGGATGGGGACGGCGGGGCAGTGGTGAGACACCTGGGGGGCAGAAATCAGAGACAGCCTTGACCTTTGACCCTCTGCTGCATTGTGGGAATGAATATAAAAGCATGCTGCCTTAAATACGACCAGAACATTCTGGGGTTTTAGACAAATCCGATGTGATGCTTTTCAGTAGCAGCCGGTTAGCTTAGCTTAGCACAAAGACTGCAAACGAAGGGAAACCGCTAGCCCGTTCTCCTTAAGTACCACTGGAACCAAATTGATTCATCAAGCCGTCAAAGACCCAATTAGAGCTTAGCCGACGGGAAGGTGTTTGACCTCTGACCTCTGGGTGCCACTTGTGCTTGACGTTCTCGTAGGAGGCGGGGCTTGAGATGGAGAAGCAGATGATGAAGACGTTGGTCTGCGGGTAGGAGAGCGTCCTTAAGCGGTCGTACTCCTCCTGACCTGCCGTGTCCCACAGGTTCAGACTGATGACCCGGTTATCCACGGTGACCTGAACGCACCACGAGATGCACACGGACGCACAGGAGCACACGCTGGTCAGGGATTTGAACCAGCTGAATTTTTGAAAGTAACGGACACACACCTGGCTGCTGTAGTTGTCAAACACTGTGGGGATGTACTCCTTGGGGAAGGCTCCTGTTGTGTAGGAGATGAGGAGGCAGGTCTTCCCCACAGCACCATCACCCACCACCACGCACTTGATGCTCTGCATGACCTCTGACCTCAGCAACCTGCAGCACAGCCAGCTGTGTACTTTACTAAACACTGTACTACCTCTCAGAGGTACATGTCATACTTAAACTCAGCGATACTGCAGTAGAGGCTCTGAATGGAGCTTTTACCTTCAAGGGATCTGATTGGTCGACTCGTTCTGTCTGTCAGAGACACTTCAGCTTCCTTCAGTCAACACAGTTTGTTCAGAGACACGTGACGGCCCATCGTCTGACTGCAGGGGGGACAGAGGGGGACAGAGGGGGACAGGGGGGTTCATGGAAATGATCTATGCAGGAAACAGTCTAAACCAAACAGACGTTAATCTGCTCGCACACACATGGACACACATGGACACACATGACACACATGACACACATGACACACATGGACACGTTCCATTAGTTTCATTGAATGACTCTTCGTAGGGGGGCTGTACGTAGGGATGGACACTTAGTGAAGAAGACCTGGGTGGGACAGGACTCTGCAGGCCACCTTGGTGGACCTTTGGTGGACAGGTCGCATTGGGTCTCTCAGAGTGTGTTGCCTTTATTTTTTGAATGAAGCTCACAGGGTCCATGTTGGTTGAGCTTCAAGGTTCATCCACGCTCTACATCCACGCTCTACATCCACGCTCTACATCCATGCTCTACATCCACGCTCTACATCCACGCTCTACATCCACGCTCTACATCCACGCTCTACATCCACGCCGGGCTGATGGTGAGGTCCGGCTGATCTGGTCCACCTCTTTTTATCTCTAGTTTCTCCGGCAAAGTTCTTCTCTCGTACCGAGTCGGGTCGGGTCTTCTTGAAGGACGCTGCCGGTCGGCGCTCTGGTTGCGGCGTGAGACTCGCCCTGATGAGAGCGCAGCGAAGGGCCCAAATCTCAATGTATTTTGGCTGAAATTATAATGTCGCTCATTAACTTTAGCAGTGATTGGCTAACTGCTTCTTATGGTTTTGTGTTTCATGAGCCCCTTGCGTGCCTTTTCCTCCCGTATTGCTTGTGTGCGGTGAATTGCTCTGCAACCCTTTTAGAACCATTTTAGAACCATGAATTGAAACGAGTCCATTGACACGACTGCGCGAAAAGAAGCAGTTGCAGAAGTTTGCCGGCGCCTTTAGACCGGCCCGAGTCCAGCTGAGACAAGCGGAGAAGACGTGCAGGAAATATACATATATAACATATATTTTGTGCAGATATCTTAACTTACCAATATTACTGGGAATATTTCATGTTTCAAAACGCAGACAGACGCTTATTGGTGATAGTTTATTTTTTTGTGGCTCCGGGTGGGACAGCGGCCCTCTGTGGACCAGCCGCCACTGCTCCATGAGCACGACATGCACAACATTCCTTGCTCTCAGCTAATGCGGCTAACAGAGCTAACAGCATTTCCTTATGTTAGTAAACCAGTGGCGCACCCTCACATGAACTAACATGAACTAGGAGGCACGGCTCATAAATTAATCCAAAAAATAATTCTAATAAAACTTAAAATATAAAAAATAAAATATTGAAACAATATAAACTATAAATAATTCAACAATAGTAGTAATACCACATACTTATATACGCACACTTTTATAACTTCACGTACAAGATGTTCTTGCCGACATTTCCACGTGTTAATAATTGTCATATATAAGTTCGAGAGCATTTTACAAAAAGTCCATAAAAGATCTCCGAGCTTTTGTTGCTGAGGGAATCAAAACGTTATTCCCCTCTTCATTGACTAAAAATATCATATTTTAAGGAACGATCGACATAAAAAGTGTGTGTGTGTGCATTTTACATTTTTAACTCATAGTGGCCAGAAGAATTCAGCAAGATAAGTCATATAATGCGGTACAAAAGTATGAGCATTAATACAAACATTAAGCACCAAAAGTAAAGTAATGTTGCAGTAAAGGAAGCACCTTTTAAAACTTACTACGCCAAAATATCACATTTCCTTAATGGTTGGGTCTTTTTTGTTTGTTAATAATCTCGGTCTGTAAATCCAACGAACAGGAAGTAACTAACAGCTTCGGTTCCGTCTTGTCAGCTGTGTTCTTTTTCTCTATTTTTATTTCATCGGTACCTCAAAAGAACCGAAGAGGAACCAAAGAGGAACTGAGTCATCTCGCAGCTGAAGAACTTAAGGGAAATCTGTAGAATTGGTGCTCTGTCAGTTGTCTTCCCATAAGAGGCAGACTGAGGAACAGACCTGGACCAGACAAGGACTACGAGACCAACAAGACCAGAGACTACTATATATAATATATACATATGTATATATATATGTGTGTGTGTATATATATGTGTATATATATGTATGTATGTGTGTATATATGTATGTATATATGTGTGTGTGTGTATACATATATGTGTGTATATATGTATGTATATATGTGTGTGTGTGTATACATATATGTATGTATATACATATGTATGTATGTGTGTATATATGTGTATATATATATATATGTATGTGTATATATGTGTGTATATATATATGTATGTGTATATATGTGTATATATATATATATGTATGTGTATATATATATATATGTATGTGTATATATGTATGTATATATACACACACTAAGAAGAAAAATGACCCCTCCCAGCTGCTGAGGAAAGCTGTCGGAGGAGGACACGTTGGAGCAGGAAGTCTGCAGACTGCTGGTCGACCAAAGACCAAACTGCTGATCAGCTTTGCCCAACCCCCAACAGGCCAAAGAGGAACTGGTCTGTGTTGAAACCGAAACAGGAAGGGTTTGTCCGGCGCTGTGTTACATTACATTACATTACATTACATTACATGTCATTTAGCTGACGCTTTTATCCAAAGCGACGTACAATAAGTGCATTCAACCATAGGGTACAAACTCAGGAGAACAAGAAACAAGAAAGTGCAATTTCCTCAAATAAGCGAATTTACAATTTGCTATAGATGAGTGACGTCACAAGTACAGTTTAAGTGCTACAATTTGTTAGTCTTTAGTCGAGGTAGAGTCTGAAGAGGTGTGTCTTTAGTTTGCGGCGGAAGATGTGAAGGCTCTCTGCGGTCCTGATGTCTTCAGAGAGCTCGTTCCACCATTTCGGCGCAAGGACAGCGAAGAGTCGAGACCTAGTCGAGTGTTTTGCTCTCAGTGGGGGAGGGACGAGTAGTTTTGCAGATGCAGAGCGGAGAGTGCGGGTTGGGATGTAGGGTTTGACCATGTCCTGGATGTAAGCTGGACCCGATCCATTCACAGCATGGTACGTGAGCACCAGTGTTTTGAACTGGATGCGGGCGGCCACCGGTAGCCAGTGAAGAGAGCGGAGGAGTGGAGTAGTGTGGGAGAATTTCGGAAGGTTGAAGACCAGTCGAGCTGCTGCATTCTGAATGAGCTGCAGAGGTCGAATGGCGGTGGCAGGGAGACCTGCCAGGAGGGAGTTGCAGTAGTCCAGGCGGGAGATGACAAGAGCCTGAATCAGTACCTGCGCTGCCTTCTGAGTGAGAAGGGGACGTATTCTCCTGATGTTGTAGAGCGTGTATCTACAGGATCGCGTTGTCGCAGTGATGTTGGGAGTCAGGGAGAGTTGGTTGTCGAGTGTGACGCCGAGGTTCTTAGCAGTCGAAGTGGGCGTTAGCACAGAGTTTCCAAAGTTGACTGTCAGGTCCTGGGTAAGCGAGTCTTTTCCGGGAAAGAAAGTTCATCCACTAGAAGGAAATGTGTTCACTGAGACGGTCTGACATGAACCCCAGTGGCTCAGAACCTGCTCTGCTGTCCACCCACAGCTGTCTGTACACCAAAGACAACTAGGACTATTGGTCAATCAGGGTCAAAACCACCAAGAAGTGGTCAAGACCACTCGTTCCACCATTTCGGCGCAAGGACAGCGAAGAGTCGAGACCTAGTCGAGTGTTTTGCTCTCAGTGGGGTCACCAAGAAGACCACACCAAGCCTTTGACTGAAGCACTGCATCTGGGACTGATCCCCATTGAATAACCCACCAGACCCACCAGACCAGGACTAACGTATCAGGGACTATTAAACTAAAGCAGGACAGGAATATTAAACCTGGACTAACACACACAAAACAGGATACAGCTTCAGAACAGAGTAGAAAACCAGAATATGGGCCGAAGGCCAAAGAGTATTTGAGCAAACAAAAGTAGAAAAGCAGAAAAGATCAACAAACTAGGATTGAAATAGCTTGGTGGAAAATATAAAATCAAAAGTTAGATGAACCTCTGGATGTACACTTGTATTTGTGTCCACCTCTGATGGATTCCCCACATCAGCAGTAAGAAATCTCACGCTGTGACCTGCTTCTCTACACAGTTTCCGACCTTTCCTAAATATCTTTAATCACACGTGGTTCTGTGATTCTGCCACTTCCTCTGGGCTCCGTCGGCCCTTTCATTTAGTCAATAGACCTCCAACATCCCACCAAGGTCCAAAGGCCCAAAAACACAAAGGCGAGATGATGTTCCAGATATAAAAAAATGACCGAACAGCTCCAGAAAAGGGACCTTATTGAGAAGTTATTACAGTATTAGTATTATGCTTATTACATCATTAGTATTGTCGTGTGTCGATTTTCAATGATTGACGGATTTGGTTGTAAGATTTCCCTATTTTCGAGTAGGGTTGGCGAGGGAGAGTTCCAATCCTCCAGCTACTACACCACGCGGCGCTAGTGCTCCAACCACTCCACCACCCAGCGGTACAGCTCCTATCACTACACCACCCGACACTACAGATCCAACCACTGCAACCAGTACCCCACACAACACTACGCCTGCATCCACTACACCACCCAACACTACACATTCAACCACTACACCACCCAACACTACACCTCCAGCCACTACACCACCCAACACTACACCTCCAACCACTACACCACCAACCACTACACCTCCAACACTACACCTCCAGCCACTACACCTCCAACCCAACACTACACCCCCAACCATTATACCTCCAACCACTACACCTCCAACCCACCACTACACCTCCAACCACTACACCACCCAACGCTACACCTCCAACCACTACACCACCCAACGCTACACCTCCAACACCACCAACCACTACACCACCCAACACTACACTGCCAACCACTACACCACCAACCTACCACTACACCTCCAACCCAACACTACACCTCTAACCACTATACCACCCACCACTACAGCTTCAACCAGCAGGTTCAACAAACTAACAAACGAAGAGGCTATTGATTCACGGAGGAATTGATCTGCTGATGGGAAGTAGAGCTGACATCAATAACCAGAGAGGAGACACACACATACACACTCTCACACACACACTTACAACCACAGACACACACACACACACTTACAACCACACACACTCACACTCACACAGCCGGTGGGTCTCGGGTGGCTTGAACGACGGAGACTTACCGGTCATCGGTGCTCCTCTCCGGTCACAGAGCTCCGCGTCTGGGCGTGTGTGAGTGTGTTCGTTTGTGAGTGTGTGCATGCGTGTGAGTGTGCAGAAGGGACAGCGGATCTCTATCTCAGTACGAGGTGTGCGGGTGGGGCTAGTGAAGAGGAGGAAGTCCGAGAGGAGAGACAGGGGAAGTGATGGAGCAAGTATGAGGAAGTTTACCGTGCGCGTGCATGTGGGTGTGTGTGTGTGGAAGTAACTTTTCTGTTTGTTCAGTCCGGTCTGAGTTGAGAAAAAAAACCTTGTGTATCTGCTATATTTTAAAGAACCAACCAGAGATTAGCGCGTCAATGTGAGGCCCCGCCCACTATCAGATTGATTGACAGATTTCAGAACAGAAGCTTGGAATTTTTTTGCTGGAAGAGCTGGACATTGTGTGTCCATTTGTAGTCATTGTACCGTCCATTTGTAGTCATTGTGTGTCCATTTGTAGTCATTGTGTGTCCATTTGTAGTCATTGTACCGTCCATTTGTAGTCATTGTGTGTCCATTTGTAGTCATTGTACCGTCCATTTGTAGTCATTGTACCGTCCATTTGTAGTCATTGTGTGTCCATTTTAGTCCTTGTGTGTCCCTTTCAACTGCTGGATGTGTCAAAGGTTTCTTGTAATTGTTTTTGGTAACATGGATGAAGAATTGAAGCACTGAGCTTCAATCACTGATGTTAAAACCACAAACCAAGCTAGAAATCAATGTGTAATTATGGATTCGAACCTCAACCTGAACACTCATATTAAGACAGTTACACAATCCGGATTAGAGGACCTACATCTCAACCAGATTTGGAAAAACGTTTCCATGCATTTATCTCCAGTAGACTCGACTACTGTCTTGTCTTCTGTCCACGTAGGACCAGGAAAGTGGATCACATGTCTTTACATTGACTTCCTGTCAAACAAAGAATTGACTTCAAAATCCTGCTGTTAGTTTATAAAGCACTGAATGGTTTAGATTCCTGATCTGCTGATACTTTATGAATCTCCACAAACCCTCAGGTCGTCTGGGACGGGTCTGCTTTCTGTTCCCAGAGTCAGAGCTAAAGATGGAGAAGCAGCTTCAGTTCTTCTGCTCCACATATCTGGAAGAAAGTCTCAAAAAGTCCCTCAGCTCCTTCAAGTCCACATTAAAGACTTTTCTGTTTGCTGCTGCCTTTAATTCACCATTTCTGAATTTCCGAATGTTGTTACTCAAATTTGATTCTATTTTTATCTTTTTAACGTTGTCCGCGTTTTAAGGACTGTTTTTCGTTAATGTTTTGATCAATGTTCTTAACTGTTTGTAAATCTCCTTGCTTCATGTTTGGAGGTTTTTAATGGTTTTATGTGAAGCACTTTGTCTTTGTGGTCTTCGTGTCGCCAGAGTAGAAGCTGCACCTACTCCGTGCGGCCGCATGGGGGCGCCCTTACACCGCTGCTACGGACACGTGTCGCCTTCAACTGTTAGTAATAGTACAACGATTTAGTATAACAATAACATGTTTCCATTTTTAACATTTCTATTCATGCAAACAGTAATTTCTGAAATAATTATACAATGTAAAGATATTTTTTGCAATAAAATGTAAAAATATTGCCTTTCTCCTTTGCAAACCCAATTTTACTTTTGTTGCATAGCTAGGGTCTTTTTATTTTGTTTAGTTGTATAAAAAAAAAAAATGTAGTAACTAGTTTTGGTAAAAAATTGATTTCCTGTTTTAAAGAATGGTTTAGATGAAAAGTAAAGTACGTAAAGGAGACCAAAGAGGGCTGAGACTGATTATGATTAATTATGATTATAATTTAATTAAGATTATCATATCGTCTTTGAAATCTTAAAACATGTTTATTCCATCAGTGTTTAACTTATTGGTGTTGCGTCTCATAATGCGATCCGTCACTTCTGCTCCACAGGAGAATATGCAGAAGAAATAAATGTTAAATCGCTCACTCTGGATTCCGAGCTCGCAGTGGGTCCGTGAACGCACCGTAGGCCGACGCCTGTTTTCCCTTTTTTTCTCTGCAGCAGTTTGTTGAAGTTTGAGTCTCGAGAAGAAGAAGTGAGGGTCGATGGATCAGACAGAGGACTTCCTCTGCAGCTTTCAGAAGTTTCTCGGTGTGAAGCCCAACAGCTGTGTGACCTCTGACCTCTCGGCGCTTTGTCCTTCAGCAGCTTTGATTTAAAATATAAATAAAAGAAAGAAGAAAACTAATCGATGAAACACTTAAAGCTGAAGTGAGAAAGAAGTCAAACCTCATGGGGTGATACAGGTGACAATGATTTGGGTTTTATTAATTCATTTAAGGCTCATTTACGGTTTAAATATCTCGTTCCGGGTAGTTTAGATTAACGAGAGACCATTTAAAAGCTGAGAAGAATTTTTCAAAATAAAACATTTTAAGTCAGGCGATGTTGGAAGAAGAATCAAATTCTTGTGTTATGTGTGATTACGAACTTCATCTTGGTCCTCTAACATGAGAAGAAGTCTGCAACATGGAACCAGAACCTCTGGGCCCAGAACCTCTGGACGAAGTAAAATCTCATTGGAGAGATACAAAAAAGACAAATGTACTTCAAAGAGACTCAAACTTGCTTTTATTTTGAAAAGGTTCAACTTTGAACATGTTTCCTCCACAGACATGGAGTGTGTGCCTCTGGTGTGCGTTCTGGGTGTGTGTGTGTGTGTGTCAGGGTAGCTCACCAGGCAGAACCTGGACCAGAATCACCTCGCTGTGTCCAGCAGCAAAGCAGCCTCAGGTAGGAAACGCACTTCCTGTCTGTGTGGTAGTACTGCTGGTGCCCAGGGGATGTACTTTATACAGTACTACATTTCAGAGGTACCTATCTCCGAGGTACATGTAGTAATTTATACTGTACTACTGTAGACAATGAGGGAGGTATTATATATTAAATATTGTTGTTGCAGTTCGCCTACAGAGCCAACAGGTCTGTGGACGATGCTGTCAACATGGTCCTCCACTACATCCTCCAGCATCTGGACTCCCCAGGAACCTACGCCAGGATCCAGTTTGTGGACTTCAGCTCTGCCTTCAACACCATCATCCCGTCTCTGCTGCAGGACAAACTCTCCCTGTTGCACCGCCCGACTCCACCTGCAAGTGGATCACAGACTTCCTGTCTGACAGGAAGCAGCACGTGAAGCTGGGGAAACATGTCTCAGCCTCTCGGACCATCAGCACCGGTTCCCCCCGAGGCTGCGTTCTCTCCACCACCAACAGCTGCACCTCCAGCCACCAGTCCGTCAAGCTCCTGAAGTTTGCGGATGACACCACCCTCATTGGACTGATCTCTGGTGGGGACGAGTCCGCCTACAGGTGGAGTCTGACCATCTGGTGTCGTGGTGCAGTCAGAACAACCTGGATCTCGACGCTCTAAAGACAGTGGAGATGGTTGTGGATTTCCGGCGGAACAGAGCCACACCCTCCCCCATCACCCTGTGTGACTCCCCCGTCAATATTGTGGATTCCTTCCGTTTCCTGGGCTCCATCAGCACCCAGGACCTCAAGTGGGAGCTGAACATCAGCTCCATCACCAAGAAGCCTCAGCAGAGGTTGTTCTTCCTGAGGCAGCTGAAGAAATTCAACCTGCCAAAGACGATGATGGTCCACTTCTACACGGCCATCATGGAGTCCATCCTCTGCTCCTCCATCACCGTCTGGTACGCTGCAGCCACAGCCAAGGACAAGGGCAGGCTGCAGCGCGTCCTCCGCTCTGCAGAGAGGCTGATCGGCTGCAATCTGCCGTCCCTGCAGGACTTGTTCGCTTCCAGGTCTCTGAAGCAGCTAAAAAGATGGTAGCCGACCCCTCTCACCCCGGACAAAACCTGTTTGTGCCCCTTCCATCTGGCAGGAGGCTGAGGTCCATCAGGACTAAGACCTCCCGCCACACCAACAGTTTCTTCCCGTCGGCAGTCGGGCTCATCAACAGAGCCGGTCCCCCACTGCCTGACTATAACATCCCACCGGTCACTCCCCCTCACACTGCACATGTCACTTTAACTGTAATTCATCACTTTGTCACTTGTCACTTTGTCTCTTGTCTGTTACTTGTTTGTTAGTGCACTTTATGCTTAATACTTTTCTTTTTAACTTTTTAATATTTAAAATGTTTAACTTTATTCCCTTGTTTTATACTAACCCATAGCCTTATTCTACTAACCCATTGCATCAGCATTTCATTCCACTTTATTTTATTACCTGTGCACTGTTGTCTTGTCTGTCTACTGTCGCGCACTAACCGCCAAGACAAATTCCTTGTATGTTTGACATATTTTGGCTAATAAATGTTTCCTGATTCCTGATTCCTGATCCTGATAACCTCATTGTGTACCTCCTACCTCACCTGGTATCCATGGTAACGACCCCCATTCCACCCTCCCACTTAGATCTCTGGGTAACACAGACACACTCATGCACAGACTCTGATGTTTCTGACCAAATATGGTCCTATTTGAGTGTGACACACTAGCTAGCTGTTAGCCGAAGCTAACGGGAGTTCTTCTGTTGTCGGTGAAACGACATCGGTGAACGAATGAAACAGAACGCTGTAGAGCAGCTTCTGTTCCACGGGGGCCCTTAAAGGTCAAAGGTTGATCGCTGTGATTGATCTCTATCTATATGATATATATCTGTAGAAGGACGCAGATGATTGGATCTGTTGCAACCCGGCATACATAGGACATTACTCAGGATTCCTCCTTTGTTTCTTTATTTTGTTCAAAAGGGAACCAGGTAATAAACCTGGAATAATAAGAAATGTTTCAATTTCCATGTGCAAAGTACAACCAACACAGCTCCCCAGTTCTCAATAACATTATTCAAATTACAAATAAACATGAATATACTATAATAACAATAATAGTAATCCACCATCATCCTGTTTCATTATGTGCTATATATGTATATATATATATATATGTGTAAATATTTATATATGTATGTATGTATGTATATATGTATATATATATATGTATGTATATATGCATGTATGTGTGTATATATATGTATATATTTGTGTGTGTATATATATATATGTATGTGTGTATAAATGTATGTATATATGTGTGTGTATATATATGTATGTATATATATGTATGTGTGTGTATATATATGTATGTATGTGTATATATATGTATGTGTATACATATATGTATGTGTATATATATATATGTATGTATGTGTATATATATGTATGTGTATACATGTATGTATGTGTATATATATGTGTATATAAATATATATAAATGTGGATGATAAAAAAGTACCAAAGCAACTGAGAAAAACTAATTACAGTAAACACTGACTGAGCAGCCAATCAGATCACTGACTCCTCCCCCTCACCCCTCCCAGGCTGCAGAACGCTGCGTGCAGTTGGTGACCGTGGAAGAGGAGGAGGAGCTAAGGAGCGAGATCGACTCAGCCAATCAGGAGGCTTCGTGTTCACATTCATGACGTGCTGCGGGCTTTCTCAGGGACATTATAAACCGATCAGACTGACTCCGCCCCCCCTTCTCGCGCGGTGAATCGCGAGGCTCGCCTGGCTCTAAGCCTTCCCCCTTTTCATCCAGGCTCCACCCCCTGCAAGCCCAGATCTCGGGTGTGGGCGGAGCTGAGAGGCGTCCTTGGCTCCTTTAGCTCCACCCGCTCGCTCTGCGTGACCTCCGACCCGGCGGAGGAGGACAGAGGACACAGAGGAGATGACGCAGGGGACGTCAGCGGGAGGAGGAACTCCTTTAATAAGAAACAAGGACGCCACTGAACTCACCGACCTAATTCCTGTTACACCAAAGAGGAAGAACGGTGGCGGACGGGAAAGTCAACGTCTTACCGCCGGTGCGACTCGGCCGACGCTGCGTTCAGGGCCTCACAGGAGCTTTCACAAAACACATTAAACTCAGTGGTTTCTCTCCTTTTGCAGTTTGTGGTCCAAACATTCATAAAGTATTGACTTTATTGAGAACATCATTGACTTTCATAATGTCTCCACCATTCTCAGAGATAATAATAATACATTTTATTTATCAGGCACTCTTCATCAGCAGATCTTAGAGTGCGACAGAGATAAACATAGTTAAAGCCAGTAAAAACAAGATAAGTCTCATTTCATTTATCAAAGTTCTATTTGTGTATTAATGTACATTTTATAGCATAACAACAACGATTCAGATCTGATTCACAGAAGATAGAATGAAACTGTCATAGATCATAAGATAAAAGATATTAAATGTATCAAGTTCTTGGTAAGTAGCCGAATGTCTGAGGTTTTTTGTTTGTCGATCAAACTAATCCACAATTATTAAATCAAGAGAAGAACGGAGGAGGAGAACACAGAAAATCCAACTGAAGGAGAAACCAACAGATAGAACAGATGTTCCTGCTGATATTGAAAAATACTTTTATTTAAACTCTTGCTCTTCAGTTTGATTGCAAGGATCATTTAAAATGAATTATTGCAGGTTAAAGTATTTTTCTTTCTAATGTGAACAAAAAAGTCAGAATGTCCTCAAAACTTCAGTTTATTAGAGAAGCCAGAGGACTCATTCATGATTACTTAGATACCCAAACACAAAGAGGCAAACCGCCTCCAGGTCTATCAAGTTTAACTCCTCTGCTCCATAGACGTCTCAGTAAACGTCAGTCTCTACTTTCCAGTCTTCTTCAATACAGATGATGGTCATTCAGTAAATAATGGACCATTTGTGTTGTTTACATCTTTTTGTGGTTGTACTGAATCTCGGTTTTTACCTCTTTTCCACCAAGGCAGGACTGGTGCTGGTCGGGGGCCAGAGCCTAGTTTCAAACAGGTTCTTTGGTTCTCCACCACCAAAGCACCAGCTCCCAGTAGCAGCATCTCACTGCTGGTCTGGATGTGAGAAGCGCTTACGTCAGCGGCTGGGGGCGGGGTTACCGTGACCAACAAGGCGAGAGAAACTTCTGATCCGCCATTTTTCATACCGTACATACCGTTACTCTGGCTTTTGATCTCCGTCTGTACGAATAAAGGCGAACACGTTTGATCCGCCGTGTGTGGATGTCGACGTCGGTCCGCAAAGCCATGAACATCAGTAGCAAAGCAACGTCCGCCATTGTTGATGATGTGTTTGTGTTCGGCGCCGCCGCGCTAACGTTGCTGGGAACGATGAGACGTACTTCTTTGGAGGCTCGTCAGATGAACCAACTCCGAACCAGCTCCTGGTTCTTGGTGTTTGTGGTCATTTTTTCTCTCTGTTGTTGTTTTGTGCCTTTTCCCCGCTGACCCCGGCGGTAAAGCCTCTTGGCTCGGCCTCCCGGTGGCAGAACCCTCGCTAGCGAGCGGCCTGATCTCATTATGGAGTTATTTCAGGTCTCTGCAGGACCTAAGAGGGTTAGGAGATCCTGAGCTTTGCTCTCAACCTGCAGAGTCACTGGCGTCAGCCGCCTCTGTGAACTTCTCCCCTCTTTCACTGGCGTTTCCTCGTCTCTATTAAAGGACTTTGGACCTTCCCTTTCGTAGATATTCTTCAAACCTCCATCAAAAGAGCTCAGCTGGTTCCATCTCCTTAACCAACCGCTCTCCGTGGAGGTGAGAGTTCCTCGTCCTCCCTTCTTGTGTTCCTCAGAACAGCGATGGGGAACCACGGGTCCAATCTGGACGACATCCTGGCCGAGGACATGCACCACTGGTACAACAAGTTCATGCGGGAGTCCCCGTCGGGCCTCATCACGCTGTTCGAGCTGAAGGCCATCCTGGGCCTGAAGGGCATGACGGAGGACGCCAACAGCTACGTAGACCAGGTCTTCCTCACCTTCGACATGGACGGGGTGCGTTTCACACGAGTCCTTTCAAACTAAAAGCGCTCAATATGTTTATCAGTTCAATATCGGAAGGGTCAGGGCACGTTTTGAGGAATATATTTTTTTATATATAATATACGTATGTGTATGTAAATATACATTTCTATATATAATCGCATAATAAAATATTTCAGTTTGTCAATTGAAACCAGATAAACAGCGTTGGATTGAACATTGACCATAAGGTCCTCAGAAAGTATGGAAAACAAATCTGTGTGTCTGAATAAATCAAAGTCTTGTAATAAAATTGGTCATTGAGCGTAAAACTCCATAAACCTGTGTAATGTAACTTTATGACGGAAAATTTGAAACTAACGACTTATTTTTGGGGGCAAGCGCTTGATTTGATTAATTCTGAATTATTTTTTCAATCCATCACTTAAAAAGAGTTACAAAGCAATTGTTTAACTCTATAATATAAATTCTTATGGTTATTGGTTTTGATCTTCAATGTTGAAATTAGAATTGTTGACTTTTTATCTTGTGATGGTTTGTTTTGTTTGTAGGAGACACTTTCTGTGAGACCGTCTGTTTTGTTCTTCACGTATACAATAAATAAAACAATAAATATGCTGTGAGTCCGTGTTGACGATAATAATATTATATATAATATATAAAATAATATTATTGTTAAATATTAGATCTCACTTTGAGGACATGAATACTAATTTGATCATTGTTTGTTTCGAAAAGAAGCTTCCACAGTTTACCTGGAAAATCTTTAAGTTCTTTAAATGTTATTATTCAATCATTCATTGATCGGGACAAAAAAGGCACTCATTGTTTGGGGACAAAGACGTCGGTCATTGATCGGGACAAAGACGTCGGTCATTGATCGATGATGGACAAAGACGTCGGTCATTGATCGGGACAAAGACGTCGGTCATTGATCGATGATGGACAAAGACGGTGGTCATTGATCGGGACAAAGACGTCGGTCATTGATCGATGATGGACAAAGATGTCGGTCATTGATCGATGATGGACAAAGACGTCGGTCATTGATCGATGATGGACAAAGACGTCGGTCATTGATCGGGACAAAGACGTCGGTCATTGATCGATGATGGACAAAGACGTCGGTCATTGATCGATGATGGACAAAGACGTCGGTCATTGATTGGGACAAAGACCGTGGTCATTGATCGGGACAAAGACGTCGGTCATTGATTGAGACAAAGACGTCGGTCATTGATCGGGACAAAGGCCGTGGTCATTGATCGGGACAAAGACGCCGGTCATTGATTGGGACAAAGACCGTGGTCATTGATCGGGACAAAGACGTCGGTCATTGATTGGGACAAAGGCCGTGGTCATTGATCGGGACAAAGACGTCGGTCATTGATTGGGACAAAGACGTGAGTCATTGATCGGGACAAAGACGTCGGTTATTGATTGGGACAAAGACGTCGGTCATTGATGGAGACAAAGACGTCGGTCATTGATCAGGACAAAGTTGTAGTCATTGATGGAGACAAAGACGTCGGTCATTGATCAGGACAAAGTTGTAGTCATTGATGGAGACAAAGACGTCGGTCATTGATCGGGACGAAGACGTCGGTCATTGATCAGGACAAAGTTGTAGTCATTGATGGAGACAAAGACGTTGCTTAGCTCTGTGACTAATGAGATCACGCTGTTTGCATGCAGAGACAGTCGGTCTCGGAGAGCTTAAAGGGATTGAGAAGCTTGAGCAAGGTAAAGTTCGGGGAAGGATGAGCTCACTCAAAGACAACAGATCTGTTAAATGCTTTTTAAAAATGAAGGCCAGATCTTTCGGACAGTTTTGTTCGATCTGAAAGAGATGAAAGAATCGACGAGTTTAAACTACGATGTGAAAGGGAGAGTATCTTTAAACAATAGTACGAGAAGATAGTTCTAATACATTGAGAGTGAGAGTACTCTGTCATTGTAGAGGCAGGTCTCCCCGCTACCGCTATTCAACCTGAATGGATGGGGTCCAGCTTCCATCCAGGACCTGGTCCATCCCGACCTCTGACCTCTCCGCTCTGCATGTGATAAACTGCTTGTTCCTCCTCACTGAGAGCAAAACACTCGACTAGATCTCCACTCTTTGCTGTCCTGCTCCTAAATGGTGGAAGGAGGTCTCTGAAGACATCAGGACCACAGAGAGCCTTCACATCTTCAGACTAAAGACACACCTCTTCACACTCTACCTCCACTAACACACTAACTAACTGTAGCACTTACATTGGACTTATAATGGTTCTTATCTACAGCAAGTTGTACATCGGCTTATTTGAGGAAATCGCACTTTCTTGTTTCTTCTTCTGAGTTTGTTCTTATTGTGAGTCGCTTTGGATGAAAGCGTCAGATAAAGGACATGTGATGGAATGTAGGAGTACCAATATCACAATGGGAAAATATTCTGTCACAGTATCCATCCATCCATTGTCAAACCGCTTATCCTGCACACAGGGTCGCGGGGGGCTGGAGTCCATCCCAGCCAACTTCGGGCGATAGACAGGGTACATCCTGGATTGGTCGCCAGCCAATCGCAGGGCTACACAGAGACACACAACCATTCACACTCACACATCTACGGGCAATTTAGAGTCCCCAATTAACCTGATCCCCAGAGCATGTCTTTGGACTGTGGGAGGAAGCCGGAGAACCCGGAGAGAACCCACGCAGACACGGGGAGAACATGCAGACTCCACACAGAAAGGCCACTGGGCAGAATCGAACCCAGGACCTTCTTGCTGTGAGGCAACAGTGCTAACCACCGCGCCACCGTGCCGCCCTCTGTCACAGTATATATATATATATATATTATACTTTCAACAATTTAAATTCTAAAAGTGGGAATAACAAAATATAATCAGGAAAGCCAGAAAACACTTTCATCTTTAAACCCACATTACAGAAGTAAACCTTCTTCCTCCTTCCTGCAGGACGGGTACATCGACTTCGTGGAATACATCGCCGCCATCAGCCTGATGCTGAAAGGGGAAATCAACCAGAAACTGAAGTGGTACTTCAAACTGTTTGACCAGGATGGCAACGGCAAGATCGACAAGGAGGAGCTGGAGACCATCTTTACGGTGAGAAACCTCGTCCAACCAGTGATGACGGATCCTACTGAGACAAATAAATATAGACTAGAAGAAGAAACAGACCCTCAAGACATCCTCTTAGAATACAAAGAAGGGATTCTATTCATTATTATGATTTTTATATTATACGCTGCTCAGTCCAATGTTTAGCAATTATAATAATAATAATAAGTTATAATTAACAATGTTTCTGAAGCTTACGGCCTCAGCTGGTTACCCACAGAGGCTGGAAGGACTTATATATACACATACGTTACAATAAAGTCAGCTAACTAGCATTAGCTGCTACCTACTGGAGCTGTGATGAACATTTCTGTAGCTTCTCTTTGCTTCTCTCCGAATTCTCCTGCAGTTCTTCCGTTTCTTCTTGGAACCATAAAATCTCTGAACACATTTCATCTGAGGGAAACATACAACCAAACCCTGAAAAGTCAGAACGAGAGCAACGCGTCCTTTGACCGAAATAAAAAAGTAAACTTATGCAAAGTCCTCGATTTAGAGGATAAAGATTTGAAAATACGTCAAAGCTAAATGAGAATTTGCTATTTGTAAACAAAACAAAAAAGATGATGATGATGCAAATTCAGTTTTTTCTCTTTGACTAGAAACATTTTGGATTTTGTTTGAAAACGGAAGTAGAATCATAATTATGAAACATTGTGCTCAGCAAAGCTCAGTGAGTATATTTTATGAGGTACAAGTACAAGTACAAGTACAAGAAGAGATTCCTGGGAGCTTAAGGGAGAAGCAAGTGACTCAGCGGGAAGAACCGGGTTGGATTATCTGAGATTAGAGGCTTAATCTGCTGGATGGCCTGAATCTGACAGCTGACAGGAAGCTTCTGACCCTCAAAGCTTCATCGCAACCACAAACGTTCTAACAGCAATTTGATTTTATGAATTTAAAATGCAATAATCTGGTCATTCTCAAAGAAAGACGACAAGTACCTTAAGGGAAAGAAAAGAAAGGAGTGAGGTTGAAAGGTGAGATATAAATGATTGAAATAGAGAGTAGAAAAACATAATATGAGACAATGAACAATCATTTCCTCTTTTCATTTTTCCACTTGTGATTCTAATTTAATGAATTATGAACGTTTGATCACAGATTACTCGCAGAATCTTTGACTCATTTGAATTTATTGTAAACTATTAGAGATAAGATGAAGTGGTTTACAGGAGGTGTTTTTACGGCGTCCCCTACAGGCCATCCAGGACATTACACGGAACAGAGACACCGACCCCGAGGACATCGTGTCCATCATATTTGAGAAGATCGACGTGAAGGGAGAAGGTAAGAAACGAGGAGGAAGAAGAAAGAATGCAACGAAACACGATGCTCTTTACCTGATGAGAGTATTACATGAGTATTACATAAGGGTATTACATGAGAGTACTACATGAGTACTACAGGGTGTTAGATGGTTGGCACACACACAGATCTAGTACCAAACCTGAGGCTGCGCCTTGTTAATAAAGTTGACAAAGCATCACTAAACCCTTAAAATATACAGTAAATACGATGATCTGGAGATCTTTGAAAAGCCCTAAAAGCTGGAATGAAGAACAAGGAGGACTAAAGCTGTTAAAGTTAAACTAGACTAAATGTCGGCAGTTAACCATTTAATTACAAATAAGATGTCATTGATCACAATGTCATCGTTAAACAAGATGAACTCTTCTCTTGAATCAAATGTACGTGAGAGCTGCACTGGATCGATTCAGATATCCAACATTTAAATTAAGACAAATATCAGATTCTACGAATGACGAGCAGCATTGGTGCCCTGAGTGTAACCGACCTTTGACCCCTCAGGTGAGCTGACCCTGGAAGAGTTCATCGAGGGGGCCAAAGACCACGAGGACATCATGGACATGCTGAAGAGCCTCATGGACCTGACGCCAGTGCTGGTCATCATTGTGGAGGGCCGGACGGGGTGAGGTGCAGCAGGCCTGCCCCCCCTCCGCCCCCCCACTTCCTCCCCGTCAAAATAAGAGACCCGACAGACTTGTTGAGGACACCTGTGACGAGACTGAAGTAAAACGGAGTCCAAGAACAAACTATTTCCGGACAAAGAATCTTTTGAAGAAGTCTGATGAAAAAAGAAAATCCACCATCACAAATCTTTTGTTCTTCGAAAAAATGTTAAAAATCCTCAGAACTATATTTTTGATTCCAGTTTCCAGAGAGGGCACAAAAGAGGGGGAGGAGCTTCAACACGTCGCCCGTAGAGGGGGTCCCGAGGTCCATCGGAAACCTGCTGATCTTATTCAGAACTTTGCCAATTTAGGAAGTGGTTTTCATGGATGGCATTCGGACCGGCGTCCTCCGGCGTCCTCGGGGGTCCTCTGGCGTCCTCCGGGGTCCTCCGGGGTCCTCGGGGGTCCTCTGGGGTCCCCTGGGTTCCTCGGGGGTCCTCCGGGTTCCTCCGGGGTCCTCTGGGGTCCCCTGGGTTCCTCGGGGGTCCTCGGGGGTCCTCCGGGGTCCTCTGGGGTCCTCCGGGTTCCTCGGGGGTCCCTCCTCTCAGATAGCAGCTGGTTCTCACGGACAGAATAAAAACAGATATTCTCAGAACGAGGTCCAGAAATCAACTTTATTTTGTTTATTTACCAATAATGTTTGTCAGATAATAATTTCTTATTCACGCTGAGACTTTATCAAAACTACCACGTCGGTTCTCCATTAGAGGCCAGTTCAGAGAGCCAACTGGGCCAATCCGGGTCAAACCGGGCCCAACGGCGCCAATCCAGGTCAAACCGGGCTGTCCAGGTCGAAGCAGGAGTGATTCAAATGTAAATAAAGACCAACACACAACCAATAAACAAATAAGGAGATCTGTGATTATTGATCAGCTGCTCTCTTTGCGTGATCGATGAACCAAATAATCAACCAGCTGATTGATTAATCAGTCAGTCATGTCAGTACATCAGGTACATTTCTACAGTAGTACTTAGTAGGAGGACGAGCGGTCGTACATCCCGACTAACAACGCTTATTATGCAATAAGGAGAATTCAACAAACTGTAAATTCATTTAAACCAACTATGTTTTGTGTTGCCTTATCAATAAAGTTTCTAAAGAAAACCCGTTTGATTTAAACTCTGATGTTAACTTTATATGTTTATGTGGGACGGGAATGAATTATTATTGAAAATTATTTGAACGTGTTTTTTGAAGGTGAAGAGATAAATACTTAATTTTTAATTAAAAATATTTAAACAAAAACAATTAAAGCTGCAAGGAGCGTTGGACGGGAAACGCAGCCGAGAACGGCCGCCGGACAAAGCGTCAACGAGTCAGTCGTCGTTGTTGTTGTTGTTGTTGTTAACCGTGGGGCAAACTTCATCCTCAACATGATTATTATTATTATTATTATGGTCTCAGGTCTTTTCTGACATTAGAGAGGAATAGGATTCATTTCCAAGGAGCAGCGTATAGAATAAAAAACATGTAACCTCCTGGTGCCCCCAGGTGGCGCTATGACCACGGTTACAAAGGTCACACGGACGTCTACGGGGTGAGAAGGTCGTAGGGACGTCTACAGGGAGAGACGGTCTTATGGACGTCTACAGGGTGAGATGGTCGTATGGACGTCTACAGGGAGAGACGGTCGTATGGACGTCTACAGGGAGAGATGGTCGTATGGACGTCTACAGGGAGAGACGGTCGTATGGACGTCTACAGGGAGAGAAGGTCGTATGGACGTCTACAGGGAGAGAAGGTCGTATGGACGTCTACAGGGAGAGACGGTCATACGGACGTCTACAGGGAGAGAAGGTCGTATGGACGTCTACAGGGAGAGACGGTCTTATGGACGTCTACAGGGTGAGACGGTCGTGCTGTATGAGAAACATGGAGCAGATTAGATGAAAGTACGGTTTGAGTCAAAACAACTTCCATTTTTATGGCGTTTAATTTTTTTCTGGCAAAATGCGATTTTTAGAGCCATGGACTAAAAACAGTGAAAAATCATGAAAACCGGCCAAAAAGGCAGATTTCAATGATTAACTGCAGCGTCCCGTATTCTTCAAATATTATGAAAACATTCATCAAAGTGTTCAGTTCGCATGTTACGATGTTGGTGAAGTCATTTGAGGGTTGTGTTACTTTGCAAGGTTCATTCGCCCATTTCTTCTCAAAACAGTAAGATATGAACCCGACTGAGGATGCGTGGGGACGTTAAACCAATAATGATCCAGTAGAAGCATTTTAGGAGAAATGAGCAGAAATGTCTTTTTCACAAAATTCAAAATGGCGAAAAATCTACTTGGCAATCGTGGAATGAAAATGAGTTTGTGCGCCGACGTCAGTCGGGGGGAAACCCGCCTGATTTCTATAGAGACATTTCTTTGCAAACTGAGACCCCAAATATCCAAATTTTTCACCAATCCTGGTATGCATGTCAACTTTAACAACTTTTTGAATATTTATCATATTCAAAATTCCTTGGAGAGAATAATGAAATACAATAGGTTGTTTCTTTCAGTTACATTTTGGTCCAACTGATGTTTTATTTATTAAAACCAGGAAGTAGATCTTCATCAGTCCACAAAGCTACAGGTTGAATACTGACACTTCCTGTTTGAGACGGAAAAGCCTCACAAGAACGTTTTGGCTTCATGTGACGTGATCCATGTTTGGTCAATAGTCGAGCAGAAGAAGAAGAAACAGATCACCAGCAGAGTTTTTTGAATAACGAAGAGTTGCTTTCTCCGGATTGTTCAGTCAGTGACTCGGTGCCTTGCTCAGGGGCACATGGGCAGGACGTAGGTGCGTGGGCTCCAACCTGTGACCTCTCACAGCTGTTTGGGCTTCTCCTCCGGCCTCAGCAGACTGACGTACAGACGCAGGAAGGAGTGACAAACGCCCACGGAGCAGTACACCGAGGTCACCAGCAGGGGGAGGAAGGGCAGCGTCTGTTGCCACGGCGACAGGGGCAACGCCACCTCGCAGGTGATTGCCACGGCGTTGAGTCCCAGCAGGTAGGCGTACTCCAGAGGACGGAGCAGCCGGCCCGGACCGCTGAGAGAGTCAGATGGTTACTGAAGGACGCAGCAAAGCACTCTGGGTATTGGAGTTCTATTCAAACCAATCATTTCTTTACCTGTGAAGTTTCCTCAGAGCAGTGAAAGAGTAGATTGTGAACATCAGCATCAGAAGCACTTTGATGGGAAACTCTGCAACGTAATGATGTCATTATGACATCACACCGACCAGGATGCAGAAGAAGTATTTACAGATATTTTACTCCAGTGTGAAAATACTACTAATACCACAAAGTAAAACTACTTGCAGTAAAATTGTTCCTTGAATTAAAGTATATCGGCATATGTGTAAAATGTATTCAAACTGTCTGTTGTACTATTAGGTACTCCAATATATTCATATCTAGTGGTACATGTACAGCAGAAGTACTGTGAGCTGGTCTGTCGTTACTGACAGTTATTGATAACCAGCGATCAATCACTTCCTACCTGCGGGGGTGAAGAGCAGCGGGAACAGAGAGTAGTGACCCGTGGTGGTCAGAACCAGAAAAGTCCCAGCATCCTCTCTGTTCTGCACCGCCAGGATGCTGCAGAGAGAGCACAAGTCACTGAGTACACAGTAGTACACAGTAGTACACAGTAGTACCGTGGAGGTACCTGAGGGGCAGGATGGCGAGCAGGACGGCCTTCTCGTGGACGTGCCAGCCAAACAGGAAGGAGCCCAGCGAGCAGATGAGCAGCACGCGCAGGAAGGCCCGAGGCCCCCGAGGCCCCCCCCAGAGGGACAGCAGCGCCGGCTGGGGGGCACAACTCTTCTTAATTATCAACCAACTACTGCGTTTATGTACTACACTCTCCTGCGTTTCTATTGGTTCCTCACCAGGATGGAGAGCAGAGTGCACACCAGCGTGACGGAGGGGGTGACGGAGGGGAGGACCGAGTGATGGAACTCTTGAACCAAACCGCCGGTCATGGAGGCTCGAGGAAGCTCCGCCTCCTCCAGCAGCTTCAGGTGGACGCCTGAGCAGGTAGACCTTTGGTTACAGGCGACATGGAGGGAGGAGCTAACAGCTGATGATGTCATCGAGGAGTCTCACCCAGCGTGGACAGGCTCTTGTCCAGCACGTTGTACAGGGACCAGAAGTTTGGGGCCCAGTAGGCGTGACAGAGGCCCTCTTAAAGGGGAGAGACGCGACAGCACCTGAGGAGCTGACCCTGGGGGGGGGGGGCACAGTGTGGAGACACGTGTGTATTATGGGGGGGGGGGGGGGGGGGGGACACAGTGTGGAGACACGTGTGTATTATGGGGGGGGGGGGACACACGGTGTGGAGACACGTGTGTATTATGTGTCCATGAGAAAGAAACACCGTCCTCACCATAGCAACGAAGGGGCCGAAGGACAGAGCGCAGACGGAGGTCACGATGGCGCCCAGAGCGAGCAGGCGGAGCGGACTGAAGCTGCTCCACCTGACGGAGCCGTCTGCACACACAGTTATGTAGTCAGGTATCACGCAGCAAAAGGACTGTGTCTGTGAGCGGGGGGGGGGGGTACCTCGGTGGTCCTGGGTGAAGCAGTAGCTCCTCAGCAGGTAGACTCCGTAGGCGGGGGCCATGTACAGGTAGATGTGCTTCAGGTTGAGCAGGATGGAGAACAGCAGCGCCCCCTGAAGGTGTCGATGCTGACGGAGGAACAACATCCAGAGACAGAGTGAAGGGACTCGAGCTAACCGGGGGGGGGGTCAGGTTGTGAGCACCCACCTGCAGGTGTTTAGCCAGCGAGAGAAGCAGGAAGCCGAACAGGAAGCCGTTGTACTGGAAGTGAAGGTCTGAGAAGGTGAAGGACAAGTGGTGCCAGGAGATGAATTTAAATAAATGCATTAGCGGCGTCTTAGTTCGCCGCGCTGGTTTAATGGATCACGTGTGTCCCCCTTTACAGGCGTAACATCTCCCGTCCCTAGAAACAGGATCCACTTTTTAGGTAGTTTTTGTTGATGTTGGATGTTACAAAATGAAATGCATTTCTGCTGACGTAGCTGCTTTTAAACATGGTGGTGCTGAGGATACGGTCGACCACGAGGAGGCCGAAGTTCCAGAGGAGCAGGACGGCGAGGACGAAGGACGGACGGCTCAGGACGTCCCGTTGTTCTTTCGGCTCCTGAACGCACCTGCAGCACCTGGAGGACACGACCAATCAGGACAGAGATAACGGAGAGAACCCGCCTCTCCATAGACCACTTTACAATAAATCATCTCTGGCCAAATAAGGACAATAACAACCCTGTACTGCTGTGATGCTCTTTCCTCTTCTCCTTTTACAAATTATTATTATTGTCTCTTTTGGAAGGTTATTCTTTTGTTTCAGTTTATTTAACTTAATTTAATTTAATATTTCTATCTTATTATATTGTATATAATGTGTATCTTTTTATTCTATTTTCTTCCCTGTACATGCTGCTGTGATACCAAAATTTCCCTCTTGAGGGATCAATAAAGTATCAATCTATCTATCAATCAATCAAATGTCTGGATACACTTTCATTTAGTAGGAGGTCTCTTTGCTGATAGACGTTATTTACTTAGATGGAGAATATAAAAGCATCTTTTCTCCCTCAGCTTTCAGACGGAGGTCAGTTTCCTGTCTTAGAATCAGGAGTTTCACAATAAAAGCACAGTTAACTATAAACAAACTTCTCTGATCAGTCTTACAGCCGTCATGTCTGTCATGTGACTCGTCCCCCTGTATTTGTAGCACTTAAATTGGACTTATTTTGATGAAATTGGACTTTCGTGTTCTTCTGAGTTTGTATCCTTATGGTTGAACTATGGTTGTACTTGTTGTGTGCATGCGTAACGACATGTGATGTGATGTATTTGAATGCGCTCAGAGGTGATGGGGGCCGAGGAGACTCACTCTGTGGCCCCGTAGATGAAAACCCCGTCGGTGAAGACCACCGACAGCCTCTGGAAGAGCACGGCGCCGGGGCTGACGTAGTCCAGGTTCTCCACCCGCAGCATGTTGCTGTCAAAGTGCTGAGCCACGTGGGACAGACTCCACTGGAACCAGGCGAACAGCGGCGGGTAGTCCAGCGTCCACACAGACGAGTTCTGCAGGGACAGAGGGACACACTTGCTGGCTGGGCCTGGTAAAGAGCGCTCAGGAGGTGGTGCTAAGATGTAGCAACAAGCAGCTGACCTCGTGGTACCACCGGGACACCGGCAGGCTGTGTGTGATGGCCAACCAGTTCCTGTGCACCTCGAAGTCTGTGGAGTGACTGAAGGACACGAGAAGGTTCCTGAGGTCAGTCCAGTCTATTCATGGTTCTACAGCTAAATGTGAGCGCAATCCTTCATCGGTCTGATGGTTCACAGGAATGTAACGTTCAACTACAATGATCGAAGTCACTAAATATTCAAGCCTGGATATGCTTATTGTATTAATCCAGAGATGATCCGGACTGATGAACTCATGTCTCGTTTAAAATCTCAAACAAACATCTTAACGTCTAATAAGAGATTTTCCCCTGACGTTTGGCGAAGACTCGTTTATTATATTTCAGAGCAAAAACAAAGCTAACACTTGCGTGTGTTCGTGTTAATGATTTATTTTTAATAATCAGTGTATCGCTTCACATCAAAGAAACGGCGCCATCTTGAGGCCATTAGCTACATTAACCTGGAAGCTAAAAATACGTTGATTTAAGTTAACGTTACACAATCAATCTTCATATAAAGTATAATATCGATATAAAATGCACACAAATAGTAGATCTAATAGTTCCGCTTGAAACAACAATGCGTAAACAACGTCCTTAACGTTATTCATTTGCATCATTTTAAGTCTGATGGCTAGCAGCTACCACTAGCTGCTCAGCTAACAGACCGATAAGAAGAGACAATCGTCCCGGAGCGCCGCCGTTAACTGCAAATGTTCCTCAACGCAGTATTTCCACTCACTATGCGTTGATAAACAGACATTTCAGCAAAGAAACGCCGAGTGCTAACGGCGGAAACCAACTGCAGCTCCCCGCGGCGGCCATCACCGTAACAGTGACGTAACCGGATGCAAATCAAATAAAGCTTTATTGACAGGTTCGGTGCCGGACAGAATGTGGATCAGCTTCTTCCGCTTCAAAATGTAATGTGTATAAATCAGGAAACATTTATTGCCATAATATGTCACATACAAGGAAGGGGACTTGGCGGTTGGTGGGTAACAGCAGACAGTAAGACAATGGACGACAAGACAAAACATAATGCTATGGGTTAGTAGTATAGTACAGTACACAAATACATTTACATAATAAGTAAAACGGTAAAAATGGAAGTATAATTCATGCTTTCTGTTTCTATATACCTGTTTTGTATTAATGATGAACGGGTAAAACGTACAAAACTGATATGTCATTGATTTATATTTAGTTATATATATGATTTTTGTTTTGTTTAATATTTTGTTTTCAAGTTTTTGAAGTTTCATTTTATGAAAAGCAAAAATGATTAGGATGTGAAAATACTCAACAACAAGAAGGAAAGTTTGAGTAAATATGGTAAGAACAATATATTTGTTTCGTAAATGTACAATATCGGCATAGTTTGAAATGTTTATGAAATATCGGCTTTCAAAATGTCTTTATTAAGTGAGTCCTTTTTTCAAAAACATTATTTATTTTTTAGTTTTCTGGGTTTTTGGAACAACGACCACAGTAACGTTACGAAATCCGACGGTCCCCGAATGCAGCATCAAGTCACTGATGTGACATCCGGCTTGTTTCCGACTGTTTCCGGTCTGTGTCGGCTGAGAGTTCCGGGAGTTTCACTGTTTAGTTAATTCAAGTTTATTGAAACTTATTACAACACAACAGTATCGGGGATGAACGCGCTGCTTCGGCGGGTCACAACTGGAACCGGAACCGGAACCTGGCGATGTGAGTACGTTTATAAAGAGACGAAGAATAAAAGAAGACTACCGTTCGGATCCTGTGGTTGTGTATCTTTATGCGTGTGACAGGTTTCCACGGGACTCCCTTGATGACCTTTGACCTGAGGAAGGTGGAGCTGACCCCTCTGGAGCAGCGTAAACTGACCTTCGACTCTCACGTGATGGTGACGGAGCTGCAGAGCAGCGGTGAGAAGAAAGTAAACAACAACAGTCAGTTTAGGTTTCCATGGAAACATGTTAAAAAAACCACGTGACTGTGAAGGTTTTGAAAGGCGTCAGGCGGAGCTGGTCGTCTCTGCTCTCGTTACCTTGACAACGGCCAACATGGACGTCGTCTACAAGGACATGGTGACCAAAGCCCATCAGGTAGGAGTACTACTACCTCCACCTTAGAAGTAACCAGTAGAAGTACTTCTACCAAGCACACACCTGTAGGGCCAGTAGAGGTACTGATGGTGCATACTGTGATTTGTGGGTGGAGGAGATCACAGTGCAGCAGATTATGGCTCATCTGGACTCCATCAGGAAGGACATGGTGATCCTGGAGAAGAGCGACTTCGCCAACCTGCGATCCGAGAACACGGTACGCAAATACACATACTAATGTGTACTTATGCTTACTGCAGATTAAATATGTGATTAAGGTAAACCCAAAAAATGTAATCAATCATTCTTAATACAGAAAAATGACACACTTGCTAACTAGCTATTAAGCTAAGATGCTAACTAGCTCTTAAACGAGTGAAAGTGATGAAAGTGATTCTTATTTTCTTGTAGAAAATGAAGCGAGAGTTGGAGCAGATTCACAACCGTCTGAAGGTCCCAACGTGTTTTAATACTTGAGTATATTCATATTCATTTATGTTTCTATTGATCAGATTAAATAGAATTTAATGCACGTGTTTGGTTTCAGGAGGAAAGTCAGAAAGTTCGAGCAGAAACCAAACTGGACATAAACCTGCAGAGCAGCAGGATGAGTGACGTGGTGAGGAAGAGGAGGAGGAGGAGGAGTCGGTCTGTCAATGCTTCTCCTCTTCATCACAATGTTGATGAAGTGTACATCATGTCTTATATTGTATGTCACACACACTCCCCACCCACTTTATCGGGTACATCTGTTCAACTGCTGATGAGCCAATCACACGGCAGCACCTCGATGCCTTTAGGCCTGACGTGGTGAAGACAACTTGCTGGAGGTCAAAGCGAGCATCACAACGGGGAGGAAGAGGGTTTAATAGAAAGTACCCAGTGAGCACCACCAAGGAACGCACAACAATGCACACCACCACCAAGGAACACACAACACCACCAAGGAACGCACAACACAGGGCTGCTGTAGCCCTGCATAGGAGCACACCAGGAGCCCCTCCTGTCAGCTAACAGGAAACAGACCACAACTCACACAGGCTCACATCAGTGGACAATAATAATATATTTAATTTGTAATGCACTTTATATTTAAGAAAATCCCAAAGTGCTACATGATAAAACAGGTAAGTGCTGACAATAAAAACACACGGAGAGTTTGAAAACAAAAACAAAACGAGTTCACTCAAAAGTCTCCTAAACAAGCATCCCCAGTCTGTGGTGTCCTCAGGTGGTCAGCGAGAGGTTCCACAGACTGGTGTCCTCAGGTGGTCAGCGAGAGGTTCCACAGACTGGTGTCCTCAGGTGGTCAGCGAGAGGTTCCACAGACTGGTGTCCTCAGGTAGTCAGCGAGAGGTTCCACAGACTGGTGTCCTCAGGTGGTCAGCGAGAGGTTCCACAGACTGGTGTCCTCAGGTGGTCAGCGAGAGGTTCCACAGACTGGGAGCAGCTGAGCAGAAAGCCCGATCTCCCATAGTACGGAGCTTTGTCCTGGGAGGTTTTAAAAGATGTGCTGAGGCAGATCGGAGGGTACGTGTTGATGTCTGTGGGGTGAGGAGTTTCTTGAGGTAGGGGGGGGGACTTCACCATGGATGCACTGGTGGGTAAGGAGGGAGACCTTGTACTCAACCCTGAGTGAGACAGGAAGCCAGTGGAGTGATTTGAGGATGGGGGTGATGTGCTCATGTCAACAGGATCCTAGCAGCGCTGCTCTGGATGTACTGCAATTTCTGGAGGCTTTTCTAGGGATCCCGGGGAGGAGCGCATTACAATAGTCCAGCCTGGAGGAGACAAAAGCGTGGACAAGCTTTTTCCTTTATTATCTCCAGGCAGGCGGTCAGAGTGGATAATGGCAGGGCAGCAGAGGGGGTTGGGTTTGTCCTGAGGTAGAGTTAAGTGTCATCAGCATAGCAGTGGAATGAAATTCCATGCCGGCTGATGACATGGCCGAGGGGGAGCATGTAGATAATGAACAGGGTGGGGCCGAGCACTGAGCCTTGAGGGACACCACAGGTGACATTGTGTGTCAGGGATTTAGCCTCTCCCAAGGCGACATGCTCAGTTCTCCCGGTGAGGTAGGATGAGAACCACTGATGGACGAGGTCAGAAAGGCCGATAGTGGAACGTAGACGGTGGAGGAGGATGTTGTGGTCCACAGTATCGAATGCTGCAGTCAAGTCCAGGCGGATGAGAAGAGATGGGGAGCCAGCGTCTGCAGTCATCGGTAGGTCATTTGTGACCCTGACCAGGGCTGTTTCTGTGCTGTGGCCGGGGCGGAAACCAGATTGAAATTTCTCGAACACGTTGTTTTGCTTTAGATGGTCCGGTCCTGAAGCTGTGCGGCAACTACTTTTTCCAGCACCTTGGAAAGGAATGGAAGGTTGGGTGGTTTTTTAGAAGTGGCCTGATGACAGAGGTCTTCAGTGTTGATGGAACATGGCCAGCCCGGAGGGAGTGGTTAATGACCTTTGTACAATAGAAGATTGGACAAACGGTTCCTGGTCTCATGAGTCTCATTCCAGCTGAACATCTAGATGGTCGGTCAGAATGTGGAGTAAACCACATGAAAGCCTGGATCCATCCTGCCTCGTACCAACGCTTGGGGCTGCTGCTGGTGGGATGGGGCATTTTCTTGGCTCGTTTTGGGCCCCTTGGTACCCATCGAGCGTGGTTTGAAGGGTTGTTGCTGACCATGTCCATCCCTTTAGGACCACAGTGTCCCATCTGATGGACCATGTCACAAAGCTCATATCTCAAAGATGACGAGTTCACGATACTCCGATGGCCTTGAAGGCTCCACATCTCAATCCAGTGGAGCCCCTTTGGGACGTGCAGTGACTGCGTGACGCTGTCACGTCAAAATGGAGCAACATCTGTGAGGGACGTTTCCAACACCTTGTTTTTAAGTACAACACCAAGAATCAAGGTGGTTCTGAAGAAGGGGTCCAACTTTCTACCAGCAAGGTGGACCTGATCACGTGTGTGTGCTCATACTGCTCGTCATCAATATATCTGATAATAAATCAATACAAGTATCGGAGTACCTCGATGATACTTTTCTGTGGATCAATAAGCATATTTATAGATCAATCGGCTCCTTTTTCATCGGACAGAAATGTCAACAAATATCTTCTCAAAGATGTTTTTTTGTAGTTTATCGAACAGGAGAAGAAGCTGATGGAGGCGGGCTCAGAGTTCCATCACAAGGTAAAGTACTACTGCACTGGTGTACTAGCATACAGTACTGCCATACTAGTACACCCGTACCCGTAGTAGTACTACCATACTTATACCCCGTATACCCTCCGGCTCCTCTGATTGGTTGCTGGCAGAAAGCCGACCTGCAGAACGACAACATGGAGATCAACAGGAACATCGACCTGCAGGTGGCGTCGCTGAGGACGGAGCTGGAATCCCTGAAGCTGGAGACCATCCGCTACCTGGCAGGTATTCAGTGAGGGAGTACTACTTCAGCTGACGTTTGTATTGGTGTGTAGTAGAACGCCAGCAGTGTCCTGGTTCTGTGGTAACGTGTACGTGTACTGTGTTCCCAGCCACGGTGTTCTCCCTGCCTCGCCATCGCTCTCGGGGTTTATCGCCTGTGGAGGTGAAGCAGCTGGGACTTTAGTCTTCCTCCCACACAACGTAGTACTCGGTTAAGGGAAAGTACGCACAATAATTAGTGTACTTGTACCAAAGTACATTGACTCAATACAGGATTTTGAATAGAATATGTAGTATGCAATAAATACAAGTACCTCAACACTGTTCTCTCTCACCTGTATGTAAGTGTGCGTGTTACTTATTATGGTACACAAACCTCAGAGGTACTTTATGGGAAGTAGAACTAATAAAGCGCTTTTAATTTGATTTGTTGAATGTAAAAACAATCGTTTTGTGACGTTTAAAGTAAAAAGATGAACAACATGTTGGACTTTATCGTTATAATTGTGGACAAGCTACAATGTCAGAAATGCCGCAGAAGTCAAGCAGAATTGGAGTAGAAATATTCTGTTACCATGACAACACATCCTAATGAAACGAGATAAAACTGATCTGAAGACTTAAATGTTCTAACATGTCCAATAAAAACACCAGAACCACTTTTAAGGTCATTAAACTTTTATTTTAGCCTCCAAGAACAATCACGTTGACAAACTGAGTTTCAGACTTTTATTGAATAAAAAAAGAAAAAAAAGGAAAAGACTTCTTGGTGGTAACATTCCTGCAGCCTCGGTCGTCCAATCAGATGATGCTTACCGTTTGCAGCTACGCCCCCGATAGCACCGATCGATCAGGTTAGGATTCAATCACCGTTACACCAGAGTACCAAAAATACTTTAATCCATAAATTAAATCATTTACATCTCAGCCACAAAGGAAACAAAAAGCATTTCTTGTAAATAATCAGACCGTAGAAAGGTCCGAGCATCCCAATACCAAAACGTATTGAAGTTAAAGGACACGCTAAAAACACGCCTCCTCGGGGTCACGCTTTGTTCTGATAACAGCCGTCCGTTAGCACCTCCTCCTGCTTCACCTCGGGCGGCCCGCTCACCTCAGACTCCACTTCCTGTTTGAGCGAGGAGGCGGGGTTAGCGGTGATGGCACAGGAAGCGCGCTCCCCACCCCCTTCGGTCTTTATAAAGGCGCTCAGCGGGTGGTCGGCCAGCAGCTTGCTGGGAGACGGAGAGACGTCGACGTAGGACGAGGTCTGAGGAGCAGATTATTGATCAGGATCATAAATACTAAATGTATTTATGGATTAAATACCGCAATCTCATACTTACATTTTTATAATCTTCAAAACAGGCGGGATGGAAGTTCTGAGGAGACCAAACGTGCAACAATTAACTTTCTAATCCGTATAATCATTAGACGTTTGTTAGCGACGTAGCACTAATTAGCTCTAAATGATGGTCATTTAATTAAGGCCAAATTGAAAAAAAATTCACACGGGCAAAATAGTTTTTAAACCGTATCTACAAATAAATTGATTCCGACTTAAATTATAGAAATCCCATTTGACTTTTGAATATTTTAAATCGGCATATTTTTGACACAACTTGTCAGAGCCCCCCGGTACCTTGTCATCGTCCCGGATGGCGTCCTTCAGGAACCAGTCCTCCTCCTCCTCCACCCAGTACGTCTCGAAGGGCTCCTGACAGATCTCACACAGCTGGAGGAGCAACGCAGTAGTTTATTAGCTGCTCAACTGGCTCATTGGGACACACACACACACACACACACAGTCACACACACACGGATCTCACCTCCCCTACTTGGTCCTTGGTGGCCTTCACACTCATGAACTCCTTCTCCTTGGCGGCAGCTTGACTCTTCTGGACCTCCTCCTCGTTCTCCTTCTCAAAGAAGTGACTCTTGGCGCGCTCCTCCAGGTCAGCGATCTCCTCAAACTCCACCCAGTCCTGATGGGGAGGCGGGAGAGGGGCAGGGACACAAATTTATTTTCCTCCATTAACCCCCTGAATTTGGTGAGTCTGGATGGGCGGTGTGATGCAGCCTCTGCTCGCTCCCTCACCCGCAGGCCGTAGTACCAGCGGCGGTGCGTGATCTTCTTGCCGGCCACCTTTCCCGCGTGGTTCTGCCTGAAGTGCCAGTCCAGGTGGTCTGCGTACAGGTCTGTCTGAGCCGCGGTGAACCTCATGCTGCACAGGCAGCACTGGTTCCCTGAGTACAGCTTGGTCACCACGCTCTCCAAGCGGCTGGGGGGGGGGGATTATCAGTTAGCAAGTTGAACAGATCATAATTCATCTCTAATATCTATTTAATATTCTGTGTAAAGGTCTGGATTTTCTTTAGTTCACTGAAGGCATCACAGGATTACTGAAAGGAGCCAATGTTGCTAGCGGCTAACGTTGCTAGCTCTCAGTAGCATCCATCAATCCAGCCACTCACTGCTTCATGTCGTCCACGGTGAAGCTGGTCAGGTCGGGGATGTCGTCATCGTCCGCCTCCTCTACCTCCTCTTCCTCCTCCTCCACAGTGGGCGGAGCTAGTGGAGCTATGGAAGTGGGTTCTGGGAGGAATAACGGGTAAAGATGTTACTTCACAGTGGCTGCAGTATGGCAGCGTGCATTTAAAGAGGCGGTCAGCTGACCGGCAGGCGTCGGCGTGGCGTCTGGCTGAGACGGCTTGATGATCCCGTTGGAGATGAGCTTGGTCAGAAGGTCGTTGACGTCCACCTGGCCAAAGTGGTTCTCCGGGGCGGCCTGCGATGCTGGAGGGGGACAAACGACCAACAGGTTAGAACTCCATAACGGTTGTGTGGTTTTGGGGGGGGGGGGGGGGGGGATCAAATACTGAATCTTCTGTCCCAAAGGGAATGGGTTCTGAGGGAGGAAGGTCTTGTTGTGGTTCCCCAGCATGTTGGCCTTGAGAAAAACACAAAAGCCGGCACATATTCCCTTTACTGGGAGGTTGGGCATACGGGTGCCCGGGGGCCACTCACCGGCCGCTGCATGCCGAGGGCGGAAGTGGCTGGGTTGTAGAAGGGGGCGGGGCCTGACTGGCTGAAAGGCGGAGCCTGCTGCATGTTGAAGTTCCCGGCTGCTTGCAGGTTCTGCGCTGGGAAGGCCATGGGCCCGGCGGGGAACTGGGGGTTCATTGGCTCCGGGAACCGCTGAGGGTTCATATTGAAGTTCTGTTGGGGGGCGATGGAGCCGTCATAGATGGGCGGGGCCATTGGCCTCATGGAAGGCTGCAGGCCAAACCTCAGCGGGTTCTGTTGGCCCGGGGAACACTCGTACAACGGGGGCCCGCCCTGATGCGGCACGTCGAAACGGGGGCCCGGCTGAACGGGGGACTCGAAGCGCATCGGCCGCTGCTGCTGGAAGCTCATTGGTCCAGAGCCGGGGGCCATGTTATCGAAGCACCGCGGCGAGTCAAAGCGCTGCATCGGGCCCTCAAAGTGACCCGGTCCGGGACCCGCCCCCTCGAACCTCATAGGGGGTTGATGACCAATGGAAGAGTCAAATCCTCCGGGGCCCTGAGGGTGGGGGACGCAGTCGAATCGGCCCACACTGTGAGACATGTGGGGCATATTGTGATGAGGTCCGCCACTGTCGAATCTGCCGGGCCCCGGGTGGTGAGGCCCCTCGAACCGGGCCGAGTCGTCGTAATGCCCAGGGCCTTCGTACCAGCCTGGGAGGTGCGGTCTGGCAGGTCCCATGTGTCCCGGCCCGTTGTACCGGTGTCCTCCATCTTGCGGCGGCGTGTGACCCGGGGAGACAGAGGCTAGCGGGCAGATGCGAGCAGGCCCCTTCAGGATGGACTTGGGGGGCGGGATGTCCAGGTTGAGGGGACCGTCGTCCGAGTGCTCGCTGTTGGGGCTCTCGAAGCGGGGGATCGGACTCGTCTCCGCCGGGTCCTTCTGGTGCAGCGGAGAAAGGCGCTCACGTTCAAACCTGGGCGCCGCCTCGGGCCCGACCGGGCTGGGACAGCTCCGGTGGACGACGGCCGAGGGGGGGGCACCATCTGGCCTCCGGGGGTCTGGCAGCCTGCTGTCGGCGGGGAGGCCGTAGCCCCGCGGCGCATCGTAGCCGCTCTTCTGCTCCTCGCGCTCGTCAAAGCGCGGCCGCTCCGTCAGCGGCGAATTCCACTCCCGTTCACCTGGAAACACAGAAGTAGTGATGAAGAGTCACTAAAGATCCCTGAAACAATGCAATTGTGACCTTTGACCCTGCAGATGACTCACTGGCTTCTCTGGGGTCAGCCCTCCTCCTGAAGCGAAGGCCAGGCAGGGACTTGAGCGTGGGGAACTCCTTCCCGTGGTTGTACTCCTCGATGAGGCGCGGCTCGTCGTGCTCTTTGCTCCGCCTCTCGCCTGAAAGTCGCAGACAAAATACAAAGTTCTGTTGCTAGGGAAACAATCCTGTTGCTAAGGAGACCAGCCCCCCTGCGCCCAGCTCACCTTGCCGGTCCCGTTGCGTCCGGCTGTATTTGGGGTGCCCGGTACTTTTCCCCGCCTCCTCGCCCTCCTCGGGACTCTCCTCGCCCTCCCACTCCTCCCCCGCCGCCCGGTGGGCGACCTGTGTCTTCCTCAGCTTGGACTTGTGCTCGTAATACGACAGCTCGGCGGCGTCCATGTCGTCCCGGGGGGGCCGCGGTGTCTGTGCCAATGGCGGCGAGCTCAGTAACTGCAGCTTGCTGGGGGGGGGGAGGTCGTCGTCCCAGCTGTCGGAGCGCTGCTGCTTCTCCTCCTGGTACTGGAAGAAGTGTTTGATCTGGTGGGCCATGTTCAGGAAGTCCTCCTGGGAGATCTCCCCGCTCTCCAGGCGCTTGCTGGCCTGCAGAAAAACACATGGACCTGCAGTTCATATCTGACCTGGAGGCAGCTAGCATTTGAGCTAATGACCCTAGCATCACTTATCCTGGGGCTCTGATTGGGTCGACCCATTCTGCTTGGTGTTACTTTTGATTCAGATGTCGAATATTTGATATCCATGCGTTGGATAAGAAGTCCTCCATATGTGTTATTGGGGGTGTCAAGTTACAAAATAAAAATGGCACCTTTTGAAATTCATTAATCCTAATTAAAGGTTTTATTTTCTTCTAAAGGCTAAAACGTATAAATGAACGACGCTTTTATCCAAAGCGACTTACACTACATCTGTAACACATCAGGTCAGGTGTCTTGCTCAGGGACACTTGGACTTGGGACATGGAGCAGCCGGGACTCGGACCACCACGCCGACCCCCTCATCACTTTAGAAAGCATGTATCTTAGACACAAATGTCACATTTAGCAGGATGTCTTGTATACAGAGGACAGCGGTCCTCTGCAGGTAGATGGTGACATGGAAGTAGCATAGCAGCTAGCAACATGTTCCGGGCACTACATTTGTACCAATGGAAGGAGATTAGGGCTGCAACGAACCATTATTTTGATAATCGATTCATCGGTCGATTATTTCTTCAATTAATCGATGTATCGGATAAAACAGCATTAAAAAGCTTTGACTTCCAACCCTTAATTCTAAAACAGAACCGCAAATTCACAGTGAAAAAATACTTCACAAAGTACAGGTTGCTCCTTGAACATAATTTATAAAAAGTAAATACAAAATTCAGAAAATTTAACAGGATTTGTTTTAACGTCAGAACTTGTTCTCTATACAGAACACTCAAACACACCCCATGTTCACTTGAAGCTTATTCATTAATTACCATCATTGTAGTGAAACTTAAGTAAATGTATACACCACATTTAAGTAGAGCTAAAAATCAACCAAGTGCTATGAGATGAGAAATAAATGCATTAGAGGTTTCTTAGTTTAATGGATCACGGTTTCCCTTTACAGGCGTAACATCAACTACCGTATAACCCACAGTATATGCGCAAGCACACTAGACTACCGTATATGACATCAACACACACATATATTTGTCAGCGGTGGGGGGGGGGGGGACGAGATGACTCCTACCCGTCTCAGCAGGTCCTTCTTGGAGGCAGAGTTGAGGACTTCGGGTATCTGCAGGTTGGCGTCCACGCTGAGGCGGTGCTTGGGAGTCCGGGGGGCCGCAGGGCGAGTCGGCGTCCCATAGGGTTTGTGTCTCTGAGGCCCCGGCTTCACGTGGGACTCCTCCAACAGCTTGGGACTGAAGCGGGAGCAGAGGGGACTTCATTAGCAGCTCTGGTTCTGTCCCTCTGGGTTCAACACACTTACTACAAGTTGCTTTGAATAAAAAGTGTAGTCATAGATGACATTGGACATCACAAACACCTGGCACTTCAAGGTGGGGTGTCGACTTTTTATACCCACTGTAAAGAATATTATAAAATATCAAGATAATTCATCTAAACACTCACTGTTTGTTCTCCTCCCAGCCGCTCCTCCAGCGGTGAGGAGCCTCCTTGGCCTCCTTGCCTCCTCCCTCGTGGCTCCTGGGGGAGTGGGAGTCTCTGGACTCGGAGTGGCGGTCCTCCGCTGGCCTCTTGGACCTGCGGCCCTCCGACTGGTTCTTTTTGGGCGGGGGCCGGTCCCCCCGACTGGGCTTGCCGTGGTCCGGTCCGACCCGGCGGGGCTTACCAGGTTTGTGGGACGGTGACGAGGAGCCCCCCCACTTGGGCGAGCGCCGCTCCTTCCTCTTGGGGGAGGTGGCGTTGGGCGAGCGCTTCCTGGCGTGCGTGCGGGCATTGCCCCCGGCCTTGAACTCGGGCTTCTCAGCAGAGCCGTTGGCCAGCTTCCCCTTGCTGGCTCTCTGGGGGTCGAGGCCCCGAGGCGCCTCCTCTCGCTCCTTCTTGTCAGGGCATCTCTTCTTCTCCTTCAGCTCCTCGTCCATGGCCTCGCCGCTCGTGTCCTGTGGACGTTTCTTCAGCCGGGGATCCTTCTTGGTGCCGTCTGCTGACTTCTGGATCTCAGCCTCCATCTTGTTTTTAGTCTGGAGGGCTCTGGCCATCGGAGACGGGGACTTGGACTTCTTCTCCTCCGGCGCCTCTTTCCTCGGGGTTTTCACTTTGTCTGGCCGGGCAGATTTCTCTGGCGTTGCTGCTGGACTTGCGGTCGCTGCGAGTCCTTCTTTCTTCCCAGCATGCTGTTCTTTGGGCTGGGAGGGAGTAGGGAAGGCGATGCGGTTCAGCCGGGGGTCTCTGGTGGGCAGTTTGGCCTCTGCTTGAGTCGGAGGAGGAATCCATGGACGGACCACAGGACCAGCTGGCCCACCGGCCTTCAGCACCGGGGTGGAAGGGTGAGTGGATGTCGGGACCACGAAGCCACCGGCCTGCAGAAGTTATTTATACGGAAATGGTTAAAGACTTGATACTAAAAAACAGGTTTCTTCCTTAAAGTTAAAAACAGTGACTAGGAGCAGATCTGAGATCTGGTCCCTACCAGCTGGGCCTTGGTCTGCTCCAGTTCCAGCTCAATCTTCTTCTGCTGGAGCTCCAGAAGCTGCTTCTGCTTGGCCAGCAGCTGCTGTCTGATCAGCTGCTCCTGGGTCAGGCTGGATTGGCCGGCAGTGGCAGCGGCGACAGGGACCGGCTGAGGAGGCGGAGCCACGGGCGGAGTTGGTGGCGTTGTGTTAGCGGCAGCCGGCTGAGAGGGAGACTCATCGGGCTGGTGACACGAGGACAAAGAACATCACAAGGACGTCAGCGAGAAGCACTAGAACACATAACGAGCCGCTGGGAGGAAACGAAGTGGCCGATGACAGAAGTGAGCGCGTTCAACATTGATGCAGCCGGCTGGGTGGGTTTTACTGTGAACGGTACAGTTGGTCTGGATCGAGCACAGATGAGTACTTTCTGTGGACTGCGCATGTGATGAAAAGGGGGCGGGACCAGATCCACGGGCGCATACACACCTGCTTTAGGAACTTGGGGTTGACGTGGATGCTGGCGTTGACTGTGGGCGGCAGCGGCTTGATGGGCCACGCCGGGTCCACCGAGTTGACCCGCACGTCCAGCGCGTAAAGCTTCTTCAGGGGGAACACGTCCTCCCAGGTGGAGCGCAGCTTGAACAGACTCTTCCTGGTGCTCTCATCCACCTAGAAGAGAGGACATGACTTGGTCCAGACACCAACCACTACAGCACGCCACTATGTTAGCAGAATGGTTCTTTAAGATCAATGCATGTTATGAGCCCAGCCTCCCTCAACATTTATGATTTAGAAGTAGACAGGAGCAGAATGCAGGAGACCATATTGAGAAGCAAGCAACACAACAGGAAGAAGTGAGGTGGGCTGCTAACAGTTAGTGCTTTAAATGTTTGAAAGCCAAGCGGCAGCAAAGAGAACTGTACCTTTTCAAAGACACATATAAATGAAGTGATTAGGTTTTTAGCAAACACTGCAAGGTACTCTCCGCCAACATTCTTCACTATGGAATCCACTAAGTACAAAACCGGGAGCTTCTCGGCAGATGGGGCCTGGAGCAAGAGAACTCGACAAGTTTAGAAAACAACAGGGGTTAAAAATAACATTTCATAACAAAGGCTCAGAATCACAGACGTGTCCCCCTCACCACCCCAAAAAACCCCTGTGTGGACGAGACAAAAAGTCCTCTTCAAAAACACGCCAGTAAAGTCCTCTGGAGTCGCTCAGTTCGGTTTCTGCATCTCAGGAAGTCAGCGATCCTTCCCCAAAGAAGGGGAGAAAAACACGCAGGTCCCAGATGCATTTGGGGTAAAAAAAAAAAAAAGAAAAAAGAAAAAGCAGGTCACTGAGTCCAGTCCTCGGGGGCCACTTTACCTCCAAAGAGGGCTTCTTCCTGAAACCACTCTTTGTACGTTACCCAGGCGACCAGTCGGTGAGCTGCACTCTTTAGCATCACAATGAGAGTTTGGGTCAAAGTTTTAACCTTCACAAGTGTTTTTTGTGTTTGTTTGTTTTTAAACACGTCGATGTGAGTTTTAAACTTGAGCAGAGGTCTGCTGTTGCTAAGCGCCGCAGCGGCGTGTTCAGCCGTGTCAGTAAATGGAAACCAGAGTCATATCAATAAATTACACTGGGAAATAAAAAATGACAAAAAGCACATTTCACATTTTTTATTATAACATTTTAACCATTCAATCACATTTCAATAATTCCAGCCTCACTATTGAATTAATGCAGAGAAATTTCTTTTTTCCGTGTGTGACTGAGGCAAATTGCTGACTATAGAAGAAGAGGCCACGCCTCCTGTGGCCAACAAATAGCTACCCGATGATATTTATTAACAACAAATTGAGAGGAGAAGAACTTCGACGTGGTCTGTCCTCAAGCAGCAGATGTGAAGACTTAATATGACGGATGCTCAAAGTAAGTCTAGTGGCTGAAAATAATCAACGCCATGAAAGTCAAAATCCACCATAAAGTAAACATGTTATTTAACAGTATTTATTGTCAACAGATTCCAGCTTTCTTTCTGGAGTTAAAGCTGTTTTTTTAAAAGGGGAGTTGGTTGTTTTTCTAGAATACAAGGTAACGGATGGATAGAAGTTATATTGCCACATTTATAGTAGAAGAATATCACCGGGAAGGTTTTTAAAGCATCGTGTTCATTTAAGACGCCGGCTTGCGTCACCAGAAGTGACTAAACAGACGTTGTGGTAGAGACCTGTCAATCAGCGTGTAGCCCCGGTCTTTATGGTCCGTTTGACTCTAAATGGACCATGATGTACCAAATGAACATCATGCGGTGTTGACAAACGTGAAACTAGAGACTGAGACCATAAACTCATGTTTACAATATTTACTGAGGGAATAAATCGAGAAGTAGTCATTTTCTCAGACTTCTATGGGACCAGAGTCTCCGCCCCCTGCTGGTCACTACACAGAATTGTGTCACACCCGCGTGGGAGAACATTTTAGTTTTTAGGGGTGGAGGGCATTTAGAATGGTTGGGGAAACAATAAGTAATGTTAATTCATACATGTCAAATCTCAGGAATATAAACATTTAAAACTACTGCAGTAAAGTAACTTTGATGAGGGAAAGTAGTGAGACTCACGCGGACGGTCGGGCGATGATTTGGAGGTGTTGAAGTGGGATATCTTATTGTGAAAGTTTAGAATTGGGTTCCCGGATATGTTGACAGCGTTGATGGAGATTTTGGTAACCCTTTAACCAATATTTAATCCCAGCAAAAAACGATGTTTACAATGATGATGGACGACTGTCCATGCAATAGCAATTCACTGGCGTCCTTTAACAGACTCGAAAAGGTAAGGAGCTAACGCTTGAACACCTAAATCACCTGATCCATCACTACAATGTTTGTCTTTACCTGATAATTAGGAAAAACCTGTACGAAGTTCTTAGCATTTCTCTTAAAGTAACTTTCCTGTGGTTATGGTTAGTATGTAATACACACACACACACACACACACACACACACACACAAACACCTGAAATGCTTTGACGTGTATGACTTACCATTACTTTTTCAAGGCGATTTTTTCGTCAAATTGCGCATGCTCGTGATTGGTCAATGCTAGTTTAGGCTGCCCGGATTAACGTTAACTAAATTAACACTACGTTCTGATGTTGCATTAAGAATGATATTTTTAAACAAGAGCTGTGACCACTTTGGAAACATTTGAATGGCTAGCTTAAACGTAGTTTTGTCATACACGTATTTAGTCAATTTTAGACTTTTAGAAATAAAGTTAACCAAGGATTACAAATTATTTTACGGTGGATGTTCACTTCATCGTGGCGCTGTTTTTTTATTTAAAACTAACGTCAATCCGTAAATGTAATTTATATTCGATGGAAACCAAGCTTTTCACTGTTATACACAGAATGTACGTTAGTTAAAAGACGCAACTGAAACAACGGAATGCAGCGCAACTGAGGCTGCGTTTAAAGTGTTCGCTAGCCGCCATGTTTGTTTTAGCTAACGTTAGCGCAGCACATCCGGGGCCAACTAAGCTAACTCATAACACCCGGGTCGGTTGCTGCGGTTTGATGAAGCTAACACTAACATTAGCGTAGAACATCCGGGGCCTACTCCTACTGTTTATTAAGCTAACGTTACCCCAGAACACCCGCGGACTAGCACTAATGTTTGGTTAGTCTAACGCTAACTCAGCACACCAGGGGCCTGTTACTAACGTTAAAAACCAACAGAACACAAATTGAAAATATTCCATATTTATAAAAACCTTGCTTATTTGCGCTTCAATAATAGCGACGATATCCTTGGCGAAGTTGAGGTTTTCCTCCGCCAGGATGGTCAGCATGTTGATGTGAGGCTTGCTGTTGAACGTCAGGTCCTCCAGCGAGGACTGATACTCCCGGCACGCGTCTTCTCTCGCCGCGGTGTCCGCCATCTTCGACCCGGGTAGACCTACAGTTTCTCTATCGATACCGTGACCATTGATTGGCAGGCAGTCCATGGACTCATGTGGCTAACTGTTCTGGCCAGACTGGATCACGTTTAACATAAAACAATAGAGGTTGTGGTTTATTTCCGCCGTCGCCTCCTCGAAGTTCTGAGCGTCGTCCTTTCCTTTTTTTTTCAACGCCAACAAGATGGCAACTGGCAGTTGAAGGCCTTGTACGTCACACCAAATCGTTAGTACACCACGTGACATGTGTTCAGTCCCATTGGGTTGTTTTAGGCCACCTGGGCTGGGTCCTGGGCATTCATTGGCTCGGTGAAATAACTGCTAGATGAGTGAGCCAATCAGATGGAGGCACTGTGAGTTTCCGTTGCATAAGTTTTTAGGCCAAGTTTCACAACGCAGCACTCCGAGGCGGAGGCATGACGTCAAGGGGGCGTGTACGGGCCGTGTACTTTCTGATAGCTTTTACCGTAAAAAACAATGACGTCCGTTTTCTCGTCTTTCGTTTGGAACCAAAAACAAAATAAAATGACAACGTTTTACTTCCGTTAATCCTTTTTTGGTTTTTGCCTACAAAACGAAAATTCGAAGCGTTTCACAGTAAGAGTCAACGCAAAGGAACGTTTGTATGCTAGAAATCCGTCTGCGATGATGCGGTTACCAGGGTTACATTAGAAGAAAAGTTCATTAATGAATATAAATAAATAATCCTTGTCCGATGAAATATGTGGTAGCACACTGTATTGTATTTTCAGTGCAGAGAAAGGGGTTCTACCAAGTATTGAGCAGAATGCATGTTGTGTTGATTAAATGGAAAAAGTCTAATAGTGTTCCCGTTTGTAAGAGTTCTTTTTGAATTGTCATTATGTATTAAATTGTGATCAACAATGAATCCCTCTTCCTTGTAAGTTTGTCTGGTTTCTAAATGAAATAAATACAATAAGATCTATACAAGAATGGTTTAAAATGAGCCCTAAACCTGACATGAAAGGGATATTGCATGAAACCCTTCACACACTGCTTGTCTTCTTTGACTGGGTCTTTCTTCTTCTTGGCTTTTTGAGAGAGATTTGCAGCCGCAGGTCTTTTCACTCTGGCAGTTTTTTCCCCCCAAGCGTTTTCAAACCAATTTCAAGTATGCGTGTAAAAGATGTCGAGTGTTGTTAGTCAATGAAAATGTCCCTTTTTGTCTCGTGTGTGGAGGCCACAGCTCAGTCAGTGTCCTCTATCCTCAATACAGAAGACGTTTGGGGACAGATAAGACCAGCGTGAAGCTCTCACCATCCCACAGATGTCTGTATGGCACAGCGCGTTGCTGCAAGCGGCATGATTTTATATGAGCAGTTTCTAGTGAAGATGTAGTCATGGTGATTGCCGGCTTTGTGAGTAAGAGGAGAGGGACTGAGTGACAGAGCGAAGGAAGAAAGAAAGTAGGAGTAAAAGGTCAGATCATTGTATCCTGTTGCAGAAACTAGAACATTTGATTGGTATCAAAGGAACTGCACTTCGCTGGTTTAAACCCTATTTATCAGATGGATCCCAGTTTGTGCTTGTAAACGGTGAATCCTCGAAGACCACCAATGTTGGTCACGGAGTCCCACAAGGTTCTGTACTTGGACAATTGTATTTACCCTGTAAATGCTTCCTTTGGGCGACGTTATCAGAAAACACTGCATAAACTTCCATTTATATGCAGACGATATTTAGCGGTATCTGTTGATCAAACCAGAGGAGACCGACCAGCTTGTTAGACTTCAAAAATGTCTCGGAGACATCTAAACTTGAATTACCTGCAACTCCCTGATGCTAAACTCTTGATTATAGGCCCAGAGCGCCTTCCAACTCAGTTGTCACGTGATACACTTTGGTACCCAGCAGCACCGTCAAGAATCTTGTCGTTCTCTTCAACCAGGATATGACCTTCAACTCTCATATAATGAAGACTATAAAGAGGACTGCCTTTTGTCATTTACATAATATATCGAAAATCAGGAACTTCCTGTCTCAAAGTGTTGCAGAAAAATTACTTCATGCGTTTGTTACTTCTAGACTGGATTACTGTAATTCTATCAGGCTGCTCTTGTAAATCTCTTAAGCCTCTCCAGTTGATTCAGAATACTGCAGCACGTGACACGTTAACAAGAACTAAGAAAAGGGAACATATCACTCCTGTATTAACTTCTCTGCACTGGCTCCCTGTTAAATCAAGAGCAGATTTTAAGGTACTTCTCCTCACCTACAAGGCACTTGCTGGTGCCTCTGCATTTACAGACCAGCCCTTAGTTAAGCTGCTACGGGGACTTCTTAGGACACACAAGCTCCTCTCTCACTCTCTCCTTCTACAATACTCCACATCTCATTAATGTAGATTACTAATTCAGCTTCTTTGTGCTTTCTCCCCTAGCAGGTCTCCGTAGATCGTAGTTCCATCTGGACCCTGGTCCTGACTCCTGCCTGGCCCGTGGACATCTACCACTTCTAACACCATGGATATTTCCATTTCTATTGCTGTAAACATGAATGCAGCAAAATTGTTTCTTCTACGGAGTATTTGTGCTTTACCGTCTCACAGGTTTCCATGGATCATGGTTCTATCTGGACCCTGTTCCTGCTTCCTACCGTGGCCCTGCTGACACCTGCTGCTGCCATCATCATCATCATCATAAATATGAATCATATTACTATTACTGTCATCATAAACCAACATGACCCTTTGATCCTAAAGTCTTTGTGCTCTCCCTCCCCACAAGCTTCTGTGGATGGTGGTTCTATCTGACGGTGGTTCTATCTGACGGTGGTTCTGTGTGACGGTGGTTCTATCTGACGGTGGTTCTGTGGATGGTGGTTCTATGTGATGGAGGTTGTCCCTGCAGTGGTCCTGCTTACTACTCACTATTATATGAATCCGTCATATGAACTGAATGTCTTGTTCATCGTCTACATTGTTCATTCTGTCCTCGTGACATCATTGTGGTCCATCAGGAGACGGATCCTCCTCTGAGGTTCACTGAGGTTTCTTCCTTGTTTGGGGGGAGTTGTTCCTGTGCTGATGTGAGGGTTTCGGGACAGAGGATGTCACATGTGTACAGACTGTAAAGCCCTCTTTACAAATGTGTAATTTGAGATTTTGGGCTCTACAAAATAAAATGAATTGAAGACCTCACTTGGTCCCTTAACACATCACAACGCTTCTACAGTGTGATGGAGAGCATCCTGCCGTATGCCATACATATAATACATATAGAAACATGAATGAATAGGTAAATGAAAAGAACTCAACACAAATCTATTTCCAGATGTTGAAGTGTCATTTTGCTTCCTGGGTGCTCCACCACGCAGAGGTCTCACTTCCTGCTGAAAATAGAGCCGAAGCAAGACAAACACAACCGGAAAAACTGAAGATATCAAATTAGCAAAAGAAGGGGTTTCAGAAAACTAAATGGAATATAAATACAAAATGTCTGAATGCTTTTTTTTATCGATGACCAACAATCTAAAAAAACAGATGCAAAACAATTATCAGTCTTCTCTGACCATCACGTCATGCTATTTAACCGGGGAGCCGTTAAGGGTGGGGGTCTTGCTCAGGGACACTTTGACACGGGACATTGAGCAGCCGGGGTTTGAACCACCAACCTCCCTCTCTACTCCAAACGCCACAGTCTCCCAATCTTTAGTGGTTTATGTTTTAAATCAAATGCTGCATATCCATTCATCGACCTACTCCGTTATTGTCTTTCTTTCATTCCTGTACAACTGAATTGTTTCCTCTTTAATAACTCAACTTCTGGAAGAAATGCAAATTGTAAATCGGCTTATTTGATGAAATTGCACTTTCATGTTTCTTGCTCGAGTTTGTATCCTTAATGTATCCTGAATGTTATGCATGTAGCCCCGCCCCTAAAGCATCACATGCTATATGGTCTATTTGATACCTGTCAATCAATGTGTAGCAACGCCCCAAACCATCCCAGGTTGTCTCCTGATTTAAACGTTAGACGCCGCCCCTTTCAAGGTCACACATGGGACATGTTATCCACGATTTTACTGTTAAATTAACTTAAGACATGACAACTTTATATTTTATGAAAAAAAACCTTCCACACTAGATTTAAATTGCTGTGCCATTATTTCTCTTTAATAGTTGTTTTTAATGATTTATTTTAACCACAGAGACGAACAACAATAAAGATATCTATCATCTGAACTGATTAACTAATAGATACCAGTTTATATTCCCTGTAATGTAAAATGAAACATTATTCAACACCTTGATTATGTGAACTCAGGACCAGCTGTGACGTCACTGATGTCACACTGTGGCTTCAACAATAAGAGCACGAATTAGTCATTAAAAAAACGGCAGAAATTAATTCCCCACCAGAGGATAAACAACGTCGATTTCCTCTTAAGAGTTGGTTTCCGGTTCTAAAACAGAGTCACAAGGTCAGGGGTCAACTCCCACAGGACCCCACAAACTTCACGGTCCGCTGTGGCCGCGGCAACGAAGGAATGATTCACTGGAGGAGCTGGATTGGATTTCCCATGATGCCCTGCTTCATCCCAACACATTTTTATTAGAGTGTTAAGAATGAACACAGTTGTTTCATATAGCAGATGGAGGGGGGGGGGGGGGGGTCCGGTCTCTTCCCGTCAAGTCCTTCAGGTGCAGCGCTGCTCTCAGGTGTTGCTGCTAATCTTCAGTAACTATTTGTTCCACTCCACTAAATGCAGCCGTGTTTCCAACTTTAACAAGATGAAGAGGAGATCTCCAGTGAACAGTGAGCGAGTCTCTGTAGGACGAGGAGCCCCCCCCCCTCAGGCGTCGGACTCCTCGCTGCTGTCCCGGCTGATCTCGATCTGCAGAGACGGCAGTTGGTCCAGCCGGCTCTTCTTCAGCTGGGGGCTCACCTGCTGCTTCCGTTTGATCATGGCGCCCCACATCTCCTGCAGGGTGGAGTCATCCTCCTCCTCCGTGACTCCTCCCATTTTGCTGCTGCCAACGTCGCCTTTCCCCGAAGAAGAGAACAGACCCGAGGGCCGGCTGCTCGATCCCCGCTCGGGACGCCCAGCGGCACCATTGGTGTCGTCTTCACCGGAACCGAGTCTGCTCCACAGGGCGCCTACGCGCACACACACACACACACACACACGTCAAAGATGTCCTTGTCTCATTCTCAGAGCCCCCCCCAAATAAAGACTATGGATGAACACAATTCATGTGGACGACCTATTTTGACTTAAAAGTGAAAAGCGACCGGGTGGCTGGTATGCTAATGAGGACATTTAGCTGCGTTGTGGACAAATCCATCAGGACGATAATGAAAACATGAATAGAGATACAGACGTTAGAGACTCGTACTTGTCTTTTTGTCATTGGACGACTTGGAGAAGACCCCTTTCTTCTCCTGGATGGCCGTGCCCAGTCGGCCGTGCACGTCTCTGATTGGCTCTCTGGCGGGGGGCGTGTCTCTGGGGGAGAAGGGGGAGGGGGAGCGTTGTCTGTCGGGGGAGTACCGTCGTTTCCCCAACCGCTGCCGTACGTCTGCAGAGAGACGAGGGGAGAGTGAGACGGGCTGACAGGTGTGTGTCTGACCCACATGAGTCCGACCAGCTGACCTGTCTTCCCGCCGGGGGCTCCTGGGGGCGGCGGTCGGTGCTGACTTCCTTTCCTCTTCTCTTCCAGAAGCTGCCGGACGTCGGTCATCTTCGGGGGGGGGGGCGACTTGGTTCTGGTCTGAGACTCTCCGACCCGGTTCCTGCCGACACCACCAGATGTTTTAAATATAGTATTTATTAAAACAAGTAGACAACATTCTATTCTTTTTCTATTAATATTTTAAAGATGAATGGCTTTCTTTTCAAAATAAAAGCCCTTGGTTCTGACCGGATGCTCTTCAAGTGGCCGTCCAGCTCGTCGGCGTACATCGTCATCTTCTTGCTCTTCTTGGGCGACGGCGTGGAGATCATCTTCAGCTCCAGGTCGTAGTCCATCTCGTCTGACTCCGACCACGGAGACAGAGAGCGCTCTGCCCGGTTACTGCGCGGCGCCGCCCCCCCCGCCACCGGCCGGGCTGACCCCGCCACAGCAGCCCTGTCGCCTCTCTCCTTGTACTCCACCACCCGGTCATCCTCCATGTCCTCGTCCTCCTCATCTTCCTCCTCCTCCTCCTTGATAGGCTCCTCCGGCAGGTTGACCAGGTCGGCTGGAGGGAAGAACAACATCACAGCTCCTGACTTAACAACCTAATACATTACATGTCACAATACCAGTGGCTTTGTTATATTTATCAGAATTATTCATTCCTCCAAGTGAAGAATTGAGACTACGTGAACACGCGCATCTCTTATAATTTGACGATTTCTCTACTCCGTTATTTTAATAGAACTTTATCATTCATTACGATTCTTCTGCCCCAATAAAACGCGCGACACTTGTTCTTGTATTATTTTCAGCCCGGTGTTGTCACGGCAACGGGGACGGACAGCAGTTACCGGAGTGCCGGTGCGTGTACGGCGGCGTGTGTCCCATGTTGTCTCCAATCAGAGGCTTCTTTGTCTTGATGACGTCCCTCTGGATCCTCCGGTTGTGGAACCTCCTCTTCCTGGAGACATTGACACATTAAACATGCACGATGTAAAGGCTTCTGATTGGACACGAGGGTTCGAGTCCCACCACGAGTTGCTGAGGATTCCCTTCATGCCTCCGTAGTTCGGGTTTCCGTACTTCATGTAGTATCGGCTTCGCCGAGCGGCGCCGAGCTCCTTCTTATCGTCTGGAGAAGGGAATCACATTTTAACTAACAGCCATTAGCTTAGCATCACTTAGCGCAGCAGAGACTCACCATGCGTGGCGAAGCGCAGCAGGAGCTTGTTTCCTTTGAAGGGTTTGATGGCTGCTCGCAGCTCGTTCCTCAGCAGAGACTCTCTCTCCACCAGCGACAGGTCCGCCACCTGAGACGATCAATGAGCCCATAATCAATGATGTCGACCGGTTCGCAGCAGTAACCAATAATCTCTACCTGCACGGCCTCCTTCTTGGGTTTTTGCTCGTCTCTGTCTTTCACCTCGACCTCCTCGCAGCTCTCCTTCACGGCTTCCGGTTGGTCCTCCTCTGACCTTTGACCTTTGGCACTTTCGCTGAGATCGTTGGGCGCGTCGGCCGGCGGCTCGTTGGTGCCCTGCGTCTCCGTGGCAACCGTCTCTGGGCTAGTCATCCGGCTGCTGTTGACGAGGGCCCGGATGGAGGTGTCGTCATCGAGCCAGACCACGTTACCTAGGCAACCAGGAGGCGCGATTCATAATCCTCGTCACATGGTACAAGTCCCCTAAAGCCCCCCCCCACGCGTGTGTGTGTACGTGTGTGCGTCTCACAGGAGGCGTCGTCGATCCACTCGATGTGAGCAGGAGGATACTCTTTGAAGTATCCAAAGATGTCCTGAGTGCTCATGTCGTCCACACCAGTCACGTAGATGGCCTCCATCCGCAGGTTGGGGATAGCTAAGCGCCACAGAAGTGCTCATTAGCACCACAGAAGAAGAGCACAGGGGTGGTCATTAGTACCACCGAAGAAGGCGTGATGCCTTCACTGTACCTTTCTTCATGGTGTCTTTGTCCATCAGCACGTTCCTCTGCTCCTCCTTCTCCTCAGGGGGGAGGTGGAATCGTCTCGCACGCTTCTCCTTCCTCTCAAAGGCCTCCTGAAGAACACAAATGCACCTTTAACCCTCAGAGCGAAAGAAGACATTTTTATTCTTTATGCCTCATTTTAAATCTCTCCTTTGAGACTGTTGGAGAACCTTCTGTGAGACGACCTCATGAAGCCAGTTGCAAGAATGTTTACCACATACTTCCATACGTGTTCCTTCATAGTCGAACAGTAAATCAACAATAGCTAAAAGACAAAGAAAACCCATTGAAGGACAAGGGTTGTCTTAATTAATCCAGAAAATTCCTCAATATGATGAATTTGTCTCACAACGATCTTCGGAACGTAAACGTTTTCAGAAGCAGAAATTCGGAGAAGCATCAGGGTTTGTTTGTTACCTGGAGACTGACATGCTGTGACAGCTGTGACGTCGCCATGCTTACACACGTCACATGATGCACATTAATGTGATGGTACCTTTGAGTTGACGTCGATCCCGGTGATGAAGGCTCCGGCCTTGTTCTCGTACCGCCGGCTCGTATCCTGAAGAACAAAACCTCACTCATGAGCAAAAACCTGTGAGGGGTGTTGATTCAAACATAAATGAATGTAAAACAATCATTTACAACTCTTTCGCGTATTACTGAAGACAACTGAAACGCCTTTACACCTAAACCCTGTACCATCACCTGTGCAGGTATCGATCTGTTGTGAGCATCCACACAGGAGTAAATCAATCAATCAAACATCTCTCATCCTTTAAACGGCAGAATTCATCTGCGACTGCGCGTGAATCACAACGGTTTCCTAATTATTACATTATTTAAAATTATTAAAACAAGCCTATTTCACCCTGAACAAGGGTTTAAGTGCCACCTTTCTTCCCGGAGCCTCCTCTGCACCGAGGGAAAGGTTAGCAGAACAACAAGCCGACGCGTGACGATCCCCGGTAGTCGGTAACCGGTAACCGCTTGACCCTACAGGTCACCGTTGGGCCCCACCGCTTAACCAGTAGACGTTAAGACCTCAAGACCTAACGGGCCTCAAGTAACGTAAAGTCCCTGGGAGACGATGCTACGCCAGTCCCCGGTCTGAGAGCGGCCTCCTCCAGTTACTCACAGGCAGCAGCTCTTTCAAGGACCGGTTAACGGAGATGTCCTCCGCCTCCAGCTCTCCCTCCTCCACCTCCATCGGTTCGGCCTCGCGGGCGTCCCGGTCGGAGTCAGACTCGGAGTCGGTGCCGCTGTCTGGTTTCGCCGCCATTAAACTGCGCACTGCCGCCATGGCGCCAGCTAGCTTAACTGCTAACCTCGGCTAATGATCGGTCCTCCTGCTTCTTCCTCGGTGGTGTCAGGAGGAGGTACAGCGGAACATCAGCGCCTCCTGCGGTTATTGCGATGATGATGATAAAAATAGAAGTATGACGCAGTGACGTGTTATGCAAATGAGACAAGAATGAGGTTGTCACATTTACTGAAGCGAGGAGGTCACGTTGGATCGTCGGATTGTCAGGGGGTGTTGTTGTGTATGTTTGTGGGGGTTGAGGCTGAGGGGAAGCAGGGGTCAGGGTTCGAGCTAGTGAGCGGTTGTTTTGGGGGTAGAGGGAGATTCAAATAAAGAGACAGCTTATCCCGTATTGGGTTGCCGGGGCAACGGCTACAGCAGGGGGCACAAACTTTCCCGGCCCCCTCCAGAGTAAAGGGCCGGTCCAATAGAAGTCCACATCCTCTCGGCCCCCCAGCACCCACCCACTCATTCATTATAAGCCTTATAATGAATGAGAGTCTGATGTAAGCCAGTCAGTGGGTGACGAGGTGCCTCCTGCTTTGCTTGAGAGTTCAGTGTCTGGATCACAGAGCGTAGATGAGGTGCCAGAACCAGATGACAGTTTGTTGTACTGTATGGTCGTCTAAATTCTGAGACTCTTTGTAACCTTGATGGTCTGTTGGTGCATTTACCTGAGTCCAAGCGTGATGAGGTGTCTGGTCTAATCCGGCAGTATCTGTGCCTGTTTAATGATGTTCCTACATGCACAAATTGGATCGAACATGATGTTAGAGATGTAAGAGATGCACAACCAATTAAACTGCGTTTATACCGTATGTCTCCAGAGATGCTTAAACATCTGGACTCTGAAGTTGCTTACATGCTGGAAAATAAAATTGCTCTCCCATCATTTTCTAGTTGGTCCCCGAAGCCTGATAACTCGCCTAGGGTTTGTACAGACTTTAGAAAGGTAAACTTGTTAAGGTAGGTTAACAATTAACAATCCTGTTGTGTGTGAGTTTTATTTTAAGGTGCGATCTTAAACTTTAGTGTATTTGTCCCACTGCAATAACCCGAGAGAAAAGTTTACAGCCATCCGCTGCGAGCAGGGTTCGAACCTGCGCGGGGAGACCCCATTGGATTTCAAGTCCAACGCCTTAACCACTCGGCCATCGCAGCTTACGTCAAATACCACTGATTAAAGACATAAGGTGCAGGTGCGGCCCACCGGACGGTACATCATTACGTTACTTTTGATCTGCTTGATAGAGGAAGCCTGAAGCCTAGTTTATGCTTCTGCGTTTTCACGCCTCCTTGCGTGCGTCGACCCATTTTTGTAGACTAGCGTCTAAAGCGACGCAGCCTCCTGCAGCACCAGGCTGTGATTGGTCTGCTGACTACGTCCTTTACGGAGTCTCACATCTCCGTTTTCACAGCACAATACGGCCGTTATTAAAAGGAAGAACGTTTACGAGAGAACGGATCAGATTGAAGAGCTTTTGTGGGAAGAAATGTGTAAATATGAGCGCTTGTACAAGCCGTCATTGGCGGACTATGAGGACGCCGGATGGCCTCTGATTCATGGAGGGAGATCTCCACAAACGAGGGGACAAAGTCGTGGAGGAAAATACGGGACAAATGTGTCCTTGATGAAAAGCAGCAGTGTGGATACACGGGGCAATAAAGTCTATGATCAATAAATAAAGCAACCAACGACTTCCACACACAAAGACGTGACTCTCCAGGTCGTCTTCAAACACGTGACTCCACCTGTTGTTCTGGAGGTGAATCGCTCTGCAACACACGCAAGACTTTACAACCAGGAAGTGAAACCAGCGCGTCGACGCGGAAAGACGCAGAAACACGCGCCAGCTCTTATAGTCCCGAAAACGCAGATAGAAATAATGATGTGTTTATCTGAGGTAATACATGATCATTATAACAAGTAAAAGCACAGATGTGTGAGCGGGGGATGTAGCTCAGTGGTAGAGCGCGTGCTTCGCATGTATGAGGCCCCGGGTTCAATCCCCGGCATCTCCATTTTCGTTCCCGTACGCAGTATTTCTGTTTTCCGGGAGTTCTTTGCAAAACTAAACAGCGCATATAGTTGTTATTGGCCAAACAGTGTTTCCACTCAGGTGAAAAAAACCTTGTGAGTGTAATACAAACGTATTAATAACAGCTGCTCTATAGGACTTCCTACGTGGTTCAACCAAGTCGATCAAATCTCCAATAATACAGCTCAAATGAACGAGATGATTATCATCGGCCAATTTCGGTTCCTCAAAGGCTGATCGGCGCTCAAACGGTCTCGTTAGTTTGAACCAGATGTCAATCATCCCGATGATCGCGCGTGCGCGTCCTACGTTAGAAGACGGAAGAATCACCGAAACCGGGATTTTTAACTGCAAATGAGCTTAAAGGAAGAGCGTCTTTTTCTCCGCTTGCGAGCAGCGGATGCCCATGAACGCATATGAGGAGATAATGTGTATTTGAATTCTTTCTGTCGGATGAATTGAATGTATTTTACGTCATCTGTCTCTAAAGGTTTCTTGCCTTTCCTCCCCATCATTTTTTTTTGGGGGGGGCGTTAATCTAACTGATATCGCTCCTTCATCCAGGGCTCTGAAGTGTCACGCACTCCCGCCACACATTTCTTCACGCCAAGAAATCGGACTCCGGTCCAAGCCGCGTTTGTTCATCGATGAGGAAGAGAGCTGCGGTTGCCACCTTTAGCACAGAAACGATGGCAGCGAGTATTACCCAATACGGGGCCGAATAGGATGCTGCATTGACGACAGCTCGGAAAATACGGGACAAACCCCGTCCCGTATTGATTCAAAACGGGACGCGTTATTTTCTTCTCAAATACGGGATGATTCCGTATTTTAAGGGACGGGTGGCAACCCTAAAGAGAGCTGCCCAGTTTTTGCTATGGTGATTTAGCCGAACCTGATTCGGGGAACCGAAAAGCCAGATCTACATCCTCTTATCCTGAAAATGATCAGGCTAACCCAGTTAGCCACGTACGAGGACTAGGGCCCTGGCCTATGTTTAGCTTTTAGCACGTGCTACATCAACAACGACCGTAAAACAAAATAAAACGTCAGTCGTGTAAGTCGGTACCTTGTTTACTTTTGGATTGTCTCTACATGACATCATCAGCTGGCTTGATGCCAAAGTATTTCAGACATACAGACACAACGACAAAAAACTGCCTGAGATTTCCCAACATAAACACACCGAAGCTTCTAGCGACAGACGCTGCAGCCAATCAGGAGGCAGCTGCTACTTGACGTTCTGTAGCTCCTCCTTCAATGACCTCCCATGCTCTCATTTGTGCCGACATGCAAACTGCGAGTCTAGGAGTCAAACTGCCGTTGACTTCCACTAAGATAAAGTTTCGATGAATGTAGTAATGCTTTCACCGACCGTTGGATTGTTCTTCTACTGCACCCTTCAAAAACACGCTGGACTTTAGTGCTCATTCAAGCTTCTTCTTCTTAGATCTAATGTAGTTAGTTAGTAATTAAAGTACTTTCAATAACATCTGTGTGACGGAGAATCAGGAAACTGGAAAACATCTCCTGGAAAGGAGTCCACTTTTTACAAGAAAAGTCAAAATTGTATTAAAATATCTTGATGAATACTTGATACTTCAAGAAAATGTTTTTGTCCAATTATTGCAATTTCTATCTCTTTAATGACTGCTTATTTCTCAAATTATTGCAACAATTTTCTCTAATTACTGCAATGTATATGTCTAATCATTCCAACACTTTAAATAATTTTAACATATTTCTCTATTTATGCACAACTAATTATTGCAAGAAATTGCTGATGTGTTTACTCAAATATTATGTAGAAATATAGTTGTTGCTTTCTCTCTTTCTGGGTCCGGGTTAGACTTTCCTCAGACTGCGTTTTGAGTTGTTGTAAGCAGCTGTCACCATGGCAACGTCTTACCTGCCGTGTATAACAAACCCAGAAGAAGAATACAGGTAAATGAATAAACACAACACCAGTATTTCTGCCCACTGTTGGCCAGAATGTGGACAATGCTTTTCTTCTTCTCTGAGTTCATGTATTCTCCTGAAATTGTTGTTTCTTTGTCAATAATATCTCTTCTGATGTTTCTCGTTTATTTAGGACTGGATCATCCTGGAAAGTAGATCAAAAGCTGTGAGGGACGATTGAGTCTCTGAAACATGTCGGTTTCTGTCACGTTGGATTACATGAAAAACCCACGTTAGCTTAATGTTAGCATCATGCTAGCATCCCAACACATTTCCTTGAAGTTGTTCAACCTGCAGTCAGAAAGCCTTTGCTAAGCTAAGCTATGTTAATCAAAGCTAATAACTACTGAGAGGGGTCAGCGGGCGATAGTAGGAGATGAGAGAAGAGAAGAGACAAGATGAGGAAACGCAAGTCAATAATAGTAGACAAGAGGAGACGGTAGAAGAAGAGGGGAGGAGGCGAGAAACGTCAAGAGGAGACAAAAGCGAGACGAGACGAGAGATGGCAAGAGCGATAGTCAGAGACGAGGATGAGGCAAGAGGATGCAACCCTTATGGTCTCCCATATGTCACTGTGATTTTGAGGCAGACCCATTTCAGTTCTGGAGGATCGGCCACCTGATGACTCAAGTCTCTGTTGGCTCCGCCCCTTCCTTAGGAGATGGCGGCTTGTTTCTGAAAAGTTTCAAAGAAGGCCAGCATCCCCCTCCTCACGCCGCTGTCGCCCTTGGTCATCCTGGGTATCATCGCGCCGCCGCTATTGCTGTTGCCTTGGAGATTGGAGGTTATAGGCGGGAAGGAGTCCACGGAGTTTGCCCGTTTGACCTTCGACGAAGCCGCACGCCATGACTTGGTCCTCGGAGGCGGAGTCTGAGCTACCAGACACTTCTGATACTGGACCTGAGGGTCGAGAAGGAGGACGACGTAATGTATCCATGACCTCACATCTTTGAGGTTCAGCTGACAGCTCACCTGACCAGGTGTGCCACTCACCATACACGCTCCTTGCACCGCCTCAGACAGGTTTCCCGCATCCGGCTCGCACCAGAACACGTGACACTCGAACCTCTGCGTGCCGCCGTCCACTATCACGGCAAAGGTGCGGCTGTCGTGGCCGACCCCCAGGAAGGTGAGAAAACGCACCTGGCACTCCCAGAGAGGCTCCTCCCCTTCCTGTTGGGGTTTTCAAGGAGAGGTAGAAAAACAGTGAGCTACGCCCTCCAGGTGAATGAACAGAGTAGGAATGGTTGTACCTTTCCCTTCCACAGGGACAAGATGTTATCGGTGATGTGGATCACCGTCGCCTCCCACTCGTCTCTGTCCGTGGAGTTCATGATGCTCTCTATCGCTCTGTTCAATACCTCCATACCTGTGGCACACCAGGGGAGAGCACACCTGATGACGTCACACAAATGATCCCAAATACACAAAGCGTTTACAAATGTTCAACTACTAAGAAATCATTTCAGGGGATTTCAGGTGTTTTGCCCTCCTACCCATTGCTCTGGACACCGGCAGGTTACCAACGTACTGCACATCAAACTTCTGGACCTGCTTTCTCATCGCCTCCTGAAACTCCACTGAAATGACAATAGCTAATCAGTGGGGTGCCAATCAGAGAGTAGGGCGTGTTGTCAGAGAATAGGTGTCACCTTGTCGGGGCAGGTCTTCGGGTGAGATACTCTCCATTGTCAGCGAGCGAGACGGCCTCATTGATGTCTTCTCTGACATCATCTAGAGAGAAATTAACACAGCGGTCCCGTCGTGTTTACAGCCAATTGGCTAATGCTAACATGCTCATGCTAACGCGGTAAACATTGCGCTTCATGTGTCAGGTGACTTGAGGGACCCACCTTGGAGCACATCTCGTGCAGCGCCATGGCGATGGCTTTGGCTGGAGCATCACAGCGAAACACGTGACACTTCAACACACAGCTGTCCTTATCGCCGGCCACAAAGGCAAAGTCCCTGTATGCACACACACAAACACAAACGGAAATAGACACAGAGACACACACACAGAGACAGACACACAAACAATGCCATGTTGAGGCCGACCAGCTGATTGATCACATGATCAGAAGGTCAAAATCAATAAATACCCTGACACAAAGGAGGAGGCAGTGAAGTCTCTGAAGAGGGAAAGGTAGAGAGGTTTACCTGTCTCTGCCCAGGTGGACCAGTGGGGGGGAGAGTGACATTGTTAGTGCAAATACAGGTAAACAAACTAAAAGGTGAGCTAGCTTAGCATGCAGAAACATCTAACTGTGAGCGTATGGTAATAGTCTAGCTTAGCAAAAGAATGGACGCAGGGTACAATTATTAGCTTTGCGTAGCACAAAGAACGGAAGCAGGGGCAACGATTAGCTTAGCTTAGCATAAATACTGAAAGCAAGGGTAGGTGTTAGCTGTGCTTAGAACAAAGACTTGAGGCAGAGGGAAGTGATGGCTTACACTAGTACTGGAAGCAGATGAATACTTGTTAGGCTAGCTCCTCCCATCTCGTCCCCTCCATGTCCCAGGTAACTTATTGGCTCACCTGCCGTTGTTGCAGCCCACACCCCATACACGGATGTTGCTGATTGGCTGACAGTGCAGTGAAGTGTGGTCTAAAGGGTCCAACAAAGTCAGAGTGTCCTTCTTCAGTACCAGCATCATCTCCTGACCCTGCAAACAGACAGACGGGTCAGTCCACCAACTCACAAACAGGTACACGGGTTCAATGCAGATCTTGTCTCACCTCCCCCCGGGCCCCTTGCCTGTCTCTCTGCTCTGGGCTGCCGCAGTGAGACAGCTGTTGGATGACGTTACTGAGAGCGAGACTGCTACGACCGGGAGACAGGTCCTCCTCTTCCACCTCCAGCCAGCCCAGAGAGCGAACTGCAAACCACTGAAAGACAGACAGGTAGAGAAACCGACAGGAAGACCGATAGGAAGAGAGACAGACTTGTACAGAGATGGACAGGGGAGCAGGTAGAGAGACAGACATATGGAGAGACAGGAAGAGAGACCAACAAGCACACAGACGGACAGACATACAGACAGGGGGAGAGATAGACAGGCGGATAGACAGAGATACAGAAAGATAGACATGTAGATTGACAGACAGGCAGAGAGACGAACAGGGAGAGAGACAGACAGGTTAACTCAGATTAAAGCGATTAGAGCGGATTAAGGCTCCAGAGCCAAAAACATTGCTGCTTTCACTTTGTTTATTTTAAAATGATGTCATCTTTGACCCCTGTGACTTCCTTGCTGATGATGTCAGCAGATTCAGAAACATGAGTTAGCAGCTAACTGGTTAGCGGGTTAGCTGATTCCTCAAATCCAGATCAACGGCTAGGTTTCGTTTATTCATTGATTAATAAACTGAATATTGGATTCCAAATGAGAATGTTTAAATATAATGTTGATTGTGAGGAGAAGGTATGTTCCTCCACAACAGTGTGGTTGTTGTTCATGTTGTTGTTGTTACCTTGGAATTGGGGTTGTGGTATCTGAGATAATCTTCATGCCGCAAAGACCTGAGTAAAAAAACACAATTTTTGTCTACCAATTGTAGCTGTGCGTGTGTGTAGGTGTGTGCGTGTCGATATGTTTGTGTGTATGTGTGTGTCGTCATAGGTGTGTTTGTGTAAGTGTGTGTGTTGATATGTTTGTGAGTTTGTGTGTAGGTGTGTGTTTACCTGGTCTCAGGCTTCATTCCTGTCTCTTTGTTGGAGCTCTGATGTCCGCCATTCAGCTGAGATACAAAACCACAGAAGAAGAAAACACTTCAGACAGACCTGCTATTCTGAGCTAACCGAGCTTCATGATACTAAGACTAAACTACTTCTCTTTCCAGGAAGGAATTCTGTTAACTTTGAGACTCCGTGTTAACGCCCACTTTGACAGCAGGAACCTCGGCGTAACGTCGACAGCCGACTCTCCCTGACTCCAACATCACTGACAACACCATCCTGTAGATACTCGCTCTACAACATCAGGAGAACACGTCCTCTTCTCACTCAGAAGAAGGTACTGATTCAGGCTCTTGTCGTCTCCCTCCTGGACTACTGTAACTCTCTCCTGCAGGTCTCCTGCTACCACCATTCAGCCTCTGCAGCTCATCCAGAATGCAGCAGCTCCAGTGGTCTTTAACCTTCCTAAGTTCTCCTCCACTCCTCCGCTCTCTTCACTGGTACCGGTGGCTCATCCAGTTCTAAACTCTGGTGCTCACGTACCATGCTGTGAATGGATGGGGTCCAGCTTCCATCCAGGACCTGGTCCAACCCGACATCCCGACCCGCACTCTCCGCTCTGCATGTGATAAACTGCTTGTTCCTCCTCACTGAGAGCAAAACACTCGACTAGATCTCCACTCTCTGCTGTCCTGCTCCTAAATGGTGGAAGGAGGTCTCTGAAGACATCAGGACCACAGAGAGCCTTCACATCTTCAGACTAAAGACACACCTCTTCAGACTCTACCTCCACTAACATACTAACTGTAGCACTTACATTGGACTTATAATGGTTCTTATCTACAGCAAGTTGTACATCGGCTTATGTGAGGAAATCGCACTTTCTTGTTTCTTGTTCTTGAGTTTGTACCCTATGGTTGAAATGTTCTTATTGTAAGTCGCTTTGGATAAAAGCGTCAGCTAAATGACATGTGATGTAATAATGTAAAGTAATGTAATGTAATACTAACTAGCTTAATTAAGACGGACTTATTTAATTCAAACTAACTTAAATTACACTCACTAGTTTACACTACCATAATACCGACAAGTTTAGGTTAAACCTTCTAAACTAACTAGTTTAACTGTCAAGCTTAGTTTACACAAACTAGCTTCTTTAAACTATCTACCTTAGTTTACACTGACTAGTTCAACTTAAGCTAGATAGCTTCTTTACACTAACTAGCTTGGTTTAAACTCACACGTTGAACTTCAACTAACTCGCTTCTTTACAATATCTACCGTAGTTTACACTGAATAGTTTAACTTCCACTAACTAGCTTCTTTACGCTAGCTAGCTTAGTTTAAATGGAAAAGTTTAACGTCACTAACTAGCTTCTTTACACTAACTACCTGAGTTTACACTGGCTAGCTCCCCAGTTAGTTAACCAGGTTAGTATATAGTAATCAGGTTGTGACCTGCGTGTCGAGCAGCTGGGATGACCCACTGAGCCGGGGGTGCTGCCACTGGGTGGCCCCAGTGGGAACGTGCCAGTAGTACGTTCCTGTTGAATCTTTGATGGTTCTCCAGCCAGAGGGTAGATCTGGATCCAGCTGCAGGTTCTGGTCGGTCCAGATGTTGTCTGCAAACACACAATAAGAGTCCACATGTGTTAGCGCTTCCCAAAGGTTGCAGTGAAGTTGGACTGTAAAGGATACAGTATGTGTGAATATGCATATTATATCACCTGCAAGAAGCCGTACCTATCAACTGCTAGGCTACAACTACGTACCTATTAACTGCTAGGCTATGACTACGTACCTATTAACTGCTAGGCTACAACTACGTACCTATTAACTGCTAGGCTACGACTACGTACCTATTAACTGCTAGGCTATGACTACGTACCTATTAACTGCTAGGCTACGACTACGTACCTATTAACTGCTAGGCCACGACTGCGGACCTATTAACTGCTAGGCTATGACTACGTACCTATTAACTGCTAGGCTACGACTACGTACCTATTAACTGCTAGGCTACGACTACGTACCTATTAACTGCTAGGCTACGACTACGTACCTATTAACTGCTAGGCTACGACTACGTACCTATTAACTGCTAAGCTACGACTGTGGACCTATTAACTGCTAGGCTATGACTAGTTAATATTAATATCCTCTATTATAACACACCTTAATTTATTAGTTATTTAACAGCTGCTTAAACCATTTCAGATCGCTTCAGGCAACAACGCTAACTTAAGTCAGAGCATCGCTCTGAGCGTTCGATCCTGGTTCATCTAACAGAATGTCAGACCTATTAGTTTTGCCCTCCACAACACTTGATCTTCTTTTTAGGTTTTGAGTCTAAAAGTTATTGAGTTATTCCCTCTTTCTCAATGACATGGAGAAGAATAGGAGCGACGGTGGCGCAGGGGTAGAGAGGGTTGGCGGGTCCATGTCCCAAGTCGAAGTGTCCTTGGCAAGACACCTAACCCCTAATTGCTCCCCGGGATAAAATAAAACCACGGGTTAAAATGCAATGTAAGTCGCTTTGGGTAAAAGCGTCAGCTAAATGACTTGTGATGTAATGTAAAAGAATAGAACAGAACAGAATAAAACAGAGTTTTATCTTTTACCTTTTATCTGCTTGTATAAACCATTGTATTTACAATGCTACATTAGCAGCTACGTTTAAGGTAATCACGCCGATATTAATAGATTTTGAAAGCAGCCGTCGTTGTTAATTACGTTACTTTATTCTGGCGGTTTGTTCACTTTTGAAGTTATTTTGTTAGTCTTGGAAGATGGAGAGCTGCGATTGGTGGGTTGTCAACAAGATGTCATGACGGTGTCAGAAAAACAACATCCCAAACCTATGTGTGTGTGTGTTTGTTGGTGTGTTTTTCTTTATATGCATGCAACACATACTCAGACACCCATTGTCTGGGTATGTGTTTATGTATACATATGTGTGTGTCTGTTTGTGTGTGTGCGTCTCACCGTCATAGTTGACTATGAGGATGGCCAACATGTAATCTTTGCCCATCATGGCTCCGCCCTCCAACATGTGTGGTCCAATCAGCTGATGGTCCTCAATACACACAGTTAAAGCCTCCGGTCTCTCTCTCGCTGCTTGTCTTTCCCTTAGTGTCTCTTGTCCGTCCCTTAGATGAAACCATCAGTCTTCTTCTTCTGCTGTTTTATATCCGTATCTCTCTCCTCACACTCGTCCCTCCTCTCTCCTCTCTGTCTGATGAAGGATGCTGCTCTCCTCCTCCTCCTCTGGCTCCTCCCGCTGATGATGTCATCCCCCTGCCCCCTGCCGATGTCATCGCTCCCCTCCCTCTCGACCTTCACCGTGAGGATCGACTTTAACTCCCTCATTCATGTATGAACGGCTCAGTATTCAACCAGATTAAGTCCTATAAGAAGTATTCATGGTCACTATCACATTTTAAATTACACTCATGTATCAGTGAGATGTACGACTACAATCAGTATGAAAATGTACATAAAGCACCTAATGTAAATAAACTCCTGAATAGATATATATACATAGATAGATAGATGCTGTAAACCATCAGATAGAACGTAACCACCGTCAGGTACAACCACCATCAGAAATAACTAGCAGATACAACTATCACACCATCCACACTGTGGTGAGAGAAAACTCCAAGATGATGCAATAATGTAATGATATTAATGACACGGCTCATTTTCAAAAGGAAAAGATTTACCTTTGAGACATAGTGGAGAAAAAATATAGTAAAGCAAATACTGAGTAAAGGACATCCGTGTGTACGTGAACTTGTTTCATACTCCCGCAAAGATAAACCCTGAAATGGATTTTATTGTTGAATAAAAAAATGATTCAATTTTTGTTCATTTATTTGTTGCATCATTTATTTATTTATTATTATCTTTTATACAATACATTTATTTAATTATATTGATTGACAACCAGCTTGAATGCTGAATGACACCTGCCGTCCTTTGAAATTCAGAAGGGATTTGGATTTCAATTAACAAAAGAAACTGAAGTAATTAAATCTGTGTGTCATTCCTTACGGATTAACGGCTTTAATTATTTATTCTTTTATTTGATTTTGTGTGCTAACTTTAAACCTCACTGTTTCAAGGATCAAATACTTAAATACAACTTTCTTATGAAACATAAAAGTATTTTATTCGATCCTCAATCATCGTTGAATCACAATAAACGTTTTAGTGCTTTAACTGCATGTGGACATACAGGATGACGTCACGTTAGTGCCACGTGTGCGGGAAATGCTGTGAGCTAAATGGACCAGTTAGTCAAACTGGTCAAAGTTGAAGACCACGACAGGAATTTATACCAGGTCTCCTCCAAAGTAAGAGCTCAAAGTATCAGCGCCAACTCAAAGCTCTTATTATGATGTCTGAGCGGAAGTTGTTTATCCCCGGGGATCTTACGTATTTACATTATCCCGGTGACGTCGCCAACGGAAGTTCTTTATCCGCTGCAGTTTACACTCAAACCACTGTTGTTGTGACGTTAGCTAATTTCTTTGGGTTAGCTTAGCCGTTACCTTAGCCGCTAGCTTAGTTAGGTCTCTTGTGAAGAAGACACTGCGACGTCGGTGGAGTCCAACATGGAGGACAGGTACATTAAACCAGGTAAGCGTTAGCTTCGCTGAGCATGTCCTTACTATTGGTAATAACGTAACTTAGCTAACGTTAACGTTATACAGCCTCTGTGCTGCTAGGCTAACGGTTAGCTAAACAAACATCATTCGTCATAGTGCTTATATCCATTGCACGTTTTTTTAGTTCGGCACACAGATATTCCACAAAAGAGTAATTATTCATGTAAGAAATGTCCCTGGATTTATTAGTTTGTAATGTGACGTTGTGTTTTAGGCCGCAGATACAGACAGATGATGTCATCGCTCATAGTAACACGGTGTTCTATCTGTAAAAGTCAGACTCCAGAGGTGTGAACACTTAAAGGTTCCACATGTATGTTATGTGTGATGACATCTTGTGGTGGACGTCTGTGTCAGCTTCATCACTTCATCTCTGTCTTTTACTGACTGTGTTCCCTAGGTAACCAGGAGCGGGGCTGGAACGACCCCCCTCAGTTCTCCTATGGGCTCCAGATGGCCCACGGGCCACAGAGGAACCTCCTGAACAAGAGAGCTGCTGCACCGGCAGGTTGGACAACGTGTCTGGGTCCTTCTTGTTTCCTCTCTCCTCATTTCCTTTCTTGGCCTCCTTTCCTCAGCAAAGGAGGCCTCGGTGTTTCCTCTTTTTTGTAGTCAGAACTCCTCCACGTGTTTGACGAGTTAGGTCATCCTTGGAGAACAAGCGTTGAGGTCACAAAGTCATTTTATGCCTCAAACATCTTGTCTCTGATTGGTCTTCAGGTACAGGGGCCCCACCCATTACCCCTCCCTCCTCCAGTCCTATGGCTCCTCCTCCTCCAAGTGATCTTACGCCGCCGCCGCCTCCTCTAGGCCCAGGTAAGGAACAGTAAAAGAAGAAGAAAGGTTTTGTTAACGAAGCCTGAATATCTGTGTCTCATTTGGTGGGCTTTATCCTCATGAGCTGTTCAGAGTGGACTGGAGCTCTGTGATCATACAGTACTGCAAGTGCATCACTGACCACCTGTCTGACAGCACGTGAAGCTGGGGAAACCTGTCTCTCTCTCGAACCATGAGCACCGGTTCCCCCCAAGGCTGCGTTCTTTCCCGTCTCCTCTTCTCCCTGTACACCAACAGCTGCACCTCCAGTCCGTCAGGCTCCTGAAGTTTGCGGATGACACCACCCTCATTGGTCAGATCTCTGGTGGGGACGAGTCTGCCTACAGGTGGGAGTCCGACCATCTGGTGTCGTTGTGCCGTCAATACAACAGCTGAACTGGCAGGTGGAAGAAATTCCACGATGATGGTCCACTTCTACACGGCCATCATGGAGTGCATCCTCTGCTCCTCCATCACCGTCTGGTACGCTGCAGCCACAGCCAAGGACAAGGGCAGGCTGCAGCGTGTCCTCCGCTCTGCAGAGAGGCTGATCGGCTGCAATCTGCCGTCCCTGCAGGACTTTGAGGACCTTGAAGCGAGCTAGAAAGATTGTAGTCAACCCCTCTCACTCCGGACACAATCTCTTTGTGCCCCTTCCATCTGGCAGGAAGTCCAAGGTCCAGACCAAGACGTCCCGCCTCACGTCATCAGTTGGTCTCATGATCCAAGTCAGAGTCCCCCATTGACCCAAATGTTCCCCCCAGAACATTTTGCACAGTGGTTTCTCACCATGAAAAATGTACATACATACGTGTTTTAACTTAGTTATCTCATCTTCCTTATATTGTTTTAATTTTCCTTGTACATATTTGTATTTTATTTTATTGTCATCGCACCAATCATCAAAACAATTCCTCTATGTGTAACATGCGTGGCAATAAATGGCTTCTAATCTTGAGAACAAGACTCCGCTATTGACTGCAGCTCTTCCTCTTGCATTAGCTCGTCCTCCTCTGGGCTGCAGTACCACGCAGAAGGGGAGTGGTCCCTTTCTCGGACCACTGAGAAGTCAGAGGGACAAAGACAGCAGCCATTCAGAGGCCGAGCCGGACGTAGAGGGCCTGATGTTGGTGTTGAACCAAGCGCTCGATGCCTGCAGACCGACTGTTAAAGTTAGTTTGAATCCGTCAAACATACTATTTTTTTTTTTAAATATACCTTAAAACTTGTTTTGTAAAATCGACCTGAAAACTTTTTTTTATTTTGTAAAATTCCTCTCAATAATAATTCACACAAATTGAAGGTTGAACTTTGATTGGCTGTTTGACCTTTGACCTCTGTTTTGTAGGACCAGGTGTGTAGTGATGTTGCAAAGAGGCTCCGCCTCCTGGAGGCCAGCTGGAGGTCAGGTACACTCAGCCTACCTGTGAGGAGACGCATGGACACTCTCTCTTTAGGTAACCTGTCTCCTCACCAACCTGCCCCTGTACCTGAACATCTGTCTGTCTCTTGACTTACCTGTCTTTCTCTCAGAGTTACAGTCTGGTCGCTGGGACTCAGCTGACGACATCCATCGCTCCCTGATGGTCGATCATGTGACTGAAGTCAGCCAATGGATGGTTGGTGTCAAACGACTTATCGCTGAGACCAGAAACCTGAATCCAGAACGTTTAGAACCACTTCAGAAACCTCTGGGACCGGCCCACGACACTCCAGCACCACATCAGGACTCTACAGCACCAGACCACGACCATGGGGCACCAGTCTAGGACTCTACAGCACCAGACCACGACCATGGGACCCGGTCTAGGACTCTACAGCACCAGACCACGACCATGGGACCGGGTCTAGGACTCTACAGCACCAGACCACGACCATGGGGCACCAGTCTAGGACTCTACAGCACCAGACCACGACCATGGGACCGGGTCTAGGACTCTACAGCACCAGACCACGACCATGGGACCCGGTCTAGGACTCTACAGCACCAGACCACGACCATGGGACCCGGTCTAGGACTCTACAGCACCAGACCACGACCGTGGGACCCAGTCTAGGACTCTACCGCACCAGACCACGACCCTGACAGAGTCCCAGCAGCCGGAAGGGGGTCCTGGGAGTCTCTCGACCTTTCTAAGAACTGAAGTTATCTATTGTTGTTTCCACCAACCAGCGAAGGTCTCTCCTCATAACCAATAAATCTTAGCAGTCTTTGGATCGTTTCCTTGTGTTCGTCCTTCATATTGTAAGCTGTTGGATCTAACCCCAGAGTTGCTCAAGAGCACTACGGCAGAACAGCAACAACATCATCACCCTACCACTAAACCTCCTAGTGGAACCGTTACTCGTGGACAACAACAGAAGAAGAACCTGACGGCGTCAGTTTCCTCTATAGATGAAAACATTCAAAGTGCTCAGAGTGATTTAGAAAATAAAAGGCCGCAGAAGAATATGACAAAATAAAAATCTTTTTATAAATGACAAGAAATCAAAGTATTCTTGTGAGTTTAATACAATCAAAGTAATCTGGTGAATCAGATGGAATATAAGAGATTTTAGAGACAAATCTCGTAGTCTTGGGTCTTCAAAGAGGGTCCTCCAGGACCTGGAATCATTTAAAATGATTGTGTTTAACCACAGGTCATGTGATGAAACCAGTCCGCCTGTAAATCAATATCAGTACTGAGTATTCACAGTATTGCAGGAGATATATTTGTAGTATTGCAGTTGATGTATTCATAGTATTGCAGTAGAGGTAGATGCGGTTTTGCAGTGAATGTGATATTTTAGTTTCTTAATTATCTCTGACAGTGTTTGCAGTCTTACTTTCCACCCTGCAAAGACAGAGCGGATGCAGTTACCATGGCAACCTTCGGTGTGTGTGTGTGTGTGTGTGTTCGTTTATCCTGGCCTGTGATTGGCTGACGGGGAGAGTGGGTGGGCTGGTTGAGGGTCTATCTCTCTCTCTTCCACAGATATCAGCACAGAGAGAAAGAGAGACACAGCTCTCTTCACTGCTCTCTCCTTCATCCCCATCTTCTTCTTGTTCTTCTTCATCCTCCTCCTCCTCCTCTTCCCGTCTAGAACGGAAAACTCTTCTTCTCTCCTTCGACCGCCAATTAGACAGACGGGTAGGTCTAACTCCTGGCCTTCATCCTCATCATCTTCACCGTCCTCGGAGGAAGAAGGACAGGGAGCTCCCTGACCCCTTGCCCCACCAGGTCACCATGGCAACGATCATCTGCACTCGGTTCACCGAGGAGTTTCAGATGTATGAAGAGTTGGGAAAGTAAGTATCCTGATAATCATCTTCCTCCTCATCTCATCTTTATTGTTGTCTTAGTCTAAGTCGTCTGACCGAGCATCCAGTAACATGAATATTTATTATGTTCTTATTTCAACAGTGATGTATCATTCATTTTATTAATTCGATTTATTCTACATATATTATCATTGCAAAGTTTGGGTCATTATTGATACTACTTATTTATATATATTTTTATATATATATATATTTTTATCTAACTCCATATTTTACTATTTCTCTATAATTCAATTTATATTTGTTACATGTACGTAGGTTATATTCATATTTTGTTTATTTCGTTAAATAGTTTAAAATATTGTATTATTACTGATATATTAAGTAATTTGTCTTGAATAAAATTAGATGAAAATATTTCTCTTATTGACTCAAACCAGTTTGGTCTAAGTGATTCATATTTTTTTTTCTTAAATCATTGATTGTATGTCTGATCAGCTTCTGATCAATAATGAAAAGCGGATGGATGGATGGATGAGTAGATCACCTTTGTGACCTCATCCCACTCGCTGCCCACCCACACAAACACACACACACACACACACACACGTCAGGTCTCTTACATAATGTGAAGGTGGGAGGCAGAATTGCAGCACAGCGAAACAAATCTTTCAGAAGCAACACAAAGCTAAAAACTCGAAGAATTAGAATTATCAAGTGGGCATTTTATCTATACTTGATTATAACTTTAATATGGTTGATCACACCCTAATGTTCTTTATGGTCAATTACCTTTTTCCCATTAAAAAAAGTGAAGATCAAGGATACTAAATCCTACATTTCCCATAAGGCTCCATGATAGATTCTTTAATGGGGGTTTGGCGCTCTGTAACCATTATTAACACAATTTTTCTCGATAAGACCCGCCCTCTGCAGTTTTCCAGCGCTGCTATTGGCCGGTGTATATGCACGTTCTTATTCTCTGACCAAAAGCCTTACCATAAACCCTTTTAAGCAGAGGTCTGCAACAGGGGGTCCGCGGAGGTACTGCAGGAGGGTCGCAAATTCTTTGGTTGATATGACATTAAAAATATATATATATATATATTTTTATCAACCAATTTTTTTCACACAAATTTAGATGTTTTCAGAATCATAATTGTATTTATTGTCTTTAAATACACATTAACATGAATCCAACATGTTGTAGCGAACGGATAAATTGATGGAGAAGACGTCATCTTTCAGTCCGCAACACATACGTTCAGCTTCCCACAGCAGCTCTCAGGCTGGACACCGGTTCATTCACAGCTCCTTTCATGCAAATACCACAGCACAGGCACCAGCCAATCAGATGGCGTTAATGCTCACGTAAAGAGCGCGGAGCTCAAAAAGAAAAGATGGCGGACCAAACTCCGTAGAATAGGGGGTCCCTGCTGCATCTCGCCATCAGTTTGGGGGTCCTTGGCCTGAAACAGTTGAAGACCCCTGCTCTTAAGAACAGCGTAACAGTAGTAAGATTACAAATAACAGTAGTATTGTTTGATATAGTATTACCATTACCAGTGTTTACAGTAGTAGTAGTAGTGGTTTTCACTTTGGTAGTACTTATTGTTGAAGAATCGGCAGTAGTGATAGAAATAGTCTTAGCGGTACTAATTGTAAGAGCAGGTGTGGGTTTCGCAGTAGCATTAGTATGAGATTAAGTAGTACTTTTAGTATAAGCAGTAGGAATATTAACAATATTACTTAAAGTAGTTTTGTCTTTGGTAGGATTTGCAGTAGTATTAACCAAAGTATTGTTTGCAGTACTATTAACATGGACTAGCAACAATTTTAGTGTTGCTACCAGTACTATTAATATTATTACTGGTAACGTTACTATTAGTACTGTTAGCTATAGCATTAAGTATAGTAGGGGTCGACGTGGCGCAGGGGTAGAGAGGCGGTTCAAGGCCCGGCTGCTCCACGTCCCATGTCGAAGTGTCCCTGAGCAAGACACCAAATCCCTAATTGCTCCTAAATTTGAAAAGCCACGGGTCAAAAATGCAACGTAAGTCGCTTTGGATAAAAGCGTCCGCTAAATGAAATGTAATGTAATGTAATAGCATTGACATCAGAAGTGTTAGCTGTAGTATTAACATCGAATGTGCTATCAATAGTAATAAATATTAGCAGTGTTAATGCAAGCTGTAGTATCAATATTAGTACCATTAGCTACAGTGTTAATTTTAGTAGCGTTAGCTAAAGCTTTAACGTAAGTAGCACTAGCTGAAGCATTAATATGATTAGCTAGCTGTAGCATTAATATGGGTAGCGTTGGCAACAGCATTAATGTTAGTAGCGTTAGCTGTAGCATTAATATGAGTAAAAATAGCTGTAGCGTAGGCGGTGTTTCCAATAGTAGCAACAGTACTCATGGTAGAAATAGTAACAGGGTCATCGTGGCGGCGCAGGGGTAGAGAGGGAGCGCTGGGAACCGCAAGGTTGGCGGTTTGAGCACCGGCTGTCCCATGTCGAAGTGTCCCTGAGCAAGACACCTAACCCCTAATTGCTCCCTGGGCAAAAATGTAAATGGTCATAGGTTAAAAATGCAATGTCAGTCGCTGTGGATAAAAGCGTCTGCTAATATGACCTGTAATGTAATATCTGTTAAATTGCAGGTGCAAAATAAGTTTCTGAGAGAACAGTGTGAGAAATCAAAAGTATTATAAACTTGTTTGTGATGAAGTATTTATTTCTAACTAGAATATAGAAAAATCATAAAGAATACAGAAATCATTAACACAAGCCGTAAGTACAGACAGAAGTCAAATGGATACAATTCGGCTGAAAAGGAGCAGATTTTTTTTCCGTCTCCCTCAGAGGAGAAGGAAGCAAGCGTCTTGGGGAGAACAGAAGTTTTTGTACACTTCGGAGAAGTTTGTGTTGAGGAAATCAGAAACCCTCCTGCAAAAGGAATGTTAGTTGTAAACAGATGTCGTAGGGACATGCCCGTTACCCCCCTTAACGTGGCCCAGTCAATCATATTTAACTGGCAGAGAGACTCTCAATATGCAGCTCAACAATCCTCCCCCGACAAAGAGCCGGAGTTAAACTATAAAGGGGCAGTAAAAATAATTACATTGATATTATCTTGTTAAAACTTGATTAGCATCTTGTTAGAATGGTGAAATATATTTTTGGGCATTTTTGATTTCAAAATGGAGAAAAGGGATCTTTCTAATGTTTAAGCTGATTTTGTTTTGTCTTCCATCTTCTCCTCCCCAGGGGAGCGTTTTCTGTGGTGCGCCGCTGCGTGAAGGTTCTGTCGGGTCAGGAGTACGCTGCCAAGATCATCAACACCAAAAAACTCTCAGCCAGAGGTGAGGACATGAGCATATTGATACATTTTCTGACAACCTTTTGTTGTCAGGTGGGCATTGAGTCATGTGACAGGGACGGTCTCTTGTCTTTAAGTGAGTGATGTGAGTTGGTCTCTAAGGTGATGGACGTGTCTTTAAGTGACTGATGTGAGTTGGTCTCTAAGGTGATGGACGTGTCTTTAAGTGACTGATGTGAGTTGGTCTCTAAGGTGATGGACGTGTCTTTAAGTGACTGATGTGAGTTGGTCTCTAAGGTGATGGACGTGTCTTCAAGTGACTGATGTGAGTTGGTCTCTAAGGTGATGGACGTGTCTTCAAGTGACTGATGTGAGTTGGTCTCTAAGGTGATGGACGTGTCTTCAAGTGACTGATGTGAGTTGGTCTCTAAGGTGATGGACGTGTCTTCAAGTGACTGATGTGAGTTGGTCTCTCAGGTGATGGACGTGTCTTCAAGTGACTGATGTGAGTTGGTCTCTCAGGTGATGGACGTGTCTTTAAGTGACTGATGTGAGTTGGTCTCTCAGGTGATGGACGTGTCTTCAAGTGACTGATGTGAGTTGGTCTCTCAGGTGATGGACGTGTCTTTAAGTGACTGATGTGAGTTGGTCTCTAAGGTGATGGACGTGTCTTCAAGTGACTGATGTGAGTTGGTCTCTAAGGTGATGGACGTGTCTTCAAGTGACTGATGTGAGTTGGTCTCTAAGGTGATGGACGTGTCTTCAAGTGACTGATGTGAGTTGTTCTCTCAGGTGATGTACTTGTCTTCAAGGGACAGATGAGTTGGTCTCTCAGGTATTGTTGATGCCACCTGCTACGCCCCTTTCTCTTGTCTTTACGTTAATTGAGTAACGTGGTGTTTGGCATCAATGGGGATAAAGGTGTGTCTTCAAAGTTTGGTTAGGCAAATGGGAAGAGAGGGGGTGAGAGACTGAGTTTTATATTTTGTTGACCGCAAAAACTACGTCGAAGTATTGTACACGATGCTTGATTCTTTGTATAATATACCTAAATAAAACAAGAAGAACGCATCTACTGGATCCTGAATTCTTTGAAGGAAGCGCGTCTGCAAGTTATCTCCCCTACTCAGACTCGCAGTGACACTGAACAAATTACTACACCTACAGGACAGATGAGTTGGTCTTTCAGGCGATGGAGTTGTCTTTAAGGAGTGGCAGTACTACTACCACACAGCTAAGAGTTTGTCTCTCAGATTGTGGACTCGTCGTTGATCTCTCAGGTGATTAGCTTGTCTTTAAGGGAATGGACTTTTTCTTTCTGAGCCGCATCTGCAAGAGATCATCTTAGTGATGAGGCTTAACTTGTTAATCTATTACAGGAAGTAATTCAGTGGTAGGATTAGCATCTCTGCTAACGTTAGCATCAATGGATGTGATCAATGTGTTTTATTTTCAGATCATCAGAAGCTGGACCGCGAAGCTCGCATCTGTCGATTGCTGAAGCACCCAAACATCGGTGAGTACTACTACTAGTACTGCTACTGCCACTACCACTTCCACTACTACTGCTACTACCACTACTACTGCTAATACCACTTCCATACTGCTACTATTAGTACCACTGCTACTGCTACTTTCACTACCACGGCTAGCACCACTTCCACTACTACCACTTCCACTACTACTACTGTTACTACCACAACTACTACTGCTACTACCACTTCCACTACTACTGCTACTACCACACACTACTGCTTCTACTACCACTAGTACTACTGCTACTGCTACT